AAAACAAAATATTCACAACTTCATGCTCCACGTCCTCCACCTTTCTCCTCCTTAATCTTCCACTCCACTCTTGATCTAAGCGTACTCCCAAGCGGAGGGTCCTTCACCGGTGTATGGGACAGTAGCAACAGCGATGCCGGTGCAGTTTTCAGTACCAGATCCACCAGGAGTAAGCAAGACAGCATAAACACCGTCACCCTCGCGGCAAGCAATAAATCCGTAGTCAGGGAAAGACAAAGATCCGAGGGAGCCGTTCTCTCCAGCGGTGTAAGTCCATCCAGAGGCGACTCCACCGTGGGTGTCGGCGGAGTGTGGTTGGGTGTAGGATACGGAATAATCAGTTGCAATGTAAACTTGTTGACCTCCTGGAACTTCAGTGTTCAAACCGAGAGTGTTGCCATTAGAGACGAAGGTTGTAGAATTACCTTCTGTTAAATGGTTAATCATGGGCATTCATAAATCATGTCGTGGAATCAAACTTACTAGGGCAGGCTGAGCCGACGGATTCAGGGCAGTATGAAGAAGTTTCCTTTCCGATATAGAGACGACCTCCATTAGCGGTGATGGCTTGGTTTTGGAGATCAGTACCGGATCTGATGGAGATGAGGCCGAAAGCATCGCTTGCAGCACGTGCCGAAACGATGGGGGTTGCAGCAGCAGAGCTGGCGAGGAGGGTAGCGATGAAAGTCTTGGAGAACATATTGATTATTGTTTAAGTTGGTATGGATTACTGTAAAATTGTAAAGTGATGTTTGGATGATTGATTGTTTGATGTAAAGATGTGATGTGTTGATGATGGATTCCTATCGAGGACTTCTTCGACATTTATATATTCAGATCTCTCCCAATTCTCTCCTTTCATTCCATGAGAATCCATCGTTCAGCCATGACTTCATCCTTAATCGCCAACACACACTAAGATTGCCCGCAGCCCATTAAATCTGGAGAAAGTATGGATACTTTCTCGCACTTTCTCCAATTTGATTGGTGCGGAAGATTGCATCAACAATTCTCCTTTCTCCTTTCCTCACGATTCCGCAATGAGGCTTGAACAACTTCAACATGACTCCATAAATTGTTCGTATTGAAGACTTGGCATGGCTGTTGATATACATCATCGAAATCAGAAACTAAGTTGCAACCCTAATTTAAGGTGGATTTCTCCATAAAATTGCAGGCAATGAATGGACGAAAAAGGGGTTTAAACTTTACCCTTCAATCTCGGTCAGACGGCATTTTCATGCCCTATTAATAAAGTTTAATCCTTAGTATGTTTCCAGAAATATGGTAGAATAAAATGGATAAGCTCCAGAAAAGATGAATATGATAATTACCATATTCTTTTCACACAGCCACTTCTACATGAACAAGGTTAAAGCTCCGAGCTCTGCTGAAGAAAGTTGACAAATGCCAAGCACAAATTATCAGATGCCGAAAGCCTGAGTATTGCTTGTGCTCAGCGCTTCGGGGGACCAAAGCATTAATTTTGACTGCCGATCAGTGACGACGATCGTCACTATTTGTTCGTATTCCGAAAATAGATCTCGGGTTGTATTATTCCATCATAAAATCATAATTCAATTGATGACATGTAATTCGTGATCTAGCTATGCACAAAGGGTGCAAGGGTACGCACAAGTACTGCTGATAATAAGGGAAAGTGGCAGCGAGCACTGATAGAACTTTAGAAGAATCAATTCAGAGGGTCCATAATTTTTTGACTTTTCGACGGTCCCGAAAAGTTGACAAGGTGGCTTGTTCATCGATCATGACCGCATTCTCATGTTTGCTAGAAGCGAGCTCAACAAGCGCTTTGGACATTGGATGAGACAAGAGAACTACGACTTGCATGTAGAAAGCGAAGAATCAGGAGATTCTCGTATTTCTCAATTCGAATCAAATATTTGACAAAGAATGTCTCTCGTGTTGTGTTTTTTAGTACTAATTCAATATCATCCGCGTCGGTGACTCGGTGTAACTGCAAAGTCACTGACGCAGGTGCAAGGGGATCAAAATTTTAAGTAACGAACTGTTCCTTATCGAGGGAACTTGATAATTATATCTAGGATCGTAACACTCGAGATTTTCCTTGTATCAGTCTTCCGAGTTGTATCAAAGAGTTACAGCCTGACGTTTCCGATGAGAAATGAACGATGTGTTGGCTAAATCCCGTATTTACTCCTCTCGAACACCGGGGCTCGATCACTGGATCTGGAGGACAATACTTTGATTTTGATACGCAAACGAAAAATCCAGAATATTGCACGATGGGTCGAGAAGATAGCCATAGGAAGTTAAAGCAAGAGCAACAGCGGTCATTCCGTCTTCAAAGATCATGCTTTCGTTGATCACGAGTCTAGAAAGGCTTCATTCCTGCTATCTTACGGTATCATCTCGGGCATGGAAATAAATTTTAATCATTCCAGCAGCTGTTTCTTCAAAAGATTGTGTCGGGACATCGATTATGTGATCAAAGAGGGCATTATATTAGCTAGCGTTGCGCTAGCTCTTTTCTATATTAAGTACTAGCTTCCTATAGATAATAATGATCAAGAACAACATAATTACTATAGAACTAAGTACTTACACTTATTAACCAAGTTGATACCAACAGATTGTGATCTTCATTGAACCAGCGACTTCAATAACTCATTATCGACGATTCGTCTTTTGTCCAGAGCTCCCATGCTCGATTATTTTTCGCTACTTCTGCCGAGCTTTCACCCAATATTCCTTGTGCTTGACACATCAACATTGTCTACGCTTGGTACCTAGCCCTTTTTCACAAAACTTCCAAATGACAGCTCACCGACTTTCGTATATGCGCTGTTTTTCGATAATGGATCTTGTCTCTCAAAGGCTTATTGAACAAGCAGTACTCCCAACAATAGGAGGCTTCTGCTCCTCGCTGTTAACGGGAGCTCGTGAATCTCTTTTCCCAAGTTCTACAGTCAGGCTGACTGGCAACAGCAGAGTTACAAGATACAGAGCATTTCATCACGAAACAATACAGCTCAAAAGACAACATCCTCCTGTCGAAGCGGCAGCAGACCTTCTCTCCCAGAGCAAAGTAAGTGTTGATATCAACTTAATTGATAAGTGTAAGTATTTAGTTTTATATTGGTTGTATTATTCTTAATCATTGTTATCTATAGGAAGCTAGTACTTAATATAGGGAAGAGCTAGTGCGACGCTAGCTAATACAATACCCTCTTTGATCACATAATCGATGTCCCGACAGGTCTCCTGCCTTTCGTATTGGGTGATAATCCCAGCTCGAAGAGCAGACGGGGGAATTAGAAGCACAACAAGTAAGTACTCCTAGAAAAGATAACATAACGCCTTCTATACCTGGCTTCGAACTTCGTTGCTTGTGAAACTCATACAGAAAGCCGATGATAGAAGGAATAACACTTGAAACCAGAAGTACGATGGTTGAATGAATAAGTATTGTAAAACACACCAAAAAGCGACTATGCTTTTCCCTATATACAAAAGCTCTAATCAATAAAAATATCATACTCTTTTAAAATTAATATAATGAACTCTAATATACCAAAATATTATAAAAAAATATCTGAATATATTTAGTTATATTAAAATCTTATATATATCTCATTTACTACAATTATTATTTTGTAATATTTTCTTATAAATTTTAATAATTCTTTTAAATAATCCTCTGGAATTGTTTCCTATATTTCTCTTCTATTTTAATAAATTCGAATATTATATTTTTTTAATATATTCATTTTAAAGAAAATATAAAAAACAAGCTTTCTCATAATAATTCCTGAAGATATTTTCTAAAATTAATTTGAAATAGATTTTTAAAAGTAATATTAAAATAGACTAAATCTATTTATTTTGATATCCCAATTATATATGAGGCCAATTAGCGTTTTTCACAACTTACTCATTCAACCATCGTACACTGCCAATTGTCAACCCAGCAATTGTAGCACCATTCAGTGTGGAGCTAGGACCACTTCCCCAATCAGTACCTGGTCCAATTGGAACTGATGTTGGCGTTGAGTTTAACGTTGCGGTTGGCAATGCAGATCAGAATACTGCACTAGCCAGGGACTATGGAACTTCATGTTTGTTGGTATAAGCCAGCACATGCACCTGTGGCATATGGGTCCTGCGTATATGTTAGTTAACTGACCGTTTTGACTTCATAAACATTGGAACTTATAATGATTTGGAAATTATAGTGAAAATAAGCTTATTTAATTGGCCACCGTGGATTGCCTCTTTGCGGCTTTGCCCACAAGATACAGTACTAGGCCACTTATATCCGCCCCCCCGCTTATTTTATGGTATCACATATTACACCACCCTTTTTCAATATTAAATACTAAATCAATTAAGAAGCATAAAATTATTAAATTTGAACAAATGAATAATACATTCTTATATTATTGATATATATAAAAAGAATTCTATTATTGATTTTTAATCTATCAATATTTAGTATACCAGTTATTTGCTACAATACAAGCCTTAATTCTAAAAAATATATTAGTTTCTAAATTATTAAATAATTTTTCATTTAATGTATTCCAAGTTACTTGTAAATAACTTTTTAGCTTTTAATAAGTATATTCTGATTTGCTTTTATTAATAGTGATATTAGGAAATATCTTATATATTCTTATCTTTAGAACCCACCATATATTTTTTATAGAATTAAAATCAAGAAAATAAAAAGATCAATCCTTCAATAAAGAGATCTCCTTCTTTTGAAACCAATCTTGTATCTTATAGGTATAATGAATAAAAGTATTATTCTGTATAAATTTATACCCTGGATTAAGCTTTTCGAAAATAGAGTTTATTTCAATTTCAAGAATCTTAAGATAAGATTTAGCATTATATCTATATTTTATATTTTCAAAATCCCTATTTATTATATATAAATTACTTCTCTCAATATCCCAAAAGTTTTTTTAGTATGTAATCTTTATATTCTTATTTGTATTATATATTTCGATCATTTTTGAATCCCATTTCTGAAAACTAATATAAAAATACTATTCTAATCTTTTTCTTTTTCCCTACTCTATAAAACATTTATTTGATTATATAATTAGGCCCCATTCTTCACTTATCAACCCTCTATAAGCTAGGCATTATTTAAGCTATTTAATAATATATATTGATATAAACTCTAATCTTTTCTTATATCTCCAATTGATTATACCATATTTGATCAAAATCCTTTTAATAATTCTAATATTATAATCAAACCTAATCTCTTGAATAATCTATTTATATATAATTTTCGAAAACAATTATATATATTATAATAATATTCGTTTGTTTTGTTCAATATATAATTTAGATTAATTGATATATAATAGGTATATACCATTATTATATATTAAATCTTATAAAAGAATATATTATATAATTTTATAAGAAAGTTTGAGACTCTTTGCAATTCGATAGGAATTAAAGCTTTTTTTTGTCTTGCTAATTATTTTACTATATATATATAAAGTAAGATATTTATAAGGATCATTTTGTATATCTTCAATATATTGTATATTATAAATTGAAAGTATAATTAAAATAATAAAATGTAATTGTGGGAGTATAACGCATGAAAAAACGCGTTTTGTGGAGTTTCGGCTAATAGAAGTGCACGGTGACTGTATGCTAGAATTGAAAATCTACCAAACGCAACTGCGAACAAGATGGTAATGGATTGACTCCAAATAAATTCGAATTTCTAAACATTTGAGTTGAATTTTGAAAAGATATGAGAAGCTCTATCTGCTCATTCGCTTCTTTCGTGGTTTCCTTAAGGTAAGGCAGTCGTTGCAGCGTATCTTCTTGCCTGAGTAAACTCAATCTGTTCCTAATTCAAGATATCTTTGTGTGTTTTCCCATCTTACATAGAGGTGGGACTTGGGTGATTTGCGAACGAAATGAATAATGACGCACTCATTCGCAGAATTCGCTGAACACTATCAAGGATTATTAATTCTAGAGCCAGTTAGACTCCTTGAATTAAGTAAAAAGCCTGAAAATATATGTACTTCGCAGAAATACCAGGCATATGTTTACCACAACCCTATTCCACGATGAGCTTGAATCACCAATAGTTGCTTGCGTTCAGTAAATTTTGCCAATCAGTACTCCAGTTAAAGTTTGAATTTTACAGCCAGAGAGCCCACTTCGGGTTCAAAGAGTGTGATCGACGATGCGACTGATGCTTATTTCGAGTGGCGTCTACCTTGGTATGCAAGCCATAAGCCATCAAACACAGCAGAAACGAAGCAGTAATCGAGTGTCAGACTATCATTCGCATCGAATCCAAAGCCAGATATATGAAAGGTTTGAGAGTATGTTATTGAGCCTCTTTGGCTACCCAATCCCGATTTCGAGACTCCCATTGATAATTATCTTGGTTTTTTTGATCCGCAATATTTTGACGAACATTCTCTATTGGCTTTATCTTACATCTTCACTGGTTCTCCAAGCACAAGTCCCAATGCCGCTTCAAATTCTACCAAATTGATGTATCTTGAGGGTGATCGTAATTGAACGCCCAACCCATCGCATCTCCAAAATTGTACTGAGCATCTGTCATCTATAAAGTTCATCAGTAACTACACTGCAGTTTTTTTTAACCGGCTGAACTTACCATAAAATCCCAATCTGCCATCAACTCAGTCGGAGTGGCTAGGGACATCTTACTCAAACTCTCCGTCTCATTCAATCCATGAGTTGCCATTTTTTCAAGTACTTCTGCACATTCATCCAGAGCCTTTTCAGCAACGCTTACTATTGATGCTGCGAGTTTTTCTCCAACCTGACTGTGTCGGAGAGCATCGATATGTGCAATTGCCAAGCAGATGAACAGGTACCCTTTCACATTAACCTCCCCAGCTTCAATACATCTCATATTCCAAGTTTTGGCGCGTTGTAAAGCGTCAAGAAGATCCGGGCGTAGAGAGATAGGTCCTAGACTTGTCTCTTCTTGAAGCTGGGTCTTGATTTCCGTAGCAATTACGAACCCGGCTTGTGTCGCCACGGTACGAAGTAATCCTGAGCCACATATTGTAAGTCGGGAAAGACATCGTTGACTATCTTCGATAAATTCTTCGTGTGCTTGTGATTCTTTGTCTAACTTGATTGAATGCACCATGTGCCAAATTTTAAGTGAAGTCTCCAAAACTACCTTCCTAGAAGACGTATACGTAGGAGATTGCAAAGCCGATACGAAAAATGGAATATGGAGGAATGAGAGGTATCGTAGCATTATGATATTCAGCATGTCTATTCCAAATTGAGGGGGTAGAGGCCCATTGGTTGAATTAAACTCTTGAACATCCTGACACAAGGCTTTGTAGGAAGATCTCAGCTCTGTGTCAAGCCTGGTAGCTTCTTCAAATGTATTGACTGCGCTGCAATCGTTCAATGACTTTGCGATGGCCAGTCGAACCGGAAAGGTCTTGCCAAGTATGATTGCGAGAGAAGTCTGACTAAATTCATTCTCTGGCCGAGGTAGAGCATCAGTGCTCAGAAGTTCGTCGTCGTTGAAGTTTGCAGGAGACTCAGTGTCCCAGTCGGTAAGAGACATGAGCGGAGGTCCACCAGAATCCATACTAGATTGCAACATCAACTCTAATATCGTATTCCATAATCTTCATCGCATCTCAGCAGCAAAAATGGTCTTCTTTGGAAGATGAGTGGGATCTTTATGCAGTCTCATGTGTACCGCACTTCTAAACAAAGAGCCTGCCGAAGTCCAAATCAATCTCCCACCAATGTTAATTATTTCTCGAGCAAACAAAAGTAAAATTTCGGTTTGGAGTGATTTTATAGTCAATCTTGACTTGAATTCTGGTTCTGAAATCCATGTCTGCGCCTCATAGACCCATCGAACTGCTGAAGCACGAAGGGAAAATTGATCATCGAATGTAGCAGAACCAATAGCAAATATCAATTTGAGCTGAACCAAGAACTCTGTATCGGGGTTTCCATTCGATGTCCATATTGCTTCATAATTATTTTTGAAGGTAGGAATATGCAAAACCCTGTGGATAGTTTCAATTGTCCGAAGATAACAATCAACTAGTATGTCAGCATTTTCTTTTGAAGGTAAATCAGGCCAGGTTGGTGGCGTGGGCCATAAAGGTGCTCGCCGGGTTTTCACAAGCTTTCCAAGAGTTTTGCATTTATGTAGACCAATGGCGGCCTTCGTTCCTTCTTTTATATGCGGCTCAATTATTTCAAAGAGGCCGTGGTACTGTTGATTGTTATTCAATAAATTGATGGTAATCTAACTTGACTATTGAGTTGTCTTACCCCAGTCACACCATTTATCCAATGACTCTGGCCTAACAGTCTGGTTTTATGTAGAACGCCATAAGTTACAATCGCAGGATGATCTTGGCCAAATGGTCGACATTCTTTGTGTATGTGAAAGCTTCCAGTCAGTGAAGTTTTTGTCTCGATGTTAGAAACTACAGACGTTCCAGAGGGAGAGAGGGCAGGAGACGGAACGGATGATTTGGTAGCAAGCGAAAGCTGGTCTTCGGTCCTTTTCCTCATGAAGTCAAGATCACTAGTTGTATCTGAGATTGGTGCAATGAAACGATTCGTTGGTGATAATGTGATTGAATCATTTGATGTTGGTGGTGCCGGATACATTGGAACCCCAAGTGTTGAGGCTCTTTCTCTTCCCGAAGCTGGCTCATTGGACATGTCATAATTCTGTTTACCGCTTGGATTCCGTCGATTTTCGTCATGTTGAGCACGGGAAGACCTAGGAAATTTTTCATATGCACAGTTTGATGTGGTTCTCGATCTCACACAATTGCTACATGGAAGCATTCGATTGCATTTGATTTTGCGTCTCCTACAAAAGGAGCACGAACTACAATCCTTTCTATATCAGTTCGGAAATTTAACCACAAACGAGAAAGTCTGTGGGGGACTTTAACATACACGGCTGGTCTTCTCTTTCGACGTTCTTGCTCTGGTTCCGGTTCTAAGTCGGGTTCGAGATCCGACATGACAACAGATATTCACCACTGAGCCCAGGATATTAATTCATTTATTTATTATCGACAAAAGGAATCCATCAAGAATTATCATGCTTGTGAAAGAATATAAGGAACTTCAAGGAAAGGGGAGCGGGAAATTCATCTCATACTTCAATTCTCAACTGCACTAAAGGTCTTGAATTGTTCGCCATTCTCCGAGAAAGATGGGATTTCAATTGGCTGACTATCTCCGCTCACGTGATAACGATATGCATATTTCCGTCGACCCTTCATCATCTATCAAGATGATGACTCTGTTGTCTATCATCCCGGATGAGGTTTGTATTTGTACCGAATTACTTTACATCCGGCTCCAGCTCCTTCAAGACAATCTTGAAGAATTCAACAATGAAGGCTTCCAATGACACTTGGACCATGAACGGTCACTGTTTCAACTTTGTATTGTCGATCTCAATCTCGGTACTTGATTTGGGTAGGTTAAGCATATTGTGACGACTACCTACTGTACCTTGTGTACTTAAAGAATGCCGGTACCTACGGAGTATGAGTTACAAATATATGAGAAGACTAGTTTTGGTCCCTCTCTAATTGAACTTCAGTTGTTTGTCATTCCCCTAGGAAATTCAATTCTTCTCAAACACAGTCGGTGGATCAATGGATCAGAGCTTCCCAACATCTGGGGCATTTTAAAATTGATCCGCCCCAAATAGAGTGAGCACATAAAAAGCGTCAGAGAAAAACATCGTTTTATTACTAGATATCTAGTTGGGCGTTTACTTCGGTCTTCACAACCTTCAACAGCAGTTTTCTGTGCCAATAAATGTTCACATGAGATTTCAAAGTGGTTATGAATTGCTCCAAAATTCTATCCAGCCGTTGAGCCGGGGCCTCTTCCCAGAATTGTTTGAAATCACATTATGAGGGAATATTTGCAGCAATAACCACATGCCCAGTAATTCCTGAGTCCCGTCAACTTCATATTGTTTAGTCAATCAGGGCGACCCATCAACTCCACAATTCTTCATCTCTGTATTCCTAGCTAGGTAGTGGTCAATTTTGGAACGTTTAAATGTTGCCAGCTTACCGTTTTTGGCCAAGTTTCGAGGGTAAAGGGTTCTAGAACCGACAAGATATCCTCCAGGATATCGTGATCTGGGGTACATGCTGTACGAGTTTAGCCAAAATTCGGTATTGCCATGTCCGATATCAGCCTCAATGCCTAGTCACCCGCTAGCACTACGTGGTGAAAGAGCACTCATAAATTGCTCTTTTATTAATTTGGATCGTCTGAACTGTAAGTTCCCTTTATGCGTTCCCCTCTTCTGTTCTACTGTTTTGGGTTCGCATAGTTCTTAGCCTGAAATCTTAAGACGGACTTGGCAATCTACATGAATACTTTATTCGGCTGTCAAAACAAACCCCGGAGCAGAGATGACATGATGGTTATATGATCATCATTATGTGTCAAAAAGCTGAATGTCATGGGTAATATAAATCGGCGGAAAGGAGGCAATTTTATTGCGAAGAATCAGAATGAGTTTCCTGGTCTTTAAATAGATCCATATTCGCACTTCACATTAGTCCTCGAATCTTCATCCAAAGTATCACCATCTGCTACATAACATCAACAGCGGCATTCTTTTAGCACTCTCACTCATCCAATCTTCAGCATGTTTTCAAGCACGACACTCAAAGCAGTATTCCTATCTCTCCTTGCCTACGCTTCAGCTCTGCCTTCTGAATTGGACACCCGCGCAGCATGCCCTGAAATTCACGTCTTTGGTGCTAGAGAGACCACGGCACCAGCAGGATTCGGAACCGCAGGTGTGGTTGTCGACCTCATCCGTGCTGCTCATCCTGGGGCAACTGCCGAAGCCATCAACTATCCCGCATGCGGCGGTCAATCTTCGTGTGGTGGGGTTAGCTATGGAAACAGTGTTGTTGCAGGAGTTGCTGCCGTCGCAGCTGCAGTGAATAAATATAATACAGATTGCCCAAGTACTAAGTTGGTATTGGTGGGGTATTCCCAGGTATATCACCTTTTCTTGCCGTGTCATTTCCTTGCCCATCATCCAAATCTAGAAATTTGACACTAATTTGTAAATTAGGGTGGTGAAATAATGGACGACGCGTTCTGTGGAGGTGGAGATGCGAATAACGGACTCACGAATACCGCAATTCCAATTCAAGCCAGTGCTATCAACATGATCAAGGCCGCAATTTTCATGGGTAACCCACGCTACATTTATGGACTTTCTTATGAAGTTGGTACCTGTAGAGCTCATGGAGTAAGTCTTTCAATCCATGCCTCCCATGTTGCTTATGTGACTACACTCATATCTTTTGAGTATTTGCGAATAATGGCTTAACAATTAATTTAGTTCGCACCTCGTCCCTCTGGTTTTTCTTGTCCCTCCGCTTCAAAGATAAAGTCTTACTGCGACGCCGCTGACCCGTACTGTTGTACTGGCTCTGATGCAAATACCCATCAAGGTTACGGTACCGAATATGGTCAACAAGCCTTAACATTCGTAAATGCACAACTCGCTTCATCTGGTACGTCCCCAACTACTACTCCATCTAGCCCCGGTACCACAACTACCATTACCTCCCCTGGATCCACTGGAGTCGCGCATTATGGACAATGTGGTGGAACTGGGTATACGGGTAGTACAACTTGTGCTAGCCCATATACGTGCACTTATGCAAATGCTTATTATTCGCAATGTCTCTAGGTTAATTTTTTCCCTACCTTTCTTTCTACATATCTTCTTTCATTGGATACGAAATGGAAATTCATGGCTCGATTGGAATGAATCGCAACGGTATTTCATTTGTGCTGTATCTCACAACCCGGACTGAAGTCCGACCTCGGACTTTATTTCATTCATTTGAGTTTCGATGATCGCATCGTTCCAAAGAGATTTAACAATTACGAGATTTCAAATCTCCAAAATCAAATTATTACATAGAAGTGTCTGATTGTTCCGGGCTCCTATATGTTGAACTTGGACAACATTCTGCACATTTGGGAACACTTCCCCGCTGCTCGCTCGCATCTTCCCGGTATATCCAGGCGATTACATGACCTTCGGTTACTACTCTTATATTACCCCCCTAATGAGTTTAATACTCCATCTCCAGCCTTCCTCCCAAAAACAACACACTCCAATAATGAACTGCCACCCAGCCTATTGTCCCCATGAATTCCTCCAGTGACTTCGCCTGCTGCCCAAATCCCACGAATGACGTCCCCTTCTGTAGTTAAAACCCTTGCTTGCTCATCAATTCTTACCCCTCCCATTGTGAAATGAACCGCCGGAGTGACATTTCCTACGTATATTACCGAATCAGGTTTTACCTCATTCAATTTCCAGTACCCAAAAGACTTTCTACCAAACTCATCCTCCAACCTCTTTGCTACGGTGTCTGCATACCTCTGCAAACCCCCAATGACATCTCCCCCGAAATTTTCTTCCGCAATAGTACATTTCCTCATCAAACCCTTCCACAAATAAAAGTCTACATGTGATTTAGCCTTCTCATATACCCCCTGATCAATCACAAGCTTCACATCCCACTGTCTTGGGTGTCCCTCACTCCTTAAAACTTCACCAACTTCCATTATTTTCCCAGTGATAACCTTTCTCGTCTCTGATTCATCTACAAATCTCCTCCCACCCATCAAAAGTACACCGCCCTCGCCTCTCAGCATTTCCGCTGCTAGAAATTTAGTCGGATTGTTGGTATCTTTCATATCCACAAATGCGGTAGGATGGATTTGCACTTTCTCCATATCGATAAGTCCAGCTCCAATATCCGAGAGAAGTTCTTGAGACCCGGAACGTGGTTCATTGGTGGAAGGAAATCCGGATAAATCAGGTCGATATCGTGCTAACATCCCATACGCATCGCCTGCAAATCCGCCAGTTGCGAAGATCAAAGGGCCTGTTAATATTTCGACTTTCGGTGTATTGTTTTCATTCTCACAAATACATTCCACACCTCTGACATCTTTATCGTTATCATCCTTAATCACTCTGATTACCCTGCATGAAGTCTTGAGATGAAACCTGTCGTTTCCTTTCAATTCTTCTAAAAGAGTGCCAACAATAGCCGCTCCAGGTGGCTTAGACTTTCCACCTCCTCTATGCGTCCTCGCAATACTGTGTCCCCCCAATTGAGCAATAACACTAAGATCCACGCCCTTACTACCCAACCACTCAACAGCTCCCTTGGACTCCTTACTTAGTAACCTAATCAAACGCTCCCTTTCCTTTCTCTCCCTTTCACCGCCACCAGTGCCCCGCAAAGCTTCCGCTGCTGACTTAATCGAATCATTATAAAACATCTCAACGCTATCCAAAATGGGAGGATTCGATGCAAGTTGAAACGATGTTCTTGCACCATTTATTCCAGAAGAGGCTTTTATACTATTTCCTCCTGTTCGATTTGCTTGTTCGAGAAGATAAACTTTAATATCAAGACTTTGTGAGAGAATTTGGGTCGAGGCAGCCAAACCAGCTAATCCGGATCCAATTACTATGGCCACTTTCTCACCACTTTGAGGATACCATTGGGCCATGCTGAAGCGAAACTGGTGGGAACTAGACAGTATGTATTTCAAAATAATGAAATTATGATTATGGGAAAGATAGTAGGGAGCGTATGAAATAAGTTCATAGGTAGTATAGAAGAGTCAATTCCCTTAGTGTAGATATTAACGTTGTAATGAGCAGCCTCGTATTGATGGGCTAGATATAAGACCACTTGTTTGTTCATGTCATACGATCTTTAACGCCTGTGAGATCAGGTGATTTATGCATATATCTGTCGAGGTGCACGAACCTATGTATGGAATTAGAAATGTAGGAAGGGGTATGACAACGAAAGTGATATTTTGATATTTGTTCCGATGGCAAGCAGCGTATGAAGCAGAGTGCACTTAAGCTTAATGACAGTATCTAAAAGGCCAATGCATGATCAAACAGTAGGTCCGACTAGCAGTTTTAATGTTTTGATGGCTGACGATTCAGGATACAATTCATTGAATATTTTTATGCATAAAACCGATGATGCTACAATTGAAACCCCCATCGGTACACTTGTGCCACTAGGAAGTACAAACATTTTCAAGCAACTGGATTTCAAGAATCGGTTGTTATGGACTCATCAAAGGGGAAAATAAGCAGACAGTTTCATTGTCAAGGTTGATGTTAGACGGGAAAATCTATTCATCATATATAGCATATCCATTCATATGACAATGGATCCCCGATACCTCCATCCTATATGCTTCCATAACCTGTTAATACCCTTTCCCCCAGACTCATCAACTATTTTTGATGAATCTTTAAAACGAGGTACCATCGTGGAGCCCGATGAGCTCAGGAAGTATACTGGGATTCAAACTCGCCAAGCCTACCAGCCATGTAGCAATCTAGCCGCTAAACATTTGTACATATCCAACACTGGAGAAGAAACCGACATCTAGCCAGAACAATTCATCCAGCAATCCCCCAAAATACATGAAGATACGATTTTTCTCAATCTTCATATTGGACATAAAAAAACACGCCGGATATCCATCATTGACGCCATTATTTCCACCAACCCAGAGCCCTAGAAACATGTTCGCACCCCGTTACCCATATAATATCGTGACAGCCGCTGAACGAAGAAGATTGATGTATGGCATATGGTCATGACCATCATGCCTTGAGATCGAAATGTGGAGGGAGGAAGGAGATGGTTGTGAGCGTTGGTTTTCACTTTGAAACAGTCGTGGCTTAGAGGAATTATTTGAAAGACATTTCGTTTTGTTCCTGATTATACATCTTAGACAGGAATGTTAGGTCCCGTCTTCTTCGTTGCCGTGTTGATCAATGCGGCTAGACCGATCATAACAATGACGGCCACGATGCAGATGAGAACAATTACGAGGGTCTGAAGCATTTTTGCGAGAATTTGCTTTTGTTACAAAATGGAATCGATGAAGCAAAATCGAGAAAGGTGGGTATAAATTGATTGTGGTGATGTGAGGATGTCGCGATCTTTTGAAAAGACTGTAGATCTAGATGGCTGTTAGCACATCCATATTCTTGTTATTTTCCAAAGCTTGGAGCTTTATCAATCACCCCGCGAAACAAACAGTTAGATGGGAATTGAGTCGCTAGCACATACTCGCGTACCCGATAATGACTTACCAACTAATATAAAACCTTCAAAGTGCGAAGTTTGAATTCAAATGTCTGCTATGAAATGGCTTAAATGAACGAGAGTGAGGGAAAAAGTGACCTTTGAATAGATTTGCGAAGATCTTCAAAGGGTGTCCACGGCTACTTATTGAACCTATCAACCACAAATAGTATTGACTTACTAGGTTTAGTTAATCCGATACGCGTAAATCCGACTCCAATACGAGGTTGTGGCTTGCTGTCAGTGTAAGGAGACCCAACTTTTCTTGAAGCTTTGTAGAAAAAGAGTTTGTTCGATTAGATACCGGTATGGCAATTGTGGACAATCTGTGTACCCCACAGGAGATGATATGGTACCTGGTCTAAGTGATGCAAAAGTTGAGAATGGTAGTGTCTTGTATTGTACAAAGTATTCAGAGAGGAAGATTCAAAATTCTCCTCGAAATGAATCGATTTCTGGCGTATGGGACTTTTACCTACGTGAGATCCTTTACGAACCAACCAACAAACATTACCAACTCATCATCCTAGACCCTGTGGCGATGTCAAAATTTTGACGAATTGGACGCGTTGATTTGTTAGACTCATCACATTTTTTCTCATTCTCTTCCACTTCCATCTGTTCTGGAGCAAGGTAGTTACTGTATGGCGTTAAAGCTATGGAAGCTACCGGCATAGTTTGTTTTTCTCACGGACAAGGGACTTGTTGGTAAACAAACAGAAACGAGTATACGAAAGTTTCTTTTTACTCTGTGTGAAAGTATTGTTGCCGGAATCCCCGGAAATTTAATGCAGATAAGTACGTATACACGCGGTATACTCGCACTTCGTACAAGCGGTTTAAATCTCAATGTTTGTTTCCGAAGTCCGAATCGCATATTCCTTTGCTTTTTACTTCAAAAAATCATCAAACACGAAACTTCAAGTGAGAAACGTGATGTCACTTTGAGACATTGGAGAAAGAGTTCAGAGCAGAGTGGAATCCTTGAACTGATCACTGCTGGCTGCTCTGCTCCATTTTCGGATTCCCAAGACGTCGAATCGATTGTCAATTTTAGGTATTCTTTGTATTCAATAAAAATCTACAGGAAAGTCTATCGCAGTAAGAATCTTGCCTTGTTTCTTGTCACTTTTGCTAAGGTCGTAATCCTAAGATTCATGGCATTGTGGTAGCGCCTACCCAGGAAAACCAGAGTGGTCTGTGTGTTTTGAAATGCTGGCCTCGCCTTGCATATCTGCCTGAAGCCCATCGAAAAATAATTTAAATTTCAAATCTGCAGTTCAATGAATTTTCGACTGAACAAATTCTAAAGGCTGGTGGGCTAGAATATGAGCTTAAGTGATCTCCCGCGTTTTGATTTCTGGCTGCTTTAAATTCATTTCATCTAAGCGGAACAAATGAAGGGGTAAATAAGCAGTTCAAAGACAAACCATCTGCTTAAAAATTTCTTGCTGTCAGTCCACCGATTTCAAAAAATTGGAACCCATAAGTTAAACAATAAATTAGACAACTGCCATACTCTTTTCATTCAACCCAATGAACCGTCTCCTACTATCCACATCCATCCCCTAGTTTTGACCAAACCCCCAAGTCGCCATCCCCACAAACCCTTGTCTACTTCCCAAATTTGTCAAATTGAATCTCTGGACAGTTTTTCCACCTGATGTCTTGATAACGTTGATCTCCGACGCACTCTTCAGCACGTACAAAAAGTCTCCTCCAAGCCTAGCATCCAAACTCCCCAGCCCCGCATCATCTTGCTGGATCCCCTTTTTGATTGCCCCCGTTTTCGCATCTACTACTGTAATATTAGAAACAGCTACGTCCATCAGATAAACTTCTCCTCTTTTCCTATTGTATTCTGTCCAACAAACCGCTGACTCTCCAGCAACAGCGATCGGAATATCTGCCGTTACAATAGAGGATGACGAAATAGAAACAAGCGATGCGCCAATCGCCGGGTCTGAGACAGCAAGTCGATGATCAGAGCCGAGAAAACTTATGCGAAAGTTCAAGCGGACTTGTGGAGGCTCGGAGACGATGGGAATACTGGAAATGCTATTGTCGCTTTGGGAGACAGGATAGGCGATGAATGAGCCTGGAGCAAGCCCGTTACCTTTTACGGACGCTAAGAGGGTGGTTTGAGAGGGGTTGAAGAGAAGATCCGAGACCGTCCCAGCAGGTCCGATGGGTGGGGTCGTTCTATGTAGGTGGATTAGATGAGTTAGAATTGGAGAAAGAATGATGCGTACTGATTTAAGGCAATAGGTCGGAAAGATCCAATGGCCAATAAACCCTTGCTATAATGAGTCAAAAAGCAAGATATTCCTGCTACGGCACCGCCATTCAGTACGCAAGCTAAGGAATAATCAGCAATCGGCTCTTCTATGTGAAGGGTCCTATCAAGAGGTATCTAGGACTTACCAGTCTTGAGTTTTGGCGAATAAGCAACGGCGACTGGGAATTGTCCCATAGTATCCGCCGGTCTACCAACCATACGCGGATGTAAGAAATCGTTCGAGTCAATCGAAAACATAGCCAACGTATTACTTCCAGTGTTGACAGTGAAAAGCTTCTAATTGATATTAGCTAAAGTTTGTGAGCCAATGCTCTTATATCTTGGAATTTGCTTACATCTCCTGACACAATTATGGAGTTCTGACTAAACAAACTATCTACATCATAGAGTCAGTATGAAGATCTTTTTTTAATGTTGTATTGAATTTGATTCACACCTTTATCTCCAGGTGCAGGGGCTGTGGTTGAATTTGCTGCTGGAGCATCTAGACCGAGCATCCCCTTTCCTCCAGTAGAAGTTCGAGTAGGTAGGGAAAGAGTTCCATCTTTTCGGGATATCCTCATAGCAATGATGTTCGAGCCATTGGGATTATTGTCAAGGAAGTATGCTGCTGCGTCTCGAGAATGATGTCGAGTGATTATCGAAGCTGCAAGAACGATTGGAGTAAGGAGAAAGGTTTGAAAGAGATACATGGTCAAGGTCGACCTTGGGGTATGTTAATCTATTGTAAGGTTGATCCTGATAGGGGAGATGCAGGAGAGATAAATGAGATTCCGAGCTGTGTAGGATGGTACGAGATACAAAAAAGGATTCAGATTCTTGGGAATACGTCCTTTCAAATTGTAGCGACGTGAGTTAAATGTTGGCTACGAATGAGAATCCACGGTTAAATTTGAATTTTAAGATGGAAAAGAATTGTCAAAGAAAGGCTGTGTAGCTGTCATTTAATATATCATCGCTGATCACACTGAAGTGCCTTTTCACCCTCGCGATTTTCGTCTGATTCCCAACAGCTTGCATGGTTTCCATACTTACTCCATATAGTTAATTGTTTCCATAACCTGGCCATTTTAATGATGATCTTACTCTTTTCCATCAGCTTTTGTGGGAAGAATATCGCATCAAGTTATTGTGATTCCAAAATTTCATGCTGTAGAAGCCGATTTACTATTGATATTGGCATCTTGTGTATGCGTACCACGGTGATAGGATGATTCCACATTGTGAAATTGCTATCCTGCAATGATTCCAAAGCATTGTTGAGAGTTCTTAGGTGCTTACTACTTTGGAAAATATCGAAGCATGACAGATGGATTAGGCTAACACGTATCAGGAAATAATGTTTCCATTGTTCGCATAATTCAAGCCACACCACAAAACTCGGAGGACGGTTGATTCACGGAGTTCACAGGCTTCGAGCTTACAGCAGAAATTATTTTCCGCTGATTATGATATGGTTTGTTAGACCCTTTCTGATAACAAGAAGCATGTTAATGTGCAACTAACGCGACGACATTGAGCCCTTGTACTTCGCAACACTGAAAACCAATCAAGGGCTACGAATCTTCCAAACTCTACAGTTAGGCTCTGTCCCTCCACGGTCCCAGTTCATATATTACATTTCAAGCACTTTATACATAAGTATTCGAAGCACAGACATGGAACACTATGCCATACATCAAAGCTTCGATTGGAATTACAATCCTCTTTTCCCATTCTTCACTCCCGGAGAACATCTTCACAAGTCGGTAATATACGACAACGAACCACACGCGTTGGTGAAAATGTATCAAAAATGATATTTGATGGCTTCGCGGGAGATATGAGTGCAATATGGGCGAGTGAAGGTTTGAGTCAAGTTCAATGGAAATGCGTCGAATAATAAAGATTGTATGCATCAGCGGCATCTTAATCAGATCATGCGTTTTCATCAGCTTGTCCTACTACTTTCTTTCCGACACCTCTTTCAATTCTTGGTTATTACAACCAAGTGCTGACTACCCTTCACCGCTGGTCATCAGTTCAATCACGTTCCAATTCAGATCCCGCAGCCTCATATATTTCTCCTATTGCTACCCGAAAACTAAGAGAACTAACCCAACAACTGCAACAACAACCCCGATAGCACCCATAATCTCCACTATTAGTCTCAGCCTTCCCATCCTCCGCCCTTCACCACTGACCCGTTTCCAATAACTGGAACCTGAGTCACTTTGCATGCCAGCCCTAGGAATCATCCCATCAAAATCATCTCTTTCACCGTCGCTCAATAAGCCTTCTTCCATTGTCGCCGTTCCATTTTCGTCATGAGTGCCATTTCTGGACTCGTGAGTGTTGTAGTTTGAGGGATAATAGCTCGGGAATCTTGGCCTTGGGAATCGTCTCCACCAAGCAACTGTAGGGAAGAAAGTTGGGCGAGTGGCGGAGTGTTTTGTAGTAGTTGTTGGGGTGGTGGGTGTTTTGGGGATGGATATTGAAAGTGCGCCTGTCGGCATTTTGTATTCTTTCAATATATGAGACTGTCTAGGGAGTACTGCGCTTGGGTGATTCAATGCTTGAGAATGTGCTGAAGTCAATTTTCTATCTCGATATACTGTTTGAGGTTATGACCGACGATGGCTGACATCTTTGAAAAGTTCGAGATCGGGAATTGGATGGAAATGGAAATGAGGAAAGACAAGTTCGATTCGTTGGGAAATGTAGGATTGCCTCCAGAATTGATAACGAAGCATGGACACCTTTGTTAACCTGTGATTATTCCAATTTCAGTACACAATAAGCAGCACTTCTCCCCAACGCTTTGAAATGTGAGGAATGGAACGTTTTGAGAAAGCATTTTGGAAACACTTTTCTTTGTGTTCGGGAAATAATTTGCGTGCGGGGATTGAGGGACATATTCTCGAGGCTTGGTGTTGGCGGGAACAAAGGAATGCTTCTTATCCATTCTAATAACTGTAACAATTATTCCACAATTATTTTGCTTGCAAAAATATTGTACAAGCAATCTCAGGCTCTATAGTGAATTCATGCTAGAGAGAATTCAATCCAAGAAAAAAGCAACAGATGCGCTCGTCTAATCTACTCCAGCTGGATAACCCAAACAAGAGAAAATATTGTAAAATTGCTGCGACAACTATGCCGTGATTGGCTTATGTCCATTACCAGCTCTGGACCACTCCTCCCTCTTTTCTTCCAAATATTCCCCTTTCTCTATCCATCTGGCTTCCAGCCATTTTGCCAATCCTTCGTCAGTCTCTGGCAAGTCCTCCAATAAAAATCGCTTGACTTCCACATGGAATTTGTATCCTCGTTTTCCGCTTAAGTCCCCGCAACTGAGAGATTCCCAAATGGTTGGTGCTTGATGCCATTTATTATGATGTGAATATGCGATCGTCATATCGTAAACGGCTTTGACATGTTTAGCCTTTCGCAGATGCTGTACTGTTGTTACGAAGCCTTTGGTTCTTGGATACAGAAGGTGCTTGGGGAGAGGTCGATTATTTTGTTTACACCATGTTTTTGCTTCTTCGTACTTCTTGGGGGTAAATCGTGTCGCTTCACTAAAGCTGATGAGCCCTGGGAGATATATGAGTTAGCACTACCAAATCACCTTAAGTGGGGGTAGATAGTACGTATAACTTACACTGTGGCCATTTTTTTACTACGACTCCTGCAAAAACTCGATCCAACTCTTTCTTATCCTTCAGCCAATTTCTACTGACCATGGGCATACCCATCCCCCAAATTCCCCATCCAAGTAATGGAACCCATCGCAATTCGATCTTGGCAAACCATCTACACCTTCCAAGCATGCCAGCTCTGATAGCAAGTGCTTGAATCATGTAGAAGTCGGTCCAACTGACATGATTTGCAATGACAATCGCGGTTTCACCTTCCGGAAGAGTGTCGCCAGAAATGGTAATTTTGCCTCCATTGAAGACCTCAAAAATGACTTGTATCCAATTCCAGTTTGTAAACGCGACGAACGACGACGCATTGTATACCCAGTTAGGGAAAAGGTAACTGACGGGTAAGAGAAAAGAGATGATGAGGTCCATGAGGACCAATTCGAGGGCCCATGGTAACACAATGAGAAATCCACGAATGCTCGTGTATACAACATCGAGACTCATTGTGGTTGACTTAAAATTTCATAGACTAGGGATGAGGGGCAGACGACAACACATCACAAGAGAAATTCAAACCTCATCCATTACTTCAGTGTTGCTTACTCATGGAAATATGGAGCTCAGCACACGGGCATCATAAATAACCAAGCGTTGCTCAAACCAGTGAGCCAGTTCCACAAGCTTGGCCTTTGAGTGCTTGTAGATGAGATGCATTTATATGGGGATTGAATTTAGGTCGTGTGAGAGGTGAGAGGTGAGAGCCGATGGAAATGATGGAGAGGGGCTCGAGGGACTCGAGAGGGGAGGGGACAACAAATTCGATATTGATACGAGGGCGTGTCTTTGATGATTGCCGGGTTTGTGCACAGGGACATTTCCTTATCAAAATAAGTACAAACTTATTTATTTTGGAATTCAATAGCAATTGAAGTAAAAATAAAATTTGAAAAATCTTTTCAAATTTGAATAATTTTTTATATTAAGATTTATATATAAATTTAATAAAATAAACTTATTGATATTTATAGAGTTATATTTATTATAAAAATCATATAGTAAATATTAGTGAGTTCGGTTATTTTGCCTGGCAATCATCAAAGACACGCCCTTGTAACGTACGTGGATTCAGGGATGATGTAAGTTACACTCTACGAATGTGGAGATGCTGTGTCAATCCACCATTCAATCAACTACGGTAGAGTCTACGATGTAGAAGATCAAGGTCAAGATTTAACAAATGAGGACGATGGATAGATAGTTCATGAATAAAGTGAGCATGGCATCGCATCTTTACAACGTTTTTGGCTGGAGATGGAATCATCACCTGAATACACCACTCAAGAATACCTAGGGAGGTACACATAGAAAATGAAATATTAATCAGGATGTGAGCATCTTCGACGATTTTGCCCGGAGATAGATGATCAGACCTGGTGGACCTCACGTACAATTAATCATCAAGATTTAGAACTCACCGGGCATCTCCCAAGCTTGTTCCTAACTTGTGCAAATGGTGTAGCAAGGTGAAGAAGCTTAAGAACTTCTTCTCCGTACGCCCAGGCTATGCAGAAGGGGTAGGTCGCCACACCAACTTTACCAATTTTTTCCAACAACGGAGTGGCACTTGCCGGAACGACTGCTTCCGACTCCCCTCCCTCCCCTTTCAGGCGTCCACGGGTGGCAGTTGACTTGAGCCTTCATACATCTCGAGCGTTCAACATGTGTTTAATCATATGCATCAACGCTGCCATTGATAACTAAATACATGTCTCTCTCGTATATTTCTCCCATAACCATTCCAACCCCTCCTTACAATCTCAGCCCTGTCGGTATATTGGATGATCTCTACCGGATATTGATGTCTGACCATCTGCATCGAGGACAAGCTGCTGCCGAATACAACCTCGAGTCCTCTCGGCACCATACCAGTTCGTCACTCATCGAGTACCTACCTACCTACGTACATACCTACCTAGTAGTACTTGGGTAGCCATAGTTGGAATTAGCCAGGACTTATTAATCACGATATCCAAAGTTTGCTCATGGAATACGAAGACCTTGGCTAGACCTTCAGCACAGTCCAAGTACTAATAGTGGATCTGCCTACCTGGGTAAGATCATAGGTATATGCCCCCCGACAAAGTATGTAAGCATACCTAGTAGTACCTTCCCGGTCTCGAGAGCCAGTGCGCGGCTCCGTTTGGGTATTCGTTCTTGGTTCTTGACTTATTTCCTGAATTGCTGACCTTGTTTAAATCTAAAAGCCCTCAATGATCTTCAAGAGAGAGACTTAATCGCGTCGACCAAACATTGAAAAGCCAATATAGGAATATCTACATCATAACGGGGATATATTTATCGGCCCCGTCCTTTCCATCAATCCAATCATTGAACTTGCCTTTCGAATGTTCATTGCCCCGCGGACAATTTCCAGAATAAAGATTGAAGTTAATGGTCCGTCCGACAAAATCAATAATTGTTCAATCCAATTTCAGAGAATACTATCGAGTTACTGGAGGTATGACACGCTGCTAATCAATCAATAACCAACTTGCGACAACCTCGCCCCTTCATCGCTTCTCCGCGCACGCCTTGAGATCTACAGCAACAACAACGCTGATAAGATAGGCATATCTTTGGTTTCTCATCAACTTTATCATATTACGCCACGATGTCTACCGCGGAAACCGACAATTGTGATTATGTCAGTGGGCAATCAGAAGCAGGAAAATCTCCTCTTTCGTCTAGTTTAAGTTTTCTCAAAGGCCTTACAGAAAAGAAGTCTACGCGGGGTATGATTCTCCAGATTCATCCCAACTTATTCCAATTGGAAACTAAATTTCAGAACAGTCGACGGCTCGACACCGAAAAGAAGAGGACCCAAACCCGATAGTAAACCTGCTTTAACAAGGAGGCAGGAATTAAATCGACAAGCTCAGAGGTATACTGGTATGAGGAATAGGATTTGGACTTTCACTAATGTCTCCTAGAACCCACCGAGAGCGCAAGGAATTATATATCAAAGCCCTAGAGCAAGAGGTATTTCGATTAAAAGAAAATTTTAGCAACGTCACTCAAAGCAAACAATCTCTCGCGGAAGAAAATCGACAATTGAAGCAACTCCTCGCGCAACATGGTATATCGTGGAATGGCAGCGGAGGAGTCGACGAATTCACAAATAATCCGAGTTTAGGATATAAATCGAGTGATAGTCAGGCCGGCAGTTATGCGCCAGGCTCTTTATCATTCAGTCCTCCACCTTTAAGCCACTCTTCGAACTCAAATCCAAACAGTACCTATTACGATGCTGGATCACCTCAGCTGGGAGGAGCGCACCGATTTTACAATGGAAATGATAACAGCATGGGTCATCAACAAGCTCAAGGTGTGGATTATGATCAAGCAGGAATTGACTTTGTTTTAACGTATGGCAAAGATTCCTCCAGAACGTTCTTATCGCCTCCCCGACAATAGCTAACGGCAACATACTGATATCAGACTCGAGAGACCCTGTATGGATCACATGCAATTTCTAGTCGAACGATCCGGCGATGCTGATGGAGAGTTTTTCTCTGGCCATGCTTTAATGGCTACTTGTCCTCCAGAACCAGATATGGAGATGCACCCAGATATACCTTTTGGGCATTGTCTGCCACATAGTCATGAATCAGATGAATTGAATGGGGTTGCTCCAAAACAAAAAACGTGGGACTTGAGCAAGAGCGATCTAGCTAATTTGTTAGATTTGAGTAAGAGGTTAGACTTGAATGGAGAGATTACACCGGTTATGGCATGGGGTATGGTATTGGGACATCCACGATTTCTAGAATTAACGGATATCGACCTGAAGAGCATGAGTGAAGAGCTTTTACCTAAAGTCAGATGTTACGGGTACGTGTGCTTGTTCCCTTGTCTTTATATCAGGTCTGAATGAGCTAACAATTGTAGATTCGGGGCCGCACTCGAGGAATTCGAAGTACGGGATGCTTTGGAGGCTCGGTTCGTGACGGACCCAATCGAAGTGTCTCCAAGCTAAGACGTCTCTGTCATAGCAATCTTGTTATAGGTTACATTCATGTTAGAGGGGGAGTTTTCTTAATGGGTGCAACGCAACCCAACGCGATGTATGATTTATAATGATTGGATATATTAGTGTAGATTATAATCACTCTCACGGAAATTTAGATACCCGTTTTTCCTTTACTACATCAAGCTCAGAACGAGCTGCTATGCCATACATTCACTATTCATAAAATTTACTTTCAAGGAAGTTCTCATTTTCATTGCACTGTCTCTTGCAGGATCTTGTAGGTGGTGAGTTTGATCATAAGCTATCCGTTTTTCTCATTGCCAAGGAAGATTTTCGACACATGAATGGGACCAAATCGAATGATTTGAGCAGCTTGCCATAACCAGAAATGGATGTACTGCTATTTTGAATTCAGTAATACCTCATAAAATAGCAACCCCATTTGGAGGACTCGCAACACCTCCCGGTACCTTGTCATTTGTTAGCATTGGCATCGAATGTGCATTTCGATTACCGATATGCATCTCCTAACTTGGTTGCTTTCCGACACATCACAAATCAAATGGTAATCTAGTTCACTAAAGTGAAAGCAATAAACCATGCCAAAGAGAGCTCATAAACATACCTTTAAAGGTACACTGCTAAAAAAGAACGTCCACTTCTTCAATTTTCTACACTCTTCTCCCAGTCGTTCCAAATCAAATAGCTCTCCAATTGGCATTCCCCATCCGGCAAGGAGCCATTCGTGCATCCAGTGTTGGTTTGTAAGATCAAAAGGAAGGGATTCTAGAGCGGGTTGGTCTCCAGCAGCAGCGGAGAACTCTTGATTCCATAGCCATTCTAATACTTCAGGGCAGGCATCAAGGCCTATTGTTGTCATTTCGGAAGCGGTGGCGAGTGTTGCCGCTTCTGAAGAAGACAGAGCTTCAACTGAATGAGGCGGGAGAAGCGTTAGTATATAATAGAGATGAAACTGAGGATCAATGACCAATAGTCTGGATTTGTACACTGGGTTGTAGATTTCGATCTGCAAAACTTATTCTAATTGAATTTAGAAACTCAGGCGTCTTATTTTAGCTTTGGGTTGAAATCCAGACTATTGGAAATCTCGGATTCTATATCAGTTCTATCATAGTATGGGAAAGACTTACAAGCACGAAGATACCCAGTACGAATAAAGAGGATGTCACCTGGACGGAATATGACATTCTGAGCTTCGGCCACAGCTTTGATCTCAGATAGGGGTATTTTGATTGTTGTTAGAGGGTTGAAAGTACGACCTTGGGACTCGGCCCAGTATGCGTAGTCAAGAAGGACACCACGACCGACTATACCGCCATTTTCTACCCAGACTACAAGCAGAGGCTGTCAGCGGGTAAACCGTGTGGATAGGGGCCTTGTGCGAGATTACGTGCCGTCGATTCCATTTCGTGTCGAATTGTGTATTTCTTCTTGAGTGCACCCATTGAAGTAAACCTTTGCGTCTTGGTATCCTGTATAAAATCTCAATTAAGTTATTCGCGGATTTTCGAATCCGTCTCTGAAGAACCAACCAAAATGTCTAAATCCATCCCATTGACTACTACTTTGTGTATTCAATACCAGCACGTCATCATTCACAGTTTTTGGACTTTTATGTATGATCTTTTGTTCAAACTGTACACGTCCAAAACATGGGACTTTGGGTTTGTCCAAAGCCCAGTCGGTAGATATTCGAATGCCGTATTTTATTTCCTTGGCAGCTTCAACGGTGTTTTCGGGAGTGAGACGATTGAGACATCCGAGCTGGTCGGTAGGGCCATGTAGACCCCATGCATTGCCGCGGGGGCCACTAGCTTGGAGAGGGAGCGAGGAGAACAATGGGGTTGGGGGTAGTAGAGATGAAGAGGATGACATATTTGGGACTGCCAGAATAGATTCTGAGGATTAGTGATATTATAAAATTATGTTTGAAATATAAGACGTAGTTGTTTTACCAACCTGTCTAATTTATATGAATACAATACTTGGATACGTGACGTGTGATCGACGACTGCAGCTTTGTATGAACTAGCACAGTATGCGGGGTTGGTGGGGGCAAAGAAGGGAATCGGCGCATGTCTTATTCATATCTCTGTGGGGATTCTTTTCTACACAGAGAGCCTGGAAAGGGTTACGGAATAATTTATCCATTGGATATCAATATTCACTTGCATGCCAGTGTATTGATCCTCCACATAAGAGGTAAATAATTGAATCCCCCGAATTTGATTAAGTTGAAAATCATACACGAAAGGACAATTTGCTCAACAGTCTTACACGGGTTTCCTTCGGGTTCTCACCTAGAATATTAGAAGCCCCAAAACTAAATCGATTTCCATCCCACCCACTTTTCGAAGCCGTTGAACATGGAAACAAAAACTGAATCGTCACTGGCTTCCTATCAGCAACCATCAACCATTCAATCGGTTGTTCGGCTAGGCAGCTTGAAATTCCCGCCTGGTATACTTTCACCTGACAACCTTTGAGGAGGAAAAGGACCATTTTGACAGAATGCTTTCCTTTTCGTTATCTTATACAATTAACGATTGGAATACATTCTCGTTGGGTACTTCAATCGGAGGCAGTCAAGGTCTTCATACAACTGATGTTGGTAGTGTGAGGCTAATGACCGCCACATCTACAATATACTGTCTTGTAACAGATGCAACTATGCGGTAGGGTATTTCAAATGGTTTTGTCGGCAGAAGGAGCTGCAAGGATAATGTATAATTCCGAGGTGATGATAACGGCTTCCACACTTTTCTGAATGTGGATTTGTCTGGTTAGTGTAAGATGAATGGAGGATAACGTGCTTCACTTCGCCTTCGTTGGCGGATTAAGTAATCGCCTCCAAAAACTTCCATTAAACAGGCGGAATTCACATAGGGCTCGCATTGACACGCATTGACACGCATTGCTTGGGGACTCTGGAAGCTTAGAGGCGGCTTGTGTGTATAACTTTGCACCCCACCAGTACCTCCAGCTACGACGACTTCTTCGAATAGCATCGCTCTGTTTAAACCTCGTTTATGGTAGACATATGAGAGAGAAAGAGAGAGAGCTTTGCGGGGGAGACAAAATTCCAAAGCCGAAGACCGATTACTTATTTCACGAGATGATAGCTACAGTCTGCATTGCGTCCAAAGGAATGAGCTCTACCGGTCTATCATTCTGGCAATGCTTCATATCCAAGATTATTATCTGTATTAATGAGCGCAAGGTTGACTTGAATCTCATTAGTAGTTCCTAAATGTTGCTGAAAGAATGAAGTTCGAGAGTAGCACGGGAGACGGTTCTATGAGGAACGACCGCTGATTGGATAAAAGAAAAAGAAATCGGAGATTCAAAACCCGAGCTCCGATGGACACGGGAGTTTTACTGTCCCGCGAGGCAGCATCCTTCATGTCCATTGTAACAATTACTTTCTTCTTCATCCTCATGATTTGCCTCTCGTTTTCTTTTTTCCCCAATTCCAAATAAATTTGTGATTAAAAATGACAGACTCTACGGAAACGGAACGTTCAGGTCCCTACGGACGAGCTTGTCTCAATTGTGCCAAGGCAAAAACTAAATGTAACTTTGGTAGTGACCAAAGAATTTGTGAGAGGTATCTCTATCACGAAGTCTCTGAGTCACCGTAGACTAACTTGTCTAGATGTGGTAGGCTTAAAAAGGGATGCGTTACTGCTCCGGTGAAACGGAGACAAAAACCACGCGTGACTGCAGAACGTCTTGAGCAAAGACTAGACGGGCTTGTATCTTTACTGCGGACTATCTCACCAAATAATCCAGCTGTCGAGAATGCTCTCAACAGTTTCACAGTTCGAACTTCTGATAAGCATGCATCAGACTTACATTCTACTGCCGTGAATACTTCGGCGAGAGATGCCGATGAAGTTGCACCTATTGATTCAGGTGCGGCTCATCTTCCTCCCACACCGGCATCGAGCGCAAGCCCAACATATCCATACACTCTACCAGAGGGCGCGGAACCAACAATAAAAGAAGCAGAAATATACTTTCATTCGTTTTGCACTAGAAACCTTCCCCATTTCCCATTCATACAGTTTCAAGATGGCATGACTGCTTGCCAGTTGCGACAAGAGCGCCCCTTCTTTTGGTTATGTATCATGACAATGTCATCAACGGTCATTCAACGACAAATTACACTTGGCAAAGTAATACGAGAAATCGCAGCTCGGGAACTTGTTGTGGAGGGAAAGAGGAATTTAGATCTGTTACTGGGTTTGGTTTGTTTTGTTGGATGGTGAGCTATAGTCTTAATGCTTAACCTTGTTACTCACTATTTTCTAGGGGCCAGTACCAAATACGAACCGCGCCATTCATGACTCTATTTTCCAATCTTATCGTTACACTTGTGATTGATTTACAACTTCATCAACCTACTAGTGACGAGTCTCATATTCTGGGGCTGGAACATGAATTTCGTCATCATGAAATGATGGAGATACCAATGACTCGAAATATGGAGCATCGTCGTCTAGTTATAGCCTGCTACTACCTAACCTCAACGTTCGTCTAAATAGATCCCTAAAGCAATCAAGGCTAACTTCAAGATTTCTAGTCTTTCAACCTTCCACAAGAAATTAGAAGGCGTAGTCTGGTGTCCTTATCTTGACAAATGTTTATCAAAACTAGAGGAAAGAAAAGACCCATCTGATGAGCTTCTAATCAACCAGGTACGACTTCAACACGTTGTGCGTAAGACGGCAGAATCATATATAAATCTCATCCGCGATGGAACGCCAGACCAACCTGGGAGTTCTACTCTTATCATGCTCTATATTCAGACTCTCAAATCCCAACTAGCGGAGGTCAAAAAAAAGATACCCTCGCACTTGAACGAAAACAGTATGTAAACCTCGGAGGTAGAGAGTTCAATCCTATAACTATGTGCTAACAGCTTCCAAGGAGCTTTGAACCTTCAAATGTACGGCGCGGAAGTCATGATTCACGAATTTGCTATCTATCTCCCTAACTCCACTGAAGCTTCATCTATCGATTCCTCACTTTCTCGAATAGAATCACTTCATTGCTGTCTCAACTCCATAAAAGCTTGGTTTGACATCCTCCTCAACTCACCAGCCTCACATTTTATAGGTTTACCACTTCCAGTATGGAAACAATTTGGAGGAGTTTTCTTTCCTTTATATCGTTTGACGGTGCTCAAAGATCCAGCATGGGATACCGATATGGTCAGGAGGGTTTGTGCGCCTGGAAGAATCTTGGATGTGCTAGGACAAAGTCTGAAAGAATCAGAAGCCGAGGCCGCCTGGGAAAGAACCAGTAGTGATTCCGAAAATATATTCACGTGTTCAGAAAAGGTTATGAAGATGTTTAAAGCATGGGTGGATCGTAAGCCGGGATTCAATGCGCCCATTACCATTGCTTCCAACTCTATCGATGACTTTCAAGAAAAGCAACAACAGCCAATGTCAGAGACAGACCAAATGGCTTCTATGTCAGCTTTTATGCCAATGGAAATGGAAGACACTTGGTCGCAGGATTACATGGGACTCTGGGATATGTATCCCAACTCTTTTTGATTTTTTTATATCAATGTTCCGCGGGAACTGAAGGATGTGATGCATCTCGGATGCAGTAATAATACACAGATACTGGTATTGCCAATCAACTCCACTTTACTCAACATGTTCATTCACTGACATCCACATAAAGGATTTGTACCATGCTGACATGCTGATATCTTGGTACATATCCACCTTACTCCCTCCTATCACCAAATCCCTCGGAAATCCCTTCCCCACATATACCCTTGATTTTCCGGGCTCTTTTGAAACCCGAACCACGATAACCCCACTCGGGTTTTCTGGGTGACACGAGCCCCGTGTCCAATCACAATCACGTACGCCTGAACACTTTCCGGAAATATATCATTTGGCCATGCATGAAGAGGTTGATGTCGTTCAATAAGTATGTGTATATAACTACTTATTCAACGTCTTCTTCGGAATAATTACCACTATATTCTTCTCCAGGCAAACTTTAATCCCTCTCACAAAATGGCATCTCCAAACTTCCCAACAAGAACCCATACCACCACCCGCTCATTTACCTACTCATACATTCATATTCAGCCCTCATCCCCCTCAAAACCATATATCCTTCTTCTCCATGGCTTTCCCTCCTCCTCCAATGACTGGCGCCATCAAATTAGCTATTTCTCCGCGAAAGGTTATGGAATTATTGCTCCTGACCTTCTTGGATTTGGCGGCACGTCCAAGCCGCTGTCAGCCCATTCCTACAAATTCAAAGACATGGCCTCGGACCTATATGAAATTCTCTCTTTACACTCCATTTCTGCATCTCATAAAGTATCAGGTGTAGGACATGATTGGGGAAGTGCTATGCTTTCACGCATGGTGAACTATTATCCGGAAATATTCAAGAAATTAGTGTTTCTAGATGTGGGATATCAGGCACCTGATGGACCGGCTTTCAATTTCGAAATGGTGAAAATAATCAATGCTCAAGTTAAGAAGATGGCCGGGTTTGAAATCTTTGGATATTTCTTTTTGATGGATGAGGAGGATAGTACAGAGTTGTTGGACAACAATGTAAGATATCACGATTTTTTGAATCTCCCTCGCCTCCGGTTATGCCAAAGACAAAATTCTAACAGATGACCAACATAGCCCGAATCTGTTATGTCATTGTATTATAGCCTTGACAATGAGCTAGGTAAAGAACATATGGGAGCCACTGGCGGTTTTCGCAAATGGCTTGAGGGGAGTATGTTGGCTCCATATCCGCATTTTGTAAAGAGTGAGGTGAGTGAAGATAATTCTGTTCAGGTTTATGTCAAAAGCGTGATGCAAGTATCCATGCTAAAAGGCATCTCACAATCAGGACGTAGAATATTTCAAGAATATATTCTCCCCGAAAAATGGTGGCTTTGGCGCTGCAAAGAATTGGTATACTATGCAACTTCATGGAATTAACGAAGATGATGACAAAGGTACTATCACCCTCCCTCTTCTTCCTTCGTTCCTTCATTTTATTCCTCCGTATTAGCTCTCAATTCATGACTAAAACTATTTCCACTCTCAGCGATCCCCAAAGAGCGCACAATCGTTCACCAACCCACTCTCCTCATAACGTCTACCAATTTCATTAGCTCTGGAGCCGACTTTCCTTCGCAAATGAAACCTTACATTCCAGATTTTAGAGTTGAAAGATGGGAAGGTGGTCATTGGATTCAACTAGAGAAAAGTGATGAGACAAATGCATTGTTGGGGGAGTTTTTCGAAGAGATTTAAGGGGGGGAAGGAGATGAAGTGGCTAATGGACCCGGGTCACATGATATGGTTCTGATCTTTCATATTGAAAGTCGATGAGTGGAGTGAGTGGAATCAGTAAAATGGTTCACAGGAAATGGAACTATATTTCAACTCGTGCATAATTATCTCGTTCGTTTGAAATCAACAAAAATTGCCGAATAGCTTATCTCATCTCCTGGTACAAACTCTCATCAACGTCATCTCAGATAGCCAAGTTCGCGAACGAAAGCACCAAGAACTCAAGGCATGGTATTTTTTCTCGCTGGATAAATTCTCGTTACATCATATAGGAAATCTGAGTACAATCAAATCGAACACTTCCACCGTGAGAATGTTGCTAGAAATTGATACTATATGGGTATTGATTCGCTCACTCTCTTGCTCGTTTTGATTGGTACATAAATTATTGTGACATGGAAAATGCATTATTTGCAAGCGTACATGCAATTGCGTATTGGTATTAGTGGAAACCTTTGTGTCTGGTTGGTACGTCACACAATATAATTGTATGGTATTAATTGTACGGTATGTGAACTTGCTTCAAGGCGATTCGTGTGTACGGGTCCGTTTCGTTATGTTCTGAAGCTTGTTTCGGAATGATCGAACATTTTGAGATTCGGTATGTATGAATCTTTAACATTGGGATTTTCGCGCAGTTGGGATGACCAGCACTTAACCTTATTCATGTTGTGATCCTCCCCTCTAATTTTGAATCTCTGTTGGATCGAATGATTTAGAACTCATCGGTGGGATCCAGGACCAAGAGAGGTCTGAATTTCCTGTGGCGCCCGTTTTGAGCCGCAGTTCACTCTCCATGAGACTTTTTACTTCATTTTATTCATGTTCTCTGTAGCTTCCTTCAAGCCTTATTCAGGGATGATAATAAGTCTCATGCCGTACCTCATCAGCGTCTGCCTTCCCATCCCTCATCTCTGTCTTTTTAAACAATGCTTGTAAGGGACTCATCGGCAATGGCCATTCGAATTCCTCGACAATTTCGTCTTCATCGTTCTCCTCCCCTTCGTCTCTTACTTCATTGGCATTTACTTCGGGTAAATCTATCCGCGGTATACTCAGAGTCGCTATATCCGTCACCCCCTTCTCGTGTTTTTGTTCGCCTAAACCCTCAAGTCCGGTTGAAACCAATGGCGACGCAGGACTCGCTTCCCTTTTCCTCTTCCTCCTAAAATTCTTCCCAATCGGTGTCAACAGTTCACTCCCCACCGGTTCCCTAGCCGGTAATTCCACTGGCGCCATTATTTCTCTCCCCTGCAACTCTCTCATCTCCATACTCTCCCCGTGTAATTGTGCTTTTCCTCCGGTTCCCAAATATCCATCACCATAACTATTATGACTACTCGTACTTGCCGGACTATGAAGGCCGCCGAAATTTTTATAGGGCTCTATATCGATTGGGATATGGCGTGAGCGGAGAAGATGTTGTTGAAAGAGAAATTCGCGATGTTGTTTGCGACGAGTGAAGAAGATTACTATGAATACGGTAGACATGCCGAGGAGTGAACCGATTATGGGGCCTATTATCCAAGTCTTGTTCAAAGGGGCCGTGGTGCTAGCAGTTGTCAAGGGTGTAGTGGAGTTAAAAGTAGCGTTGGTGTTGGAGTTCGTGGCTGGAGTTGGGGTAGGAATTAATGTTGATATGGAATCCGAGGTTGGAGTCGATGACATAGAGGCTATGGAGGCCCTGGAATATGAGGATGCTTTCTTGGCAGATATAGATGCTGTTTTTAGAATTAGAATGATACATTAATCAAGATGACTTAAGGTTGAAGAGAGAGAGCATAGTTTCATACCTTCAGAGAGCGCACTGAAATAAGCACTTGCCCAAGTAGCTGTGCTCAAAACGGTTGTCCAGTCCCCCGAATCGCTCATTAAACTCCCAGACCAACTACTAGCAGGCGTTGTCACCAAATTGACTAATCCAGTCGTAGTGGAAGAACTCGTCTTTGTTGCTGTCGCTCCAGAAGCCGTAGAAGACCCAGTTTCAACTATTCGTGAATACAAAGCTGTTAAGTTTGAAACTTGCAATGCATACTGCTGTATCTCTCCTCTCCCCGGCGTGTTGAGACATTTATTCAATTGCGTGGAGATGAGAGGTATTATCTCTTGTTGATCGGTATTGACGTCTGGATTTTCAATTGAATAGGTCAACACGCAAGTTTGACAGTTCCCACAGCTGGTGATAAATTTTGAGTTTTCTGCACAAGACGTCGTGCTATTAAATGCCAATGCTTCGATTCTGCATGTCGCTGCATGATCATTAGTTTTGTGACCTCCTTTACTCCAATGCTATTTTGATCTGTTTACAGTATCTGACAATAGTAAATCGAACTTACGGCAGTCAGGAGAACAATACGATGAAGGCAACACCATCACAGATTGTCTTGCTACCAGAGCTGCGGCAATGAATTGAGGAAGATGCATATCTTCTTCTCTCCTTTCCAGTACCAATACCAAGTCCTAATTGACGAAAACCAGACTCAAAAGCGTCACATGCCCAATCTCTGACGATGCACTTTGTCTTGAAAATGCATTTTAGTTGCTGGTTGAGGCTGGGTTGAGGCTGAAATAGCGGTTCACTAGTGACGAGAGAAAGGTCTGGAGTCGAAGGACACCAAAGCTTAGATGAAAGAACTACCACCATCCTTGGTTTACTAGAAAAAGACACATCATACAGATATACATGCTTTGCATATTGGTAAATCAAATGAAGTGTTTGTTATGCGTTTTACTCTCGGCCTACAGGCATGGGGTAGGCATCCAGCTTTTTGAAATGTATGTATGTACTGGGGTTTCGAAGTGTATCTACCAGGGAAGTATCGAAATGATATCGCAAAAAATGGTCAGAAAAGTGGCAGGAATGGTAAAGGGTGAAGTGCCTGGTAAATATTCCGACAGACCATCCTGCCCGAAAGTCTGGACGAGAATGGGGATGCATTTAGCAAATTCTAGACATAGTTGGTTATGGTTACCCCTCCTGGTCATTGATCCATTCCAAGACAGTAAAATACCGGAAACTGGTAGGTTGCACAAAGCTGTTGCATGCCAATGACTGGTAAAATCCTCCCCTCAATAGTCCTAATTATCCGACATTTTTTAAGAAATTTCCGGGGGCCAACTACCACCTCGCCGGCCCACAGGAGTGAAAAGCACACGAGTAGGGTTCGTACCTCGTAGAAATATTATCCAAACGAGATGCCCGACCAATTGGAGAACTTTCATTGGATGATCTCTACCCCCTGTCAAAATCCACCCAAAAAGGCATGCCTGATATTGCGCCAAACAAGCATAGTCCGCTCCCAGGTCCCACCAACCCCAGAACTAGTTAATTGAGGCTTGAATGAACGACGCCTTTTCAGCTATCTTGCTCGAAGCCACTGGTTAGACTTGGCATCAGAAAATCATACTTTAGGTACGAATGTCTCTTGAAGAAGACACGAGAAACAAGATATTGTCGTATGCGGTCCAATTGCATCTGAAAAATTGTCTAAGCGGAGAATTCTTTTGGCAATGCCAGAATTAAAGCTTCGGAGAAATTGTTTGAAAGAGGAATGGTTTCGGCATCAGTGTTGAGGTGATGCTCGATTGGAGCTTAAACATATGGTTACATGGATCATCTCCCATGTACGCGACATAAAGCATCTCGTTCCATATTCCAAAGAAGAAACAGTGGTTGATCGCGTTGTATCGGGCCAATCGTTCATTTCTCCACACTTTCAGAACGTTTTGAAGTTCTAGCCTGTGTTGAATTTGGACAAGATTGTAAGATTACAACATTGAACATTTGCATGTCTCTAGATTTGCGATTTTCCATGTGAATTAACCACGCAGCTCGCCGGGGCCACAGTAAAAGAACCAAGTAAAATTCTCACATTAGGACTTTCCTGGTGTGGTTGTCCTTCCCCTATCCAATTCTATTAGATGATCCGATCTATTTCAGTGCCCAGCATTTGCGAATATCTTCCTTCTCGATGCAGTCATCCCAATCCCATGACGCCGCATGACATGCAAAAACCTACCAAATTCCCAGATGGAAGAATAGACCCGGATTCCTTTTGCAAGATTTATTGATGATTGCCACCTAGGATCCACAGCTACTCACACTCATGCGACTTTCATAGATCCTATAATCTCTATAAGGTTACACCAAAACACAGGCTGCAACATTATCTTGATGCTAATTCGTCAACATGAGTATATAATGCTAACAATCTTTTTCCACTTTGAGCGAAAATTATTGTACCCCATTCGAGATTCTATGCAATGAATGAAAACATTCTATTGTATCTTATCTGTTGTTCTTGTGATTATGATGAAGCCCCGAGGTACAATTATGCTGGCAGAAAAGCTTAAAATCGGACGAGGAGGTAATTCTTGGCAGATGCACGCATGGGTATGGTACACTGGCATAGTTTGTGTGTTGTCTAACTCCTACAAATTTTCCCAACATAAGCAGTGACCAATGCTAATTGATATGGTGGGTTGCACTAAGTCGCAGCTTTCCTTCAGCCTATTGATATTGGCCTTCTGTCTTTCGTCTTTCTGATTAAGTGTATGCTCTATCTCTTTTCCCCGATGCATCTCCAAAGGTTTAAAGCAATAGAAGAATGAAATGATACTTGAGCTGAAAGTCTATGCACTGATATAAATCCAAGGGCATCATAACTCAGTAGAATCAGAGGGCATAGACAAACTCGTGATTTTCCTTGTCCGTCAAATCAAGAAACTCTTGTTTATCTAGCTTTCTGTAACCTGGCGCGGCTCTAATTGCTTCGTTCTTCTTGTTCATCCTGTTGTAGTACCAAGCAATGAAAGCCACATCCAGGGCACACACTCCATAACATACAATGATGGTTATTTCCGCTGGTTTATATCGTGGCTCGTCTGCTGGTCTGAATACCTGGGGGCCGATTATGTTCCCTATACAATAAGCAACTAAATACAGAGCTGCGACTGTTGTTTTCTTAGTGTAACCTGCGACGTTACTCGATATCATGGAGAGAAGTGCAGTGAACGGCGTCGGTGAAGCTTGTGTTAGGTAATAGCCCGCCAAGCGACCACTGTCGTTGGATAAAGGGAGGGCAACTATAAGTATCATGCCTAGCATCGCTATCAAGAGACCAGATATGGAGATCAAAAGTCTGTGTCCATATTTATCTCCAAGATAACCACATGCAATGAGGGCTATAACTTCGACAGCACCACCCGGAGTTCCGTAAAGAAGTGATTCGTCGGGAGTGTAGCCAAATGAAACGATAAGCTGGGAAAAAAAGTTGGAAATTCCACCTGTGTTTTGTCAGTTTCGATTGACTGTAGCCGAACGGAATTCGACGTTGAGATCCTTCTTACCATTAGGAATATCTGCTACTAATCCATAAAATACGAATGCCCAAGTTACCGGATCGGCGAGAGCTTCCTTCAGTTGGTACATTTTAAAGTGTTTATTGCCCACACCTTGTTGGTTCTTTCTGATACGCTCAACAGCCATAAGTCTCTCTTGTGGAGTAAGAAATTTGGCATTCAATTGATTATCCGGCATGAAATATAGAAATATGCAACCGATAGTTACCGTCAACAAACCAATGGCCAAGAATACAATCTTCCATGAAGCAATGGTCGATCCGTGTTTTTTAACACCAACTGAGATGCCGTAAGCGACGAGACCACCAAATATTTGAGCGAAACCATTGAAACTGAACCAAATTCCAGTTCGTAGGCCTTGCTCCCTTTGTGTGTACCACTGGGATGTAAAAAGAGTAAAACCAGGGGTCACTGCAGCCTCGAAGACTCCCAGAAAGAAGCGCACAGCCACGGCACCCGCAAAATTGCTTGTCGCGGCCATGCAACACAAGGTCCCACCCCAAGCTATAATATTGAACGATGACCATTTAGCGAGTGGCAATCTCTGCAATAGAAGATTGGTGGGATACTCCCAGACCAAGTAGCCGATGTAGAACATTGATCTGTACAATGGATCAATCAACAAATTTCTCAAAGTGATCAAACCCGAACTAAGAACTTTCTTACCCTAGCCATTGATAATTGTCACCCTTAAGATCGAGCGAGGTTTTCATCCCCATAACGCTCGCGTAGGAAAGTGTGGTCTTGTCGAGATAGTTGAGCCCATACACAACACAGAGCATCTGTGAATGTACGATGAGTACTCCGATGGGCATTATTCAATAAGAGACATACCGGCATCAAATTCCAATCAATTTTCCTCAACAATGCCTTTTCCATCTCTGGCGTTATGACAATAACTTCGCCGTCATGTCCAGCAAAAGCTTTAAGCGCTTCATCGCCGTCATTGGGATCAACATGCTTAAACATGGGATCTTGCAATTCCCCTTCGCCCAAGGTAACATTTCGCTCTAAGTCTTGTGACTTCTTTTTGATTAAATCAGAGTTGGTAGATTGATATTTTTCATCAACTGGGTCCGCCATAGTGTAGATGATAACTTTGATGGGTAGTCAATCACACTTCGACTGTCCCAAGTACAGAAAAGACCAAATATTACTAGTGATAAGCAAACGAAAGAAATCTTTGATTGGCGATGGTGTCGACGAGTGAAAGATGCAGTCCGTGAAAAAAGTGTAATGTATGGTGATGATATGATTGAACGAATAACGAAGAAATGAAGGGATCACAGACATCAACATGATGGAACTGTAGTACAAATACTGGACTACAGTAAAGTAGGTCATGCACGTATGAGGTCTATGCTATCTGAAGATCATCACTAGTCCACAAAATGGCCATGAATGGAAGTGTTATCATCACTCTTTCCCTCTCGAGCCCCTCATCTTTGAAGATATTCGATACAGGTTGATAATACGTTGATAGTAGATGCTTCTTGGATCATATCTTATCATTCCTTATCAGTTCTTCTTCATCAATGAGGAGGGGCAAGAGATATGAAATGAGGGGAAAACATCGGGCTTTGGGAACATTGAACACAATTGGAGAAAAGATTTGAGAATTATACCAAAGGGGAAATAATCTTCATTGTAGCAAAGTCAAAAGGGAAGGTTACATTTGGATATCATCGGCAGATGATAAGCTTTGAACTTTGAACTCTGAACTTCCTTACCTCATTATCTGTCTAGAACTACCTAGGTACTCGTACCTACCTGAGCTGGGATGTTGAATCGATAAGAAGCCACGTGATTATATTATTCACCTTGGTACCTCAGCTCGTTCGAGTATTACTGAACAGCTACCTTTCAATCAACAAACAATTGCTTTCACAAGCAAGCTATGATTCAACAATATGATGCGCAGCTCTTCTAGCCACCATTTTAAGGCAAGGATGATTTGCTGCGAATATCACCCTTAAGTGAATGCTCATAATCAGTATAAATTGAAGCTAATTACGAAGAGCTCTGTGAGCGTGAGCACAAGGGGCGACAGCAAAAAAAAATTGATCGCGAAAAGAGAAAGGCATGCGATCTGGGACCTCATTATAGCTCACGGCAGTATTCGTTCGGTTTCACAAGGGCTTTGCAACGCTTCATCAACAGTCCAAATGGAGAACGAATATTTGATCAAACGGTATCACCCATATCCTCCTGATATTAAACGACGGCCTCGACACCCAGTACTAGCACATTTTCATTTGGCGTGGCGGTAGAGAATTATACCGACATGTTGTCAATCGCCATGCCGGTTTTGAGTTCTGACTCTTCGAAGCGGCTCATCTAGAAAAGGTGCCCATTTGTCGATCTGCAGAATGTCCTCCTCACTTGAATTTCTCACAAAGCTGAACATGATACCAGAACCGCTATTAGAAGTACAAAAAATATGACCGCAAGTCGAGGGTTTCTACACAAGTGCGGGACTTGATGTGTGTGTAAGGGCATTTGGGACAACATGTAAGTCGTAGAAAGCAGATGCGATTTAAATTGCCCAGCGCCTTCAGATCCTCGACATTCAAACATTCACCTTACTACAACAATAACTCGACAGCCTCTTGCAAGCAAAAGATCTCAGGAGAAGTATGGGATTTTAGTAAAGCTGGCTGTTTAGAGGAGCCATGAGGAAACAATGGACGCGTTGGTTCACATCTGGGCTGGATTTTGGCATCGAATGTATCACAATTTCCGGGAACGTTCGCAATTTATTAATTCAGCATATTAATGGCAGGTTAATTTCGTAGCGAAAAGGTTCAAGTCAGGGAATGACAGTGCTGACGTGATTTTTAAGATGATACCACGTACATTTTCCTTTCCAGCGTCAGTATCCAGTGGATCCCTACAGACTTGGCGTACCAAGGTCCAATTGCATGGTAGCGATAGCTACGGAATCCCGCACGAAGATGATATCTAATGAATCTTGAGCAATCCAGCCCTTCTAGCGGAGAGTTCGATGTCTATTTCACGTTATTTTCTCAATGTTTGAAATGCTGTAATTCAATCTCGAAAGCTGTTTGGTTCGTTTCTCTAGTTATTTAAGAGGACAACACAAAGTTTCCCCCTTATTTCAGCCCTATTTTGCTGTTCATGAGATGATACTACCCATCCTCCACATACTTTCACAACGAGCCGCAGAAATCTATCTACACAGTCAGCAGCAATACGTGGAGTCAATACACGTATCAAATCAACTACGTACAAAGTTGCTGGTAAACTTATTGAGAAATTTTATCATGCTAAAGTCTGGCACCTGATTGTTTGAAACTACTAGCAATGACAATCAATCAAGATGCCGGCAGAAGAATTGAGGCCATGTACTGGACGTTGTACGGATATTCGATCGAGAATAGTGCCATCGATGACTATGTGTATCACAGCTATTGGAAGTATGAATGAAAGACGATATCGCTCACACGCGTGCGAAGGAGACTCCATTGGAGTTATCTTTCGTGGATCTGGTCCTGATAAGAATGCCAGCCCTACTCGGCCCCAGCGAAATTACCTCTAGCAATGGAAGTTGTATCGTAAATGCAAATGTGATATTTCTTTAGCTAAAATTAGGTACGTAGCCGCTGTCTGCTGAGAAAGCATCTTTTTTATTCCAACTTTGCTTGACGATTACTTTCTTTTTGTTGAATCCTTCCGCCGAACTTCTCCGCATTTCGGATGTAGCCCAAAATCCGATCAGATATCTTTTAATTCCTCCACTTCTGGTGTTTGTTCTTAAATCCGGTATCACCTCCGGCCTAACATTTCTTCCGCGCGGACTATTCTAAGTCTATGGAGTCCGATCAGTTGGGTCGATTTCTAACTTGATATTGATTGTGTTCTCTAGTTCATCGTAGGTCAATAGCTATGGCCTTGCGGGTCCATCGCTTCCAGTGTAAGCACTATAGAATAACCCTTGATCCTCTACGACTATTGATTCCATGTTTGGATGGCAACTGGCTCAAGTTCAGAACTATTATGGAGAAAGGAGCATTGATGTTGACGCTGAGTAGACGCTTCTCAGAACTCTCACTTGAAATTTAAGAGTCATGCCGACTAAAACGGCAAAGGCTTTCTCATGAATCTCACGGCTTATGAAGCACAGTCAAGTATTTACTTCTTCATTCTCCGACCCTTGTCTCCCAAGAATTAAGCATGCCTCTCGGCTCCCCTTGGAATGTTATATATTGTGTGACCATCTCCATGTTTGAGGACTGAGATGTACGGTAGGTAGTTCTCAACATAGTTTCACAAAGTCTCTAGAACTCTTCAACTGAAAGGTGAGTTATATTTCATTGCTAGAGATATCATGATATATTGGACTGACACGCTCAAATAGATTTAAACCATGGCGGATCTTACATCGGAGAAACTTGCAGAGTCTTCTGCTACTTCAGCAAAGTCTCTAAACGTTCCACCCAACCAAACTGGCATCTCCTCTGAAATGGCATCCATCTCGGAGATCGATCAAGAAAAAGCACAAGTTAAACAAACCGAGGATGCTCCTCCAGTACGAGATATTACAGGTTGGAGGTGGGCTCTGGTGGTTGCCGCAATACTCTCCTCCAGCTTCCTCTTCGCTCTCGATAACACCATTGTGGCAGTTGTTCAAGCTGACATCGTTGTTACCTTCAATGATGTTAGTAAACTTTCGTGGCTTAGTGTGGGCTTCCTCATCGGTGCAGCTAGTACGAATCTAGTATGGGGAAAGATCTTTGGCCAGTTCAATGCGAAATGGACGTATATCATTTCAATTATTATCTTCGAGGCTGGCTCTGCGTTGTGCGGTGGTGCTCCCAATATGTCTGCTCTAATTGTTGGACGGGCACTTTGTGGATTCGGTGGTAGTGGTGCGTATGTGGGTGTTATGACACTACTTGCTGCTTCTACAACTATCCATGAGAGACCGCTTTATATTGGAGGTACTGGAATGACTTGGGGTTTAGGCACTGTAATTGGTCCGATTATCGGAGGTAGGTTCATGCTCGTCCTTCATTGACTAAGACGAAAAATTGTACTAACAATATCAAAGGTGCATTCACAGATTCCTCTGCAGGATGGCGTTGGGCTTTTTACATCAATCTTTGCATTGGCGCAGCTTGCGCTCCAGTCTACTTATTTCTCCTACCAAATTATGATCCCCGCCCGGGTGTTCCACTCCTCCATCGCGCAAAAGAGGTTGATTACCTCGGTGGCATACTCATTATTGGAGCCTTTGTCTCTGGTGTCATGGCCGTCTCATTCGGCGGTGTAACTTACCCCTGGAACTCTGGGAAAATTATCGGTTTGTTCGTCTGCTCAGGTATCTTGTTCATCATCTTCGGTATCCAACAAGTCTTTACTATTTTCACCACGACCAGCCGTAGAATCTTTCCTATCGAGTTTTTGAAGAGTAGAACAATGCTTATCCTTTTCGCCATGACATCTGCTGGAGGAACCGCCATCTTCATCCCTATCTATATGATTCCAATCTTCTTCCAATTCACCCGTAACGACTCGGCTCTCGAAGCAGGCGTACGGCTTCTGCCATTCATCATTCTGATGATATTTGCCGTCATATCCAACGGTGCCATCCTTTCCGCATACGGTTACTACATGCCATGGTACACTGCAGGTGGAATCTTCGTCCTCATCGGCGGAGCCCTCATGTTCGCCGACGTTACCCCCGATACCTCTATTGCCAAAATCTACGGCTTCACCATTCTCATCGGTTTCGGTGTCGGTTTATTCGCTCAAGCCTCCTTTTCCGTTGCCCAAGCCGTTGTTGCTGAAGAACTAGTTTCTTCCGCCGTCGGCTTCATCACCTGTGCACAAGTAGGCGGTGTAACGATCGCTCTCGCAATTGCTAATTCCGTCTTCCTCAATGGAAGTCAAGAGAAGATTCAAGCTATTCTGCCCGATCTACCGGCTGCAGAGATTCAGCAGGCGATTGCGGGTGCGGGTAGTGAGTTTGTTAAGAATTTGACAGTGATGCAGCAAAAGGAGGTCATTCAGGCGATTGTGGAGAGTATGAGCAAGACATATGCTATGGTTATTACGGCGGGAGCGATGACTGTAGTGTTGAGTTTGTTGATGAAGAGGGAGAAGCTTTTCATGAGCGCAGCAATGGGTGGTGCTTAGATTGAGAATTGGTAATTAGGATAGTCTAGAGCTTGATATGGGAGGATAAGTTGCTTTAAGCTGCCTATGAGTATAGGGGGAAAATAGGGCAGAGAGGAAGATAATTGTGTTGATGAACAAGCTCCATCAACTACATCATGCAATCTTCTCGTACCCTGTCACTTGTATCTAATACAATTTCTGTCACCAATGCTATCGAATGCTTATCACTTAAAAATACTTTCTGTATTATCTCTTCGGTAGAAACAACAACATTAAATCATCCTCTACACTGTTATCAACCATTAACTTTCGTATTCCTCGAAGAAAATAATAATATCATCCTTAAAAAAAGCTCATGAGTGATTTTTAATGCCAATGCTCATATGTATCCCTCGTGTCTTATGTGTGGCTATGTTAAACTAAAATTCCCAGTCCACATCGCCCATCGATGTGTTCAATCACCAATGCACTTCCCTCCCGTCTCCTCACACTATAACCCTCTTTCAAAGCCCAAAAAATCTACAAAATCTTCCCTGTCAGCTACTGACGTCCGGGGTATATGTAATAGTGGCAGCAATTTGTCTCTTTCTTCTCGTCGAATGCAAAGAAATTGACCACTTCACCGCGTGAATATTTGGATTTCTCCCTATTCCCCTATACCCCCATTTCCCCAACCATCCATCCCCTTCATCCTTGACAAAAGAAACATCAATCAACCCACAATCCGATCTGCTCTGTGAAAGTCGAGCCCATTCATATTTGATCAAAGAATGCCCAAAATACAAAAAAACGCCCTGTGATATGCATTATCTCCCATCCTTCCCATTCCCAAACGCCACGCTTGAGTCATGAAGTTCAGTTAATGTAGACTACGGCATGTCGAGTCCAAAGAGGCAAAAAGGAGAAGCTCGTACGCTTCGGATAAAATTAACAAAGTGAACAAAAAAAAAAGTCTGCTAGAGGTGTAATGTGCCTGGTGAAGGCAAATAAAATGACATTGAAAAGAAAATATTTGTGTGAGCTGAGTTGTGTTTGAAGTAGAAGTTACCACATAAGGTTTACCGATCTCTCTTTAGAATTTTACCCACATTAAGATAATCATCGTTTCCACCCATGTTCGAAGACTTTGAAGTAGGTCAAGGCGTAGGAAGGAAATCGCCATCGACGACTGTTTGTGATGATTTTGAAGTGGGTCGAGGTGTAGGAAGGAAGTCACCATCGACAACTGTCTGTGATGACTTTGAAGTAGGCCGAGGAGTGTGTTCTTCATCTATGAATGAAAATTGTGACTGTGATTGTTTTGGCGTTTTGAATAGATCAACCTCTTTATCGCTGGGGCCCTGAGATTTACCTGGAGGTGTTGAAGTAGCCTCAGAAATCTCGGATGCTGGGGGTATTTCTGACGTTGGTGATGAAGTAATCGCCTCTTCAGTGACGGTAGGTGGTGGCTCTATCGAGTCAGAACTTAACATTTCTGTCCCAGACACAACACTACCACGACTGTTCGTGCGCATCATTTCTGTACCAAGCTTAGAGCCACGATGTGTTTTTGGAGAAGTGGTAGCCTTTGGGCTGGTCTTTTCTCGTACAGCAACATCACCCAAAACTTCATCCTCATCATCACCAGATTCTGCACACTCATGGCGGTTCTTCTCCAGAATTTCACGTTTCGCCTTCATTTTTTCAGATGATCGTTGGCGAGAAAGATTTCGACGATGTTCTAATCGCACTGGAGAAGGGCTGTTTGGAAGAAGGTTGGGTGGCGGAAGTTTAGGTAATTCATTGTCTTCAATCATATCAACTTCGTTACTGATACCAAGTCCAGTCTCATCCCAATCGCCTGTAGGCCTCCTATTAATGACGACAGGAAGATCATCGGTTGGAAAAGCCTCGGTATCCTCAAAAAGACTCGAGCTGATAGAATCTTCGCGACTTGAACCTCTGAAACTACCAGCTGGCATATGCGCAAAGCCAGACGAAGCAGAAGTAGGGCTATCTTCAAGACGCAAACTCTCCTGGCGTAGACCAGACGGTGGAGGATATGCCGGAGAGAAGTTCAAACTTGATATAGGCTCTTTCCATTGACATAATCTACAAAGGACTTCGGTAAGCTTCGACGCTGTCGGTGGCTTTTCAATCAAAGCATCGAATTGATGAGGTGCTTGAAGTTCTTTCAGGTATCCGGTGATGGCAACTATGGGAGTTTGAGAATTGGCGTTCTTTGTTTCGCGAATCATTCGAGCCACATCTGCACCATTGAGTTGAGGTAATTTGAATTCCATCATGATAATATCGAATTTGATGTCACTGACGGCATATCTCAATGCATCAGCACCATTTGACACCGTAACTGTGCGACAACGCAATTTCTCCAACAATTTTTCCATAACCATTCGCGATACTGGGTGGTCTTCGCAGATAAGTACATCCAAAGGTCTAAAAGCAGGACCATCAGAAAGGGTAATCTGGGACATGCGCCTTGAGCTTTGACGGCGACGTTGAACGCGAAGTAATGCATTAGCCTTTTCTCCTTCATTATCCGAAGAAGAAGGTGACATATCGAACACTTGACTTCGTCGCTTGCGATGGGACAAGAACTCGCCTGGTAAAGGGCTTCCTTCTTGTGATCCAACTGTTTGCGAGCGAGCTCTAGATGATGATGAGGTACCACTACCTTGTCGGGGGGTGGCAGGTGGTTTTGCTGGCGATGATAATGAAAGTGGTGGAGGTGCAGACCCACGTATCTTAATAGGCGACGAAGCGGCAGAACTAGTGGTCTTATGAAGCCCTGGCGATGTTCTAGGCCCATCTATAAAACTAGCAGGTGGTGCAAGGTTGTTGCTCGATTGCTGTGATAAGCTCGAGGAATTGCTCGAAGTTTTACGTCTAGCTTCATTATTCTGCCCTGCAATAAATGAGACAAGTAACGGTGATGAAGGTTGTGAAGCCCTACTTGGAGAAGCATCTGCTTGACTAAATCCAGACGGAGACGAAGGCCGGGCAGTAGCTTTAGCATTTGACAAGGTTCTTTGAATTGGCATTGGCATTGGCATTGGCATTGGCAATACAGGGCTTCCATCTAATGCAGCTGGGGATGTGACTACGTTGTTAGTACCACCAGGACTGACAACTGGCTTGCTTGTGGCCGACATGGCTTCCTGTCGTAGTTTTTGTATAACATCTTTGTTTGCCTTTTCTAGAACTGGTAAGTTTTTGAAAGTAAAATTGCCGAAGTCGTCTGCTACTACAGGTTCGCTGAGCCGCCTACTCTTCATATCTCGGACGTGGGGTGGGATGTGTAAAGGCATTAAACCTCGTTTGACGTTATTGACTTGACTCCGAACTCGAGACAAAGCATCATGAGGGCGTTCGGGATATTCGGCACCAGGTGTAGGATGCTGAGTAGATGCTTGATCTTCCATCTCTTCCGCGAAAGATTGCAGGGTGGCTCCTCTCGCATCGAAGTACTCGGTATCCTCGGGATTCTCTGGTGCGGGAACAAATTGTGCATCGTCTTCGAGCAATTTGTCCCACTGAGTGCCTTCGAACCAAGGGTGGCTTCGGATTTCATCGCCTCCAGTAGGAAACTTCTCTTCTTTGTTAGCCCCAAGTCGTTTCTGCGGGTCTGAGCATAAAAGCTTATTCATGAGATCCTTAGCCTCATCTGAGACATCGTAGTCACCTTCATCCGGCCATGAAATTCGGCGAGCCAAGATGTTTTCGAAAACTTCATCCGGTGTGCCAGCATGAAAAGGTGGATAGCCATAAATAAATTCAAACATGATACACCCTACAGACCACCAATCACTTACTTCATCTTGACCAAGGCCATTTACGGTTTCGGGAGCAAGATAATCAGGTGTACCAACAAACCGACGATTACTGTCATCAGGATCGAAAAGAGCCATTGGAGGTGGCATCATACCTGTGCTAGTTTGTGGTGGTGTACTGTGCCTAGCATCAGAACTGTGACTCGTAATAGGATGAAGGCATAAGTCTGGTGATCCAGCAGTCTCGTTCTCGCTCAATTCTTCGATAGGTGTTCTTCTTTGATTGAGCGCTTGTTGATTTTGGGACTCGTTCAAAGAAAATTGGTTGAACATAGATGTCAATGCATCACTACCGCCGCTGTCACTCCTATGGCCAGACTTTCGTCGCGCATCCTTGTTGATGGTGTTTTCACGACTCAAATTGAAGTACGAGGGTGTCCCTAAGCTACCTGCAACATCTGGGGTCATCTGAGGTGTTGAGCCAGGTGAATGATGGCCCTGATAATCGAATGATGAAGCACGAGAAGAACTCATGGAAGTGGCTCGAGCAAAAGGACCTTGTTTCAGCAGATCTGGAGCAGACTCATTCGCTACGCTGCTTAATACACGCTTTTGACGTCCAATCAAACCCATTCTCGACAAACCAAAATCAGTCAATTTAAGATGACCCTTTTGATCAATGAGAAGATTGTCGGGTTTCAAATCACGATGTACAATGCCACGACTGTGAAGATGTTCAACGCCAAGGATCACCTCACCAAGGTATTTCTTTGCCCAATCTTCCGAAAGACCCCCGAGAACTTTGATGAGAGATGCGCAATCGCCACCATTGAGATATTCCATCACTAGATATAGATAGTCTTTGCTTGAAAATGTCCAATAGAGCTTCGCGACAAAATCGCTCTCACCTTGCCACATCATGATAGCACGTTCAGCCTTAACATTTGTGACTTGATTCTTGGCAACCATATCGGCCTTTTTAAGTACCTTGATAGCATAGTAATCACCAGTTGACTTCTTCTTCGATAGATAAACACTACCAAAGGCTCCCTTGCTGATAGGTTTGATGATCTCGAAATCTTTGATCGACGGTGGTACGGCACGTGCTTGTGGAGCGCTAACAGAATTTAATCGGGGCGATGGTGGTGGGCGTGGTTCTGATCCAGCAGCCGAGGACTGACGTCGATGGTGTGACGGGACTAATGCGGGTGAGCTGAACTCGCTTCCGGGAAGCATCGGCGATGCAGTTGGAGAAACGATACCCTCGTGGGCGATCGGCAAAATGCGGGGTTTGGAAATTCTCAATGGGGATGATGGAGGTGGCATCCGAACGGGAGACTCTTGTCTTCGGGGTGAAAGTGTACCAGTACCAAGAACCATGCTTCGCCTGTTTTGTTGCCGGGAACTTGCATGTCGACGAAGATCTCCGAATTCTGAAACTGGCGATTCCGTTCTTGGCGGACGCCCCATGACCGATGATGATCTGACGCTACCATCACTCTCCGCACCCGTATCACTTTCGAAGAAGATTGATTCTCTTCTTGCTTCCCGGGATTGTCCTAGTATACTACTCAAAGCGCCTTGGTGTGAACGAGGAGTTGGGCATTCTTTAGGACTACTGGATCTGGTAGAGGAAATGGCAGCAGATGATAATTGCCGACCTTCATGTACCATGCTCGTCCCAAGTTCAGCAGCTCGGAGTGCTGCTGCCAGCGATGAGGGTCCATGTGGTCCGTCGAACGAACCTGCAAAAAATCCCTCTTCATTAGCTGGTGTTATTTCTTCGGGTTCCTCTGTCGAATCACTAAGTTGGCCAGCTGCAAGTCGGGCAGCTTTGTTGATAGCCTCATCTATACAATCTTGTACAATTGCCGAAAATTCCATACGGATGCGTTCTGAGTATTCGATAATTCTTCGATGACGAATGACAGCTTCAACCTTTGCACGCGCAACGGCTTCACTATCCGCACAAAGCATCGATAAGCCTTCTTGATCTACAGCGTTCAAACTTGGTGATTGCCATTGCATAACTTGAGATATGCGGGATTCCGATTGAGGAGATTGTGTACGAAACTCTCCAGGAGCTTGAGGGGATGGTTCTTTGATCGCGGGTGTGTTGATTTCCATGGCTGTATCACAAAGGTCCAATAATAGTTCGACGATTCGAGCATGAGGTCGCCTTTGAGCGAAGGATCGTCCTCTTGCATGACCAAATCCTGATGTAGACCTTGATCGAGATCTACCCGATGTGGGTGTCCCTGGAGAAGCTGTACCAGAAGATGTAGTTGAGTTGGCACCGATCGGTAATCCCTTGTATTCAGCCTGAGGTGGAGTCGGCATCACAGGTTGTTCTCCCGCACTCGGCCGAGCTTGACGAGCTTCTAGCGCATCCAAAACTCTAACAATAGCATGACGATGTTCCGTCAAATTATCCTGACACATTTGTACTTCCATCTCAGCTTTGTGTTCTTGGAGGCACAACTCGGTATGCTTTTCGAACCACCAAGGAGGGATTTGACGTTCGCAGATTCGGCAAAGGAGTGGTAATGGCGGGGCATGATTTTCTGGATCATTCAGACCTTGTTCCGCAACTGTAGTGAGATATTTCGCAAGAACTTGTGCTCCAGTACCTAAAGATTCGACTATAACTGGGGCGAGGTCTATTTGAATTTCTCGGGGCGCCATCCAAGGTCTGATCATCCACATTGTCTAATAACATTAGCTGTCAATTTTCGATCAAAGATTATGACAAGAACCCACATGACTGCCTGCTTCAGATCCTCGATCGTGTACCATGATGCCTTGTCCTTCCAGCTCAATTGTAGCAGGTCCCGGATGCGATATTGCTGCACCTTCGCCTTCGCCTTCTTTGACATGCTCTAGATTATCTAGTGGTAATAATCTTGAAGCCGGACCCAGCTCAATGGCGAATCTTATAATGTAACTGCGAGAATCATCTTTCTTCATTTCCTCCAGAGTATCTGTGAATACACTCCGATCGTTGTCCCCTATCAAAATGTCCGCGATTGGTTTCCCTTGAACAGAATCCAAAGTTGTACCAATAACATCTGACCATGAGGGGCTGACCCAATTTATTGTGCCATCCATGCTCAGATCCATGATGACATTGAGAGTTTCTTCTGCTGCTTGTCTGAGATCTTCTCTCTCTTCTCGAATATCCGCACTGAGTGATCGTTCCATCATACCGGCCTCTGCACGCAGATGCGACACCGCAGGTGGTGCCAACATTGCCTGATTCTGATCTCCCTCCATCTTGAATAGTTTGTAAATTAAGGATTCCTAAGAATCAATCCTTTGCGTCAACATTGACTATTGAATGGTGCCCTTAGACTTTCAATCAACTTCATTGATGTTGTACGCGTCTTCGTTGGTTGAAATCGGGTGTTACCGTGTCTTCGCAAGCGTTCGTATCGTGGAGGGGAAAAAGCGTTCAGTCGACTCGACCGCGAGGAATGAACCTAGCTAGCAATCAATATTGAAAGAAGACATCATAACAGTTGATATTGATGTCTCTTTCTATAAATTTTGGGAGAGAAAAGTATTTGATGGAAGTAATTTTTTGAAAACGGTTTAGAGGTTGTAGTTGGGGGGGAATAAATTTATCTGGCGTGGCCTGGGTTGATATCCTACTACGGCAGAACTAATCCGTTTGAGTTTTTGGTGTGAGTGTGATAAAAGTATGGAGTGTGATTTGAAACGGGAAAACCTGAGGTTGAAATGCCTTTTTTTAATTTATTTTAACTTTTTTCCCCCTTCTCTTTCATAGGTAATTGAAGAGCATCGGAAGGTAGCTTACTTACTAGGTAGGTAGGTATTTGCTTATTTGCTTATTGTACAGACTGGTGGACAGGACTTCCAAGGTCGGGTCGGTTGCAACGGTTTGAATCGAGTTTGTCCAAGTGAGGAAAAACAACAACACAGGAATGTGTGCGAGTGAGGTAGGTTAGGTTATCGTGATACAACCAAAATTGATTTAATTGTATAACTCGGGAGTGAGTAAGTGAGAGAGTATGAGAATCGAATGTTTTTTCTTTTTCTTTTCTTTTCTTTTCTTTTGAGAGCAAGGTTTTGAGACTACCTAGGGACCTAGGTATTATCTTCCCTTCACCTACTCTAAGAATATTGACTTGTCCTGAACCCTTGTGTCAAAAAGTAGTCGTAGATCTGATCTGATTTGATTGATTGATTGATTGATTACCTACTCTCAATGCTATGTATGATATGATATGATATGGATACCGGTACCCATAAGATCTCAGGTGAGGGGAAGCAACCAATTGGATTGAAGAAAATATATCACGAAGGACAACAAATTCAATTAATAAGTTTAGACAAAGAACATTGAAATGGATTGAGTTGAATTGAGTTGAGCTGGTGAATTCTATCTACCGAGACCGACCAGGACAAAAAGGGCGATGCTACTTTGTACTATGGGGTGAGCGAGAAGGTAGTTAGGATTGATTAGTATCTGGCATTTAGTCTTCGTAGATATAAGAAAATGAAATAGCTGGGCCGGTGATTCTACCCTAGATGTCGAGGTGGATATTTATATAAATAGCTAAGATCTTATAATATTGAGTTTTGGGAATTCGGAGTGGACATACTAGGTGACATGAATATGTAATTAGTAAAAAGGGCTCACCAGGTTCTACTATCCGTTGGCATTCCTGTTGCAGCAGAAGACGAGTATGTAACCTCACAAAGCCTCCATCGCCTACCCATACTTTCTCCTCGCTAACAATACATAAAACTTGAAGATATACTACTGTTCACCACTATCAACTAATTGCTCTAGACCATTTCCCCTCACTTTAGTCAATGTATTTGAGTCTTGATGCTACGTCAAAGCGACAATAAGGTTTAACTTCTTCCATCACACGCGCAAACTCACTCACTCACCTACCTCACTGTCAGCCCTTGAAGCCCTTTCCAGCCACAACTCATCGTCACCACTCTTGCTTTCTATCAAACTTACTCAACGAACAACAACAAAAATGAAACATTTTCACCACTTGGCAATTCTACACCCGATATGCCAAACCCACCGTTAAACATATATTTAATCAAGCTCACCCCTCCATCACAACCGAACTATGACCCCCATCAACCTCGACCACAACTTCTCACTTGGCGCTCTCCCACACACAAGGAGTATCACATACATAACCATAGTTCAATCGTTCAATCCTCAAAAGCCAATTCGCCCCCAAGGAAATCATCTATCCATTTACAAACAAGCCGGTATCTTGCGCATTGGATCCCTGAAAGGAAAAAAAGACGAGTTGGTTGCAACCTCGCATATATCCATCCACTTATTATCCAAATTATATTGCCGTATCACAACGTTATTTCTCGACCCATTTTGAAACTTTTTCTTCGTCATCTGCGATTTCCATATCCTTTTCGAGATCTGCATGCTGGTCATAAAATGATTGGTTCTTCGATCTTTTACGACTTCGGCCAGGTCCGTCGATTGAACGAGGGGCATCATGAATGCCACTCGCACCACTTTACAGAAACGTATGGTGAGGTTAACCAAATTAGTTCGATTGCGATTTAGGTGACCTGACCCAAGCAAGATATTCATTACAGCGGGGGATGTTTAGAAACATTAGAGATTCTACCCTTTTCCACTCTTTTCTCTCTTTTCTGCATATAAACACTAGCACAGGTTGGATTTGAGTTGCCGTCTTACCTTGTCACTATCAAAACATTTCATTCGACTATACTCGAGTACTTATCAAACACTGCTTACTTTCATTCACGTTTACGGTAGATTATAAACAAATCAATCCCCGAGGGTTCTGTAGCATCCATGACTCTCATTGCATTTCCTGATCAAGCTTCTTAAACTACTACAACTACAACTACAACTACATACATACAACCCCGGAACCCCTGTTTTAACAATCGCCAAATTCCACAGAATAGCAACCGAGAGCTCGCCCAGCAACAATCTTTATTAACCTACCCAACACCACAACTTACCCCATCTCGAGTCCCTGCCATATATTTGAAAATTTATTTATTTATGCTTGTCCAAAGGTTACCACATCACTACCATCTACAAAATAAACATCATCATCCCACACACTTTCAATCAAAGCTTACTTTACCTCCCCTCACTCACTTACCAATTACCACCCTTCACTCGCAACGCCAATCCAACCAACATAACATCCTTCCGCCCAGAGAGCTTGGAACCGAGCACTGCATATTACCCTTTACCCTAGAGCAAGCCGCAACTAATCTATACGACTCCCTAGCAACTAGCCACTCGAGCTCAGAACGGGAACTAAGAAGTTGTACACTCAAGACCTCAGACTAAATTCAAAGAAGCCAAAACTTACCAGAGCTAGTGAGAAATAACAGTCAGCTGGTCAATCAGATCACTTTAGATGCATGCGCTACCTAAGCCATCATCATCACCATCATCATCACCATCATCACCATCATCACTACGTATAACACAGAGGGTGGTTGAGATCTAGTCAGTTGAAGGTTATGCAAGTGCTTTTGGATTTTTGTTGGGGATCAATCTAAATTGAGTAGTTTTCGAGAATGATCTTTCAAAGGGTCTTGTGGGAGTTTGCATATACGCATACGAGCAACGAGATTCTTGAGTCTAGAATATCGGAATTTGAGTTCACGGCTTTGATTCAATTGTTCGCGCACATCAAAACGGTTCTTCACTCCATGCACATTTCGCACCTTGAAGCAATACCGATACTTCCGTGGCTAAGTTCTTACTCTAACTACTTTTGCGCGATATTCTATAGCTAATGCTAGTGCTAGTATTGATTTTCGTCTACTCCTCTCTTTTAGCTTTCCGTATATTTGGTTGCTAATTTATTAGTGTACGAGTATCTTCACCTCTCTTGCCCATTCACATCTAGCTTTTTCCTCTTTTAACTGTCTCTCCCCCTTCCACTTTTCCAAACCCTGGAAACCCACGCGTTCCAAGCCCAAAAATCCATCCCACGCACTTGGATCAAAATCAATTAATAACATTACAAACCCAACGAACCGGGGAACATGTTCATTGTTTCCCGGCCGGTAAGATCTTATGTGGGGTACGACAGTACCACGAAAATTGGTCTCGTGGTGATAGCCATGAAGATCGTTGAGTCACGTGCGGCAGACTGAGGAAGTGCCAATGCTTTGAGGGTGAAGGTCTAGGTTACTTGTGGATTGAGTGTGGAGGAAAGGACGAGGGACGGTGATGCATGAAAAACTCACCGTTTGACAACATATTTGTTTCAAACTCTGTTTTTGGCATGCTTGCTATTCATTCGCTGTTTTTCCTCGATATTCTGCATGGAATCTGTCCGAATTGAATGTTGAGGGCTCAAGGGCCCAAGGCATGAGTAGTACAATGTCTCAAGTGTCTTGATGTCTTGCTTCTTATCCCATACCTTTCATCGACTAGCTTTTTATGAGTGGAGTAGAGTGGAGTATAGGGTAGTGAGGCAAATAAATACATGCATATATTTCCAATCTCGTGATTCGTAGCTCGTCGCTCGAATTTTTGAGAGTTGGGAATGGGGGCTGAGACTCCCGTAGGACGAACTATTTCTTTTTCTTTTTCTCCTTCTTGGTACGACGGGATGGATGGGCTGTCCTGGATGGGTATAAGTTGGGATGACTTATTTCAGGGGTTTAATTTTATAACCGTATAATGATTCAGCATTGACTTAACGGCAAAGTCTAGAATGTCATTCGGATATGGTGTTTTTTCAACTAATAGTGTCACCCCCGAGAGTTTGGATGTCTCACATTTAGGGTCAGCCGAAAGCTCCGATATTTGTGTTTTGGTAATCGATGCCCGAATCTTTGGGTAGGACAGAATGGCACAAATTTTCGCCTGCGGAGGATAGGGGATGGATCACAAATTTCCCCAGGTAGAAAGTTTAGAGATGCTTGTCGTTTCATCGGAACAATGTATACTATTGTAAATACTTAGTATCTTTACTCGGTATTCTATAGCTAGTGCTAGTATTAGAGTAATAGAGTTTATGTCTAGTGATGTATCTCTATTTCTCCGAACGAATAAACTCCTAACTTGATAATGTCTAGCTTTATGGAACCAGTGTATTACATTACAAATATACATCGCATTAGAATATTCTCAATTCTATTTATCTAGACCTTATTGCTTCCATGGCGCATGCTTCTTGAAATGTAGCAAGACTCATATACCTTCGAGTTCTCCTGATTATTCGGATCAAAGAACAACTCCGATGGTTTCTTCGTTTGAATAGAAGAAAGGATTAGTTATTTAACAGTTCTTGAATTTCAGGACGCAAAGTTTAGCCTCAAGAATTACTATTCTAATTCAATTTGTAATATATTTGGTTATGACTCCAACACACAACCATTCTCGATCAACATTTTCATAATTTTAATATAGACCGACGTTGTGTGTCTATCTACTTCTGGAAATCAAACCTATCCCTTATTCCATTCTCGCTAGCCACCTGTGACAAATCTCTAGCTCCTCTTCACCTGAACTATATTTCCATGTCCCTCAATGTTCCTCCCGATGGATGTTTTCCCCAAGCCACCTGAAGTGAATAGCTCGGATAGATACCCTCCAATTCACTCTCTGACAAGCGCATAGATAGCTCGTGGGGCTTCTTAGTATCAAGTAAAGAAGATCTGAAAGAGAATCAGATTCAGAGAACGGGAAACGCAGCTAAAAATTTGTTCTCAACTTCTGGAGCTACGCACTAATCACATCGGTGTAGAGTGGTAGTTTACTATCGTGCTTTAAAACCCGCTACAGAGCGCAGTGACAATAAGCGAAATCTGCAGTGCTTCATAACAATTCATCAAATAGTGATGCTGTGCGCAATTTGACAATAGCCTCTGGCAAACAGAAAATCGGGCGGTTGACTTGAGCTTCTAGATCAAGATTTTCATACTAAAATGAGGGCATACCCATCCTGTGGGCTTGCCGAAGTCCAACGCAGCACCATCATTATGATTTAGACAGACAAGGAGGATAATGGCGTAGATTTGGTTGACAATGGTTGGAAATCGTCCAAATCGCTTGGAGCAATCTATCTTGCTTCTCATATCTTTACATCCTTATCCAATCTGAAATAGCAATGCTCTCTTTTCTTCGAACGCTTCCCGGATTGTATGTACCATCTCTTCTATGATTGATGCTCCAACACTGTAGTTTTCGATACATGCGATGAGGGTTAAAAACTTCCTATCGTTTGGAAATCTCGAGTATCATCGGATGATCGAACATAGTCAATCCTCATTCCAACATTCAGAACGAAGAGACGATGGGGGCTTGTGTGAGGAATGAGGGTGTATATACAGTAATTGAGATGAATGATGTTATGATATAACGTTGTATGAGAATGAACTTTCTGATGTGTCATTCGACAGGAAAGATTATCTACCCCCTTCAGCTGATCTCGTAACGGTACCTAATAGTCTATTACTTGATGGAAAGAACAAAGAATTCTTGTCTGTGTCAACAGTAAATGGCAGATAGATCTGACAACCTCGAAAATGTGTGTACGCATTTCCTCCGCACATGTGAAGCTACCAAGATATTTCACCACGATTACTTGTTTCGCTGCAGCTGTGAATACATTATTCTAAGTATAACTCGGAGGAATGCCAGGAGAAATAGACAGATTCTTTCATTTATCGTGTGAATTTAATCCATTAATGACAGTGGTATAACCAGATGTGACAGAAATCATTCAAGGAGATTAGAAAGAAACGAATCCATGTGATAACCAGAACCGGCCTACAGCAAGAAAATTCGATTCAATCAATGACACAGCTGCTATTGGAGACCGGACTAGTGGCAACCGCCCAAAGATTGGAAACTTCTTCAACGGATTTCAACGCGGTAGCCTCCAAGTCTTCTGGGGTCAATCTTGTGTTTACCATTGGTAGGTCCATCGATTGTAGTATTCGGAGTGCCGTTTCCAGGGGCACCACTTGAACAAAAGTTATTGCTTATTACTGACGACTCTTGAGGGGCACCACTTACGACCAGCAGATTAATTTAACGCCAACAGTAGCTTTAATTTCGACACCTTGAATGTTGCTTCAAGCTTTTCAGTCATACAGATTTTTTAGATGGAACGATCCTGACTTACGGAGTGCCTTCGAGAGTGTAGTTTGTGTTGACGTTTGGTTCATGAGTGCGGTCACTACCGCCCTTGACGTCCCACTTGACCTGTTTTGCATGTTAATCATGACTATAATTTAGAATCCGAGGGAAAGGGAAGCTGACGGCATACCCAGGCTGTGGATAGAGGTGTGATTGCTTCGAAATCATGTGGATACTCTGGTGGCGCAATTCCCTCTGCCATTGCAGAAGATTCACTTGCCATCTTGAGAGGTATACAAACCGAAGGAAAGATTATGATTCTTGGCTTTGAGAAATTTTAGTTTGCTTAGGAGCTTGAATGGCCCAAGAGAAGCAAGTTGAATGGATATACGTGTGGTATTTATGTGTTTTCTACTCTTTATTTTGCCGATCATCAAATTAATGCTCACCTGTGAGGTTGTAATACCGTGAGAGTTTTCTGCGGTGATACTGTATTCTGAATCTCTCTGGACATATGGTTGTTTCTGATTCGACTTAAAGTGGCCAGGTCTATGCAGTGTTGCGATGTTTTCCAAGCTTGCAATAGGAATTTCTGGATTTGTTACTTTTCGACCACATTCTGTTCCACGAACATTGGCGGGGTATAATTCTGATTGTAGTCACTTTGAAATCGATTGTGGTGCACCAAGCCACTTTCAAAACCGTCTACTCTAAGTTATGCCATACTACATTACCGGTCACAGCTATGAATATCACATGGCGTGTTAGATTATGTCTACGATACGCAACCAATCTCTTTTAGCATAATACTAGTGATGACAGCGGAACAAGTCACTGGGTGGAGCAATTAGGATAGATATTTGTAGTCGGCAAAGAATGACAGGCCTTTCCAACACCCTCGAAACCGTCCATGATAGTACTATTGCTACCTGTGTTATGTTAGATAGCAAGAAACTCTTTCAAGAAACTCTTTTGAAGGAGATTTTGAGGAACTTTTGCTACAGATACAGATATGACTTCAAAGCTCTATAACTAGTTGATCCTAGCCTGGGAATGCTTGAATAAAGTCTCTCGAGTAAGGCGTATTCTAGAGTCACCGCAAATACATTACAGATAACGCTCATCTTTGTGAATACTATGAATGATATGTGAACCCAATACGACTGCGGGGTAATAAAGCCTTTGGTTACAACATCGGGCTCATCTGGGCTGTTCTGATATTAGGCTTTAATACGAGAAGCTCGATTACGAGTGTGCTGTGTATCGACCAGATATCGTGTACTTGAACAACTACCTCGTATGGATAGCCTACCTTCAATGGCTTGAGTGCACAATATCATGCCGCACAGAGCAAAAGCATGCAATCTTGTTTCACCTGTTCAATCTATCCATCACACAAATGTATGGTGTGAGCTTTGATTATATCACCATGTCAAACTGTTCTGACATTGGGTAACACAGAAGCGGAGATGCAATTTGTAACAAAGGTTACACAGCATATGACAAATCGCGGTCATGTATTTGAGGTTGAAGACGGTACACAGAAACGGATTACACCAACTACAAATGCTCTGCCTATCATACAATGATATCGATGGCTTTGAGTAGCCGATGTGAAGAACAACTTTTGGATTGCCGAAAAACGTAATATATGGCTGTGAAAATGCCACAGGAAAATTGGAAATTGATAAATAAAAAGGACCTAACAAGGGTCATAAAATACCGAGAGTCTGAGAGAAGAGACCGTGCCATTACTCTTATAGCTATCCAAAGAAAACTCCTGGATAGTCAACAAAATTCAACGAGGTCCGAAGTGAATGAGAGTTTCTAGCCAGCGATAACATAACAAGCCGCCTATTCTTTGGCTTAAACGTCAATCTCATGGTCTCGGGCTACATGGCCCTCAGGATATATTGATTTATTGATAACCAAAGGCTCCATAGGTCACTTGACTCTTTTCAGTTATATGCAGCAACTGTCGGAGCAAGTAAGCTTTCGGAAATTGGTGTTTGGAGCCACTCTATCTTCCAATCTTCCCTCATAGTTTTCACACCCCGACCTCGAAGATATATTAGGAATAAAAAAGGGCTCGGTGAAAAGCTATACACTGGCGAGGAGATGTCGTGGCTGATCGCGGGTGGAGATATGGAAGATAAACAGATAGCTTGTAAGGAATTGTTCGAACCAGGAAGTTTGATTCAAGCGCAGATGGCGTCGCAGATAAAAGGAACAAGATAGTCCCACAATTTAAGCTTATTCTCGCCTTCTGTTTAATTGTGTGAACAAAGTTTGATAATATAAACATTCTTTCCCTCCTAGCATTGTCATGCCATCCTGCCAACCTCGTAGTATACATCGCCATTGCACTTGCACTTGCACACTGCCTTTTACAGATAATCAATTTAAGAACTAAAATTCGGTTTGTTGCAACACGACGATAGTGTCTTGTGAAGATGTCTAACACGAACCTTATACGTTGTCACTCCCAAAAACATGTGATGATTCTACTTGTCATTCAGACAATCATGGTGACTCTATTCAAACGCACTCCTTGGTGAAGGGTCTGTCACGATGTGACAAAGATTGAACACCGGGCCATAGATCTGATCGTTCCGGTAAGGCTAGACCCTGATTACAGTTTCTGTGGTTCCTCGACGGGTGATCCCCTGGTATGAGGTAAAAATGGTGGAGTGGAAAGTAATGGAAGTTAGATATTGTATCTTTAAGTAATGGGTTTGATGGAAATCGAAACTAACAACTAGAAGTTGTGTTGAACGGATTTTATGCGCACATTTTGAATCAATCGGTAGATCAAGATATGGTGCGAAGTAGTAGAGAAGAGAAGGGGAGGGGGAAAAGATTCTGTGGGCTTATTGCATTTGCCGGCCTTTTTATCAAGGGTAGCAATCATTCCAGGGCAAACGCCGCTTTAACACAAAGGACATTAGACCTTATCAGATACCAGTATATCTTCACATGCAACGTCGATGATACATCTATTTGTCGTCGATTTTTTGAGGGGGAGATTGCGAATTGAGCCAGGTTGTTTCCCGCCCACCAATAAGGTCAGGAACTTCTATTTTGTACTTACTTCCACTCACAAGGCTTCAATCATACCACGTGAGATCCAAGAATATTTAAAGTGCCATGCCCTCTATTCATGATAAGCTCATGATTCAATGTCTCACTCAGCACCAACCAACCTAGATTATTCAGTCTCATCAAAATCGATGATAACAAGTATTGCTTTATTGTTGGAGGAACCTGGAAGGCAAGGTAACATCTGACCCTAAAAGGGGGATATACAGCCACCATCATGTACACATACACCGTTCACTGCTCTTACATAAGATAATAAGGTTGACCATTTTACACTTTCTGCTCGAGTTACTCTCGTTCCTGTACCACATGTTAAAAATATATCCTCATAAGACAGCCACTATCAATTGTACATCAAACCCACTCTCTTGCAGTTCTCGGATACATCTAATCTTTCGCATACGCTCCCGCTTACGCTCGGAAAAGAATCTAGCCCACTCTGGTACGTAGATAGCATCCATCTAAAGTGCCTCGCCAACCTTGGAAACCTATCTCTCCGCCTGCAATCCCAAACGTCAAGAACAAAGGCAACAAAGCATTCACTCCTTTTCCCGGCTCCAGTTTCCCAGATTCCAACCCCTCCAAGAAGCGGTCTCCATCTCCACAACCCCTATTACTGTCCATAGAAAACTATTACGATATTTTTGATGATTTTCGCAGAGGTTGAATAATAAATACTCATTGCTCAACAAAATCGACTTGAAACATATACCGAACATCTGACCGTATTCACTTTCTCGTGCCTATCTCATGAACCCTGACCCCCGCCCGGTGTTGATCAGCTCAGCCATCATATCATATCACATCACCATTATTAACCTCATTCCTCGCCATGCCAACATTGCAACCTTCTAATCAACATTCACGACACGCAAATACAGTTAGGAATCAGCAAAATAGAAACAATATGGCGAGATCAAATGCTGTATCAGATCGATTGCGCAGTGAAGGTATTTCGACTTTACTTAATTTCAGTTTCTCCATTTCCCCATATCCTCTCCACAAATCTAATCTAATCTCGTATCTAATCTGGCAAAACAGCAGAATCGTGGGTCGAAATATCCTCACAACCATCTTCGTCCTCTATTTCCTCCATCGATAACGAAATTGTAACGACCGGTCTCCGCGTATCTCAACATCCTACTGCTCGCCGACGTAGACGATCTCATAATCAACAGCGCCCCCCAATAATCACAAATGGCAACAGACAAAGAAGCACGAGTAGTCAAGAGGAATACGAAGAATCGGAATCGGAACCAGATCATATAGATATCATAACCAGTTCCAATGAAATTTCTCCACCAGAAGCCGTTCCAGCACGATTAACGACTCACGCAACATATGATGCAGAATTCGAAGATGATGAAGATGAGAATAGTACAGCTTTAGGAATAGGAAGAGGGACAACATTACCATTCACACCCCAACCAAATGCTTTCTCTCATCCTCCTCCTTCACAATCCCAGAGTCATCGAACCCAAGCTCCTGGAAATGGCTCATATTTCCCAAGACAAGTTCATTCGCAACCTCGACCACAACCTTACCCATCGCGTAACCACACAACTTCACGGAATACGTCGTTCAACAATCACACACGGCTCCCTATAGATCATGATGCCGCTTTACGTGCTAGTCTCACAACGTTACTCTCTTGTGCAGCTGCGGCAAGAGGCCTTCCGAAGTCTCCCGCTCAAAATGCCACCAGTAATGAACCAATGGGACTCCGAATAGTTCCTGAATCAGAACTCATTGGTACGGCACCTCCTACTACAGCCAATATATCACGACCCTTATCATCAAGTCGTTCAAGGAGTGGATCATCACAAGACTCGCAAGATGAAGCTATCAAGCGCAAAGCTAGTCAAACAAAACAAAACACTCGAGCTCTCAAGAAGAAGAAGGGAGAACTGGTGCAAGGCGAGGAGGCATTTATTTCGCCTACCCTACTAACTTGGGTCATGAGTGCAGGCGTAGTAGTACTCGTCTCAGTAGTTGGATTCGGTGCAGGATATGTCATTGGTCGAGAAGTAGGAAGGCAAGAAGCATCGGTTCTCGGGGGGTGGAATGGCTCTATGAGTGATGGTAGCTGCGGAAGAGAAGTGGTTAGAAGTGGGACTGGCGGATTGAAGAGATTCAAGTGGGGTGGCAGTGTTGCTAGGAGTATTGTTGCTTGAAGTCGTACACGACAAATTATGAGCGCTTGAGCTTGATTTGGCTGAATTTCAGGTGGTCATTTTGATGAGATATCACGAGCGTGTTTGATTGATAGGGTCTAATTACCAAGCGTAACTTTTCGGAGATCTTTTGGCGTTGGTCCATGGGCATTGGGTTACATATATTTCTCATATTCACATAACATTCTGAAGGTGTTCTATTTATTTCGACCCGTACTTTTGTTAATACACATCTAGCGGGAGGAATTTTTAGGACATGATATGACATGACATGCAAATATGACTGGGGGAGGAGGGTGGATTGAGAAGATAAAATTGAGATTTGGGTCTGGATGAATGGATTAGGATAAATGAATGAAGATATTTTTCGAGGAGCGTACTTTAAGTTCTCACTATCGTGGAAGTGGAAATATTCATACTCAAACCTGCGCTCTTGAACCATTATTCAGTGTTAATTGGTATGCTAAAAACCAAATGGCGAATTTCTGGCCCAAAATTGGTTTCTAGTTGAATAAAGTATGAGTTAGTGTGCGGGTGTTCCCACCACCAAGGTAATCAAAGCGGAGGGCGGAGGGGATGAAAAGAAAGCGTATAGGACAATTGAACGAATGATTTGAAATCTAGAGCGAGTTGCGGTAGGTATTCTATGATAATTGAGATACTCTATGAATTTTTCACCGATGGAGCTTAAGTGAAGGAAGATCCATGTACAGGTAAGATGTTGACTATGACTATGTTAGAACATACTCTCGAGCCAGAAATCTGGTAAAGAGTCAATACTTTAGTATCATATATTGGATAACATTCTAGTTATGAAATATAAAACCTGGGGCCAACAGTATGTGTCTCAACTTCTATGAAAATAGAAAAGGTTAATAGAAGGGAAGGGTCCTGGGGAATAGCTCGCGTGTAGAATACGGTCACGGCGACGAGAGCGATTGAAGTGATGTAGGCACTGCAAGCTAGTTAGTACCAACATACGAAACTGCAAATTTGACTAGCACTATTTCTATTAAGCTATACGTGTCTCAGATTATCCGCTGGAGTAATTCAGTATTTATTCTATGATATCTCGAGTATCACGATTCTACGAAGTTCTTCATTTTCGCTAAACTGACCTCACTCTAACCTGCAGATGCTACTAGCATCGTTTACGATGAGTCCAAAATAAAATGTGATTGCAAGTTGTTATAAAGAATGGCAGATTTCTGTAGCTTCCGTTCTTCAACGATATCACCCATCTCAGGCCCCAGCTCCTAGTCCACTTTCACCATACTAAGTTAAGCACCAAGGCTTTTTAGGATTTGAACGAAGCTTGAAACAACAAGTACAGCTACAACAGAGATGAACGAAGCTATAGCGGCCATCAGGCATTGCTTGGGACATGATTCTCTGCGTAGGACTCCCTGATTTCTGGGATTTCCAACATGATAGAAATTCGAAAAGAAGCCTTGAGGAATCATAGAGGTGCATTCATGAGAAGCAAAAATGAAGTTAGAAAATGGAGAGCTTCAGCAAATCAAATTGTCTATCTTGAAAGGATCCAATTTCTCAAAATATTTCAGCGTTGTATCAGTGAACTAGTAGAGAATTGGCAAGGCTTCGCAATCGCGTTTGTCTTTCCCATAGAGTTCATTCTCCTTTTCTCATATCCTTAGAGTTAGAATTCTTGAATGCGCCGTGGATTGGATTAATTTGTGTGCAGCATTCGCTCAAAGTATATCCGCAAAGGCCGATTTTCAATCAATGAACAGGATCTCAAGGACATCGAGTCTTTTCATATTCCGAGTCGAATATATGTCATCGAATCCGAGAATAAACCGTAAAAGTCCCGCATCAAACAGGCAGCATTAATAGCAAACAACATTTATTGTACTGTCAATCAACTTGATTATATTTCCACCTGGAAACGGCAATCCCCTCGCGCTCAAGCTCGTTGTAATTCTGAAAAGATAACATCATCATTCAATGAAGTAAAAAGTAACATTATAGTCTTCATAAGTAAGGGATATTCCACGCCAGTAAATTTGGAGCTTGACTGATGACTGGGTTGAAGTTGAGTCCCTAAGCTCGTCCTGTGAAAGTCAGGATTAATAAATGTTTCCGGGAGATTTGTTCTTCCGTGTTCCGATCCCCAGTTTCTTCCCCATGAACTAACGTTAACTTTAATCTCCACATTTACTACCTGTCCCCTTTGAAGTTCCATCGACTCAATTACTTCAAAAATGTCTATTCAAAAGAGAGCCCCTCTTGGTCGTGTTCTTGTGATCGGCGGCTGTGGTTTCCTAGGCCACCACATTGTATCCCTCCTTCATGATCGATACAATTGCACAATTTCCGTTCTTGACCTACGTACAAGTCGAAATCAACATTCATCAGGAGAAGTTACCTACCATGATGGCGATATAACCTCTCTCGAATCTCTTCTTTCAATATTCAACTCCATCAAGCCAGACGTCGTTATTCATACAGCATCGCCTGTCGCAATTACTGGAACGAAAGAATTATTCCATAAAGTCAATGTAGGAGGAACGAAGTGTGTAGTTGAGGCGTGTCAAAAGACTGGAGTGAAAGCTTTAGTTTTTACAAGTAGTGCCAGTATCATCTCAGATAATACAACCGATTTGGTTAATGCAGATGAGAGGTGGCCTGTCATACCCGAGAAATTACAACGCGAATATTATTCATGGACGAAGGTATGGTCCATCAACTCCTCCCATTTCTTTACACAGCTGTGCCAATTTTACTCTCAAATTCCTATACTAATATAATGGTACGAATAGGCAGAAGCAGAAGCTATAGTTCTAGCCGCAAACCGCGCACCAGAATCCCCCCAGCTCCTGACCGCCTCCATTCGTCCTTCTGGCATCTTCGGTCCTGGAGACGTTCAATTAATACCTGGCCTCCTTAATGTTCACTACACCAATCGCACTGGTTTCCAACTAGGCGACAATACCAACCTCTTCGATTTTACATTCGTCAAAAATGTTGCACACGCGCATCTCCTTGCCGCCGCTGCCTTACTTGCAACTGCTAAGCTCAACACAACTCCATTAGACACCGAGCGCGTAGATGGTGAAGCATTTTTCATCACCAATGGATCACCCGTTCCGTTCTGGGATATGGCACGAGCAGTATGGGCAGCTGCGGGATCCACAAAGGGAACAGAACATGTGTGGGTCATTGGAAAGGACTTTGGGTTAGGACTTGCAGGATTTGTGGAAGGATTATTCTGGATTGCTGGAAAGACACCAAATCTAACAAAAATGAAGGTTCAGTTCAGTTGCATGACAAGATACTATAGCATTGATAAGGCGAGGAGAAGGTTAGGATACGAACCATTGGTTCCGCTAGATGAGGGTATCAAGATTACGGTGAAGCATTTTGAGGAAGAAAGGGTGAGAGAAGGTGAGAAAAAGAGCCAGTGAGGTATTGGAGTGTTGGCAGATTCTTTTATACTTGGACGTTTCGAGCATGTATTCTCACGTTACTCCGATGTTACAAGTTGTAATTATTTGAAAAGCTTAATCAAGACCGAGAGATACCCTTAGTCATCTATCTTAGTTGTCATAAATCATAATTCACATCAATAACATGTATCTGGCCATGCTAATGCTAAACTAGACTAAATGTCTTGCTATTGGTGCTATACTGGAATTTAGAAAATAACATTTCCTGCAGACTGCTCAACTCATAAATTACTCTGCAGGCGTATCCGGGGGATGCGATCGCAAAGTCCGTGAGCTGATCAATTTGATCAAACTCTGAATTATGACTTACCATTAAAACTTCATGGGATTATTGAGGACCTGCGTATAAGAAGATAGTGAAAGAAAAGTATCCACCACGGTATCTGCACGCACAAAAAGATCCCAAGCCCCCCGATATACCCCTCGCTAACCCCCCCCCCCCCACTATTAATCGGGATTCTATTCTGTTCTCCCTCCCGAGACCACCCCCTCTTCAATCTTCACACAACAATATTCTGCTACCACTAAATTTCTCATATAATACATGAACCAGCACCAACTCGCACTTCGAAAGTGCACCCAGATCATCAGCTAGTATTCTCTGTCTGATCTACTTGGCGCCACTCGACCGTGCTGCATCCGCCATTGATTAAACCTTTCGCTACTCATGAAAACGGGCAAAGACGCCGATAGATACACCACCACGAAATCAATGAAATCTGCCTATTTACAAGATAAATTTCTTCTAGCCCGGGAAAAGGCGAGATTTTGGAATTACGTATTGGCTGTTGTTTCCCATTATTCTAACCCTTAGAAGTGATGGCCCGGGGAGATGCGTCCCTAGCTCTCTCCCTCTAACAGCTGTCGAGATGTACTGGCACAATATTCAAAGAGGAGAGTCTTAACTTGTATCACTAACATCCAAACATTGAGAATATTACTATTCCTTTTTAACCTGAAACCCAGAAAATGGACAAGAAGCTGGGGCTTCCTTCACTTTCTCATCCTCGATAGGCGTCTTTCCGTCACTCCCCTCGCCTTCAACATCTAACTTCTCCTCTCCATCAATGACTTTCTTCCCCTTCAACCAGCCTTCCCTCTCCACCATCACCTCCTCCATCTCCCCAGCAAACTCATCACCATCTCTGACATACCATTTTGCAAAAAGATCGTTTTGAATCCACAACACTTTCCCAATCGCTTTCACGATCGCTATCTTTTTCTCCATTCTCAATTTCGGGTGCGAGAGAACCGCCTCAAAAATAATATCTTGCACAAACCCCAAACAAACTCCTATGTGTACATATTCCACATGAAGAGGATGTTTTCGACCACGTCCTACGTGCATCATCCCGACTTTGTCGAGGTACTCCCAGAATTCCATTTGGCTTGGATCCGAACAGAGTTTATGGAGATAGCCTCTCAGAAACTAGGGAACATGTCAGCCTGATCGACAAACTGCATGGTAATACAGGTCTGCAAACCATCTTTCTGTGTAAGATTTGAGGACTATTCTCATCTAGCAGTTCGTCTAGCGGACCCTCATAACTTGTGCTGCGAGTTGTGAAGGCACGTGATGTAATGTCATATTGAAGAAGTTTTCTGTATACAATATTCACGATGGCTGGTATGAGTTGTTTGATGTATTTTGAGCCATAAATGAGGGCTTCTATGTCTCCTATTTTCAGAGTTTGAGTAAATCTCAGATGGAAATGGGGCGGTATGCTCACGTGAACTGAAGTCAAGAAAAGAGTGTAGATAATGAATTCGTGTTTCTAGATCCGTGTAAAGATCCTTTCGATCAATATGTAGTGTCGATCTCGAAGCCATGGCTATGTTTCGTATTATGTGCGTAGATGTGGAATTGAGTAGCAATAATGAACATGCATGAGACTAGATGGTTTGAGAAATACAGACATATTTGGGTAGAATTGGAGTTCATATACGTTCAGAACTTATCACATAGGATGATAAAGATCAGCCCATCGGAGCATTACGATTTGAGATAATTGAGGACTTGAGTATTGAGCATTATGATGGCAGTCAATCATCTCGCTATGTTGTCAGAGTGGTTCGTTTTTTGCTTTGGATCAGATCATGTTGGGGTGATGTGATCCTTGGGTATAAATTCACGTGATATAGCCTTACATAACCAGCCAATTGCAAAGATTAGTTACTGACTCACCTCAGTTCATCCGCTTTCATTAATCATCACATCTTCTTGCTTTCTTTCAAGTGTGGGTTCTTCGCCTTGTCGATTTGGCGATGCCATGGGAATCGATTGGAGGGTAAGGTTATGAGCTCAATGTCATGAATGATATAGTCACGTTGGTTCAGAGCTTTTGGCAAGACAAGAAGACACTCAGAAATGAAACCTGCGAGGGTTCAAAGTCCACTCCCACCATTTGATACCCTATCTCAGCTATGTCCTTCTGATTAGAACCTGGACCGTGACCTCGAGAGGATTTATGTCTTGGGCTTCGTAGCCAGAACCTTATAGGGACCTCCCGCTCCCTGGCACTTTACGCAGCTCGCCATCTAATCATGCATAATTCGAGATGCGGTACCTCATAATACAATAAACGAACACAGCCTAGGTAGCGTTGCTTATGTATCTACTGTAAGCAGAAAATAGACAGAGTATATTCCCAAACTATCGGTATACTTCGGCGAACACAGCGCTTCTACATTCTATGATATCCAATGAGAGTCACCCCTACAATTTGAAAATCATGGGAGTGAAACGCGGAGCAAGAAATAGTTGCTGCGCTTCTGTGCCGGATTGCGGTTATATATGTAATTAGAGGGGTCGATGACATGGATATCCATTTTCTATATCTCGATTAGGTAGTCGTAAAGATGCACGGAGTATGACGGATTACATTGGTAAGATTGAGTGCTGTGCTTGCTTTGGTGAGGAGGGAAGAGGATGCGTCTACTCTATGAATTGATGTGGTCTATGTTCCATATCGGCTTTCGTTATTTTGCATAGTCGAATATCTAGAAGCTGAATCTCTGGTTGTAATAAGTGTGAGGCATAGTAGCTTTCCATACAAAAGTAACCATGGCTAGGTAGGTAGGTATCTGCCACAAACTGGACTGTCCGAGGTCAGGTTACATCAGAGGCTGAGATATGTTGTGCCACATTACCTACCCAGGAACATCTAAAAAAGGGGGGCCGAGCCAATGTAAATTCTCGGGGAAAATCGATAACCAATCATTTCCTTGTGCATTAAGCGCCATGGTTACTCAATATAGACTAGCTGTACCTGAATCCGGCGATTAACTCCGCTCAGCCATTTTTCTCGGAGCGCGGGGGATCTTTTCCGATTGAACATGCTCCCATCGACTGAGGATTGATCAATTTTCGGGCTGTGCTTTCATTCAATTTCAACGGCAGATATCCAAATCGATGACAGGAAGTTATACCCTGGTGACGACCCTTGATTACATCTATGCTATTTCCCTCTAGATCTCCATCGGCAACTGTTTGAATGTCAGATGAATTAGTATTGCGGCACTGCATATGCAGGATATCCAATTACCACCCATGCAAGGAAGTGTATGTAGAGTAGCATCGAGGAAAGAACTCTCAACATGGGATATCCAAAAGTAAGGAGTGGCACAATGCCGTGCTGTGCTGTGCTGTGCCATACAAACGACCTACCGAGAGACCCTTTTACCCAGGTATATATTAGATATTTGTCTCATGAGCCATAATCATAGCCTTACTCGGCCTTGAATTTTTCCTCATTTTTATCTACATATTCATTGACAATTGGAGATTTCTGACATCATTTTGCTGAAATTTTGTTGTTGGTTCAAGGTTTGATCTTCGGTCCATAGGGGCGTCTAACTCAATATACTCATATTAATACCTATTCATTTAACTATAGGATTTAAACACTTTTTACATTTGAACCCTCCTACGCATGGATGCTTTGGTTATTTGAGATTCACTTTTGCGGAGATTGAAAGAACAGGAAAAGAAACACTGCCTATCAAGGTCGGTTAGTACATTATTTCTCAATTCACTTTTCTATTCATTCAATTTGATATCATCAGTCATATCAATCAATTCAATTCAACACACAAATCATTTTGGAAAAGTCATCCATGTAGTCACACACTTACCAACAACTTTTGCAATCTTCAATTCTTCTTTGATTCTGTTCGAGATCCGATTCAAGTCTTCATTTCGTACTTGTTGGATTTCTTCCTTCAATTCCCTTCTCCGTCAAGTCTTCAAGATGTATCTCAATGTAGATGCTCAAAACTTCAATCAATCCCTCTTCATACGAGAGTCTCGAGAATGTACACAAGGACAACTGTGGTATGTTTGCAGCGCGAATGATTTCCATGGTTGTTGTTCGGTAGATGCATGTGCAGTATCAGAATGCCCGGATTCAAATACCGCTGCAGTTGGCGCATCAAGTACTTCAACCACTTCTACTCCTTCTAAATCTACATCTTCTACATTCTCTACATCTTCTACCTCTTCTGCTTCTTCCTCTACTACTGCATCAACCACATCATCTCAAACTACCGAATCCTCACAATCAATTCTACAGACAACTCCACAGTCAGCCCCGCAGACACTCTCGCCAAGCACCGTCCTCCTAACTACAACTGACAACCATCCAGTCAGTGCACCTACACAAACCCTATCCAGCTCCCCCACCACTGTCGCACAAACAACTCCTCCTACCTCCTCATCAAATTCAACATCAATCATAGCTGGAGCAGTCGTTGGCGGTGTCGCTCTAATTTGTTTCGCAATGGCTGCATTCTGTTGTTTCCGTTTTCGCCAAAAGAAAAAGCAGGATAGAGAAAGAATGTTCGCCGAGCCTGAAAGTTCAGATCTAGAGACTATTCAGTTTTATAGTACGACGGGAAAGACGTTGCAAACACCTAGTAGTAAGAGCACAAGAAGTCCTGGACTCTCTGGATTGGGGTTGGGGGATGTCTTCGCACCGTTTGGTGGAAGTAAGTCATTCGGTTTTATTTGTCACATTTTATCTTGTGATGTCTCGCTGGTGGTGATATGAATGCTAACCATTTCCTTCCAAAATAGGAACTCGTACCAGCAGTAATTCTGCACCTCCAAAATCACCACCGGGTGGGCCAGCAATGAGCGAATCCCAAGTCTCTGCCCCAAGCCACTCGATCCCAACGGTTCATCCCTCGCTCATTCCCAAGCCCCAAGAAGATGACGAACATGACAGGCCACTTTCCCATGACCCTGAAAAATCGTCCCTGGCACCCCCTCCCGAATCTTCGCATCCAGCTTTCCATCCACTTCCGGGAATGCCCAGTCCGCGACCCGCACATCGATCCGGTATGGGCATTACGATGAGTGAGTTGGACGGAAGGGAAATCGGAAGAAGAAGTGTTTCTGTCGGAGGAAGTGAGAGAATGAGTGGAAGTGGAAGTGAGGGTGCTGTCAGTGCGATGAGCACGCCCTCACATAGTGTGATTCTGGGTGCATCGACGAATCTTGCTCAAGGACAGGCACAAGGATATTGGTATCCAAATGCGCCTCCTAATCTACCCTTATCTCTGTCTGGTCGACCTATACAATCCCACAGCCGCGGAAACTCCTCAAATTTATCAAATTCCTGTTCGATCAATCCAGACCCAAATATGAATAAAGCGCCGGCATCTCAATATGCACAGAATCAATACTCACGCCAACAAGCGCAACACCAATATACCCAACAGCTAGCTTCAGCACGCCACATGAAAGGTATGAATGCAAGCACAAATGAACACCAAAATCCATATCAAATGTATAGAGATAGTAGGGAACATCAGCAAAATATGGGATATCAACATGCGTTAGTCAGGGCTCAAGAAGAACGTGCGAGAGCTTTTTCGGAGATGCAACAAGGATACGGCCAAACTCTAGGACAAAGAAATGTACAAAAAGGAAAGGGCCGAGAAAGTATGAATTCGACAAGTCAAGAAGTACATACAGAGGAAAATGACGACAAGGAATTAAGAAGAGAAAGCAGCACCCACAGTATTCCCATAGGACTTGGCTTGGATGCGCGACCCACTCCCCGAGAGCCAGAACGAGACACAAATCCACAAAATGAAGATGCACAAATGCAAGTCCACGCCAGTTTATACGGAAAACAGGAAGAATTCCCTCAATCTCTCTCACATCAAGGCTCCCAACCTACGCAATCCAATGCAGCCAAGCAAACTTATCAAACTCATCGCGCAAACACCGACTCGGTATCTAGCATGGGATCTCCTAGCTCGACGTCTGCAAATGTTGGAGCATGGAATCCAGAGCCTGTTTATACACATCCAGGATTTGATTTTGAATGTAAAGTTGTGGCGCCTACACCTCCTCCCCAGATGATGGAGATATCGGAAGGAGTGGAGAAAAAACGAAATCATGTATTAAGTTGGTCTGAATATGATGCTGGTGGAGAATTGTCCATTTCGCCTGTCTTGGATGGCAAGGGAAAGGGGGAGGAGATTGTTGAGTGATTTGAAGGACTATGGAATCAGATGAATATAATGGATGCAGCATCGAAATGAAAAAAGGTACCGAGGATGGTTTGAGTGATGAATAGGAATGATGAGGGAGTTTACATTTACATTTACAAAATGCATGAGAGTGGCGTTTCGGATTTGAGTATTTATTACATACACTTCAACGATCACTAATACGATATCATACCATATGATGCGATACAACGAGGTTGGATAGAGGAAACCTGGGAGGAACATACTACAGCATATTGTACATGCCTCAGCTGATATGAGAGGAAGCGGAGAGGAAGGAAGTTAGCCGAGTGCAGGCAAGAAAGGGGGAAGAGAATTTGGGCACGCTTAACACTTAAGGTGGGATGAAGACGGAGAAAATCATGAGCACGAAGGAGTGTTGAGTTAGTACCATAGTAAGAGGCATGATTGAGTGTCAAGTCGTGGGACATGACGGGGGATTTCAAATGTAGATGTTAAATATGAAGATGAATAAAACGAAATAAATACATCGAGGCGTTTATGTATGCGTGAGTAGTATCTCCTTGTGACGATGTCTAGTGATGGATAGATGAAGTAAGTAAGTAATGTAAGCTTTGTATATCGACCAGAAAAACCCTCAAGCGAGAGGAATGGGGAGAGATGAAGGATCCGGGGATTTGAATTAGGAGAGGAAGGAGGTTTGAACGGCTGAAAGAGAGACGAAGGGGTAGAACAGGATGAAAGATACGAGATACTGTTATGCAGTAGCGAGATGATGTAATGATAAGCGAGAGGTAAAAATTACTCTCATGTTCCTTGGATTTTATGTTAGAATCTTGTTCAAAGGCGAGAATCTAGTCTATGATAGCTAGAACTCCTAGGGAAATTCGTGGAATCTACGATTATAATTTTTTGTCTGATGATGTATGCTCACGGAGGGTAAAAATTCAATACCTACACAGAGTACCCTCTACAAACCTAAATTTCTACATTAGATAGATCTATAAAGCTGAAATTGAATCATCGATATTCCTAGCAATCTGTAAATTGCAACAATACTTTTTCTTTGAATTATTACCTTCTAGAGACCTTTTTGCTCTTCTATCGATCTATTTGATATTTTTATGTAATACAAAACCAAGCTCATTAATTAAGGAGTAGATAACATATAATGAAAAAGAAAGCATCCTAGAAAAGGAAACCTTTTAAGCGGGAAGGAGACATTTGCGAATTGTCAGACTTTAAAGTTTATAGAGATGATATAGACTATAACAATCAAACTATTGCAGGAACTGCCTCTAGAGTCACATAGAAGTGTTTAAAGATCTCTCGAAATAGTTTAAACTAAATTTTAAATAGAAAGTCAATGAGACTACAACTAATTACAATTCTTGTAATTCTAAAGTAAAACTAATAATTATTCTGATATAAAGCTTTATATTATAATAAAATCTATTTTTTAATATACGTCTTTATTTTTTAAAATCAATTAATAAATAAATCGATTTCTAAGTATATAATACTTATCTTATAACTTCTAATAAGATTACTATTTATTTAATTACTATTATCGTTAACTAATTTTTAATTTTATTATTCCTATAGTACTGTTTTCGTAGATTCTAATATGAAGGCCTTAGGTTTATCTTATAATCTATACAGTGCGGATATCTCTGTAATATATCTTCATAATAGTTTGATTATTCTTATCTATAGAATATCAATTTGAGATCTACTTAAGGAGAATTCGAACTATTTGAAATCTTTTCTTACTTAAACTAATATATATAAATTTTAAATATAACAAGAGAATTCAATAAATAGAAACTATAATTATATCTAGAAGGTAATTAGAAAACTATGTATAATAAAGCTCGAAATATTTTCTAAAATATGTTATAGAATTATAGTACTATAATCGATTTGAATATATGAGATTATTTATCAAAGAATCTCCTTTTCTTTTTACAGTTTATAAATCCTTTAATAGATAATATATTATTTTAAATCCTCAACTTAGTATACCTCTATATCCCTCAAAAGATTTCCTCAGACGTAAATTTATATTACTATCACCACTAATCCCATGTATACTCACCTGTCGGGACAGGGATCATGTGACCGCACTAGCGCTTGCGCTAGTGCCTCGGCACTTAAGTATAGACGTATCGTAGCCCTAGCTTTTAGAACCTCAAGCAATATTACAACAGGTGAACCATAGTACTATATTGTCTTCACCATCACCAATGCACACATACCGATTCTGTCAAACAGATGCGACTCCAAAGGGTATTCAAGGTTTCTTTTAATGTGTCTTATGGCATCTCTCTGTACTGTACTAATGGCAATTTCCATAACAAAGAGATTCGATGCACATAATGCACAAGTTTCTTCACGATCACACCATATGATACATCCGAGCAGTACTCACAGCCCAGAGCTGGCATCTTCTTACATTCTTCCCAAAGCAGCTGGCCCATGGTGTGGAGACAGATAAATTGATGGCTGGGGAGGTGGCACATGGCAAAGGATGTTAAGGTTGAGTTTTGAGCGGAACTGGGAGCTCACTTGCAAATTTCAGAGTGCAGCTGAGGCATCTCAGAGAACATGGTATGTTCTGTAAAGAATCTGAAGAGGAACCTTTTTTCAGAAAGATGACGCATAACACATGCCCTTTTTGATATTCACTTAAATTGTTACATGCCTTCTCCGAACTTCAGATGAACGATGACTATTTATCTTGAGCCATCACATATTTAAAACTACTTTGGGTTTCTCGACAAGAATAGCGATAATTTATTCGATAATTTATTTAGTGAGTGCCATACAGTTAATTGTATATCTCGCTTAGCATAGCTCTTTCACTTGATGATTTATCTTTGAGGCCATGCCTGTTCTTATGTAAGAGCCTGAAATCGATCTAAAAGCACATAAAATTGTTTTTTGGCGCATCAATTTCAGTTGGTAAGTTTCATTTGAACAGTCGGCGAGGTTCCTCGTCGGACTTGAGCCCCTGAGTTGCTTTGCTCAACTAAGCGACAACACTTCTATCTCAGATCCTACTCTCGGATTATAGGAACTTCTCAATAGTAATTGTCTTTAATTTTCATTGATAACAATTTAAAGCCCTCTATATGTAATTCGTGTCTCTTGGACGTTCTACAATTCTCTCAATACACACCAATTGCTGACTTCACATCTATTTATAATGCTGAAAATTTCTATGAATATTCCAGATTAGAATACCTGTCGAGTTACTACTAGGCTATTGATAATTGAGAAAAATCTTTACTTTCACATCATCCACCGTGGTATGCATGCTCATACGGATACATTTTTTGAAATATGTACAGTTTTTGGGCCACCACCGATTTGATACTATGCAAAAAGAATCATTGCAGATTCTCATGATTGAATTCTATATATGGGTGATTGAGTCCTAATCTGATACCAATCCCAGACAGTGTGTGAAACTGTCGAGCCTTGCAACTTCTACAACAATTTGGTAGACTGTGTACTATGTGCGTGCATGATTGCTTCCAATCCTTGTGTTCCTCCACCTCGACGTAATACAGTTGACCACAGCATTACATGCAACCACGTTATTTGTTGACCCAAGTGCACCACACCGCCATAGTCTTGTCTCGGAAAATTATCGAGCACCTAAAATTAGCAAGACTTATGTATAATTTCGTTCCAGCTTGATGTCGTTGATTTAATGAAATCGCAATCAAAAATTAGCAACCGCATAGACTCATGTAGGGGCAACTCTCCAAAGCCAGATATGAGAATGAAATTACTTGGGCAGCATGTTTCATTTTGCCAAGTCAACTGCGGGTAGAGACATGGCCAGTGGACCCACTTGAAGACCATGCGGTGCTATTAGAATCTGTTACACTGGATGGATTGGATCTTATAAGTACCCAGACATTACCTCCATTGATACATTTTAAAATTACAGTTCTAATTTCCTCAAAGACAACCCTTTTTAAATTGTGTTGAATTTCAGCATACGATGTCTACATCATTGACAACCGGAAAGACCATGCAATTTACTGACTCAGGCCAAGATAATACTAAACTATTAGTCCTTGAGCAGATATTGAAGGTGTTGAGAGAAGCCTCTTCTCATTTGAGAAAGCAAGAAACGCGCCTCAGTTCTGTAAAAAATGGGTTACGCGAAGATCCAAGCTGGTGGATGGAAAGCTTAGTATATGTGGCGTAGGTTTGTTTAATTGATGCTTGCTGTTGATATATAAATCAGAGTCAACCATGGCTAACTGAGCTACCACGAAGGGAGATAATATTCAGGTGTATAGCAATGACGGAAGAACGCCAAAAATACAGATTGTTGACAAGACTGACGATATTTCGAGTGGTAATTCCACCGCAGTGCCATTGAAGCATGGAATCAGGGGAGCAATATCATTACCATTGAACGTTATACAAATCTACCACACTGATGGGATTGCGTTTGACAGATTGGGGAGACAAGGCATAGTCGAAGACAGAGTTTCACGATTGGCAACGCCCTCAGAGATTGATCGCTGGAAAAGTGTTGTGGGTGGCGCTTACAAGGTTCCCGAACATGGAAGGCTCAGACTGACATTCTCAACACGATTGCTATTGATGTTGGCATCATCTGATGATGCCCAGAAACATATTGACCGGATACCGCACGAAGAACAGCTATGCCAGCGCCTGAGTGGATGTCGCACAACAATAACTGACCTTTTTGATAGTGGTCAGATAATACGTTATATCATTGGCGCTCCAAAGTCAAATACTGGGTCTCAAAACATCAACTGTCTTGATTCTGCTCCCACACCATGTCCTGTTGGAACACCAAACTCCAGACCACTGGTTGGTCCATGGAGAAGAGTAATGTAAGTCAAATATTGCCTTCAAAGTTCATTAAACCCATGTTGCTCTTTTGTTAGCTCCATATCCTGTCCCGAGCTTCGATCAACAAATCTTGCTCAAGAACCCGGGCGAAGTGAAGATAAAGATGTCAAATAGCAGACTATTCCCCGCAATGTGAGAGGAACTACCCCTATGGATCACATCATCTTCCAGACCAAGTATTTTGAAATACAGTGTAAATCAAGATGAATACAGTGGCATACCTTGGTCACAGCTAAAAACTGGAAAGTTGCATAGTGACAAAGATGAATACTGCAAAGACTTTTCGAGTGGAATGCCTCGTATTCTACTGGAAAGCTCGTACAGCGTAAGCAATCTGCATATTGCTCCTCAGACAATTAATATGCTAACTCCTGCGTACAGCTTATTGCACTAGCAGACAAAGTATGTAAACAGTACTGGACCCTGTTGGAACTTAAGCCAATGACCTTCAATAAGACAATCTCTAGTGTAATGCACTCCGATGGTACGCCTCAGAACGCTCTGTCGACTTTCTTCGACTACACAATCATTGCCGTCTCTCACATGATCCAGAAATGGGAGCAGATTCTAGAATATTTTGACAACTTGATTATCGAAAAGATCGCATTCTTGGATCCATTGAAGCACGATAATCTTCTGGTAGATGACGAGACATTTTCCAGGTCTAAGCGATATTTTTGGGTGATATCGACACTCAAGGAATTAGATGCCGTAATTTCAGAGAACATACAACAGGTCTCTGGGTTGATTAATCAGAGAGAACTCACCACAATTGAAGGAGATGAGGTGAGATTTCTCGAAGGCTCTCGCAAACATATGCGAGGACGTCTCGGACAATTGGAGGAAATAGCAAAAAGATTACGCGACAAGAGACAGGAAGCTCTCGATTTGAGAGATGGCGTAAGTGCGACGTCCTATTTCATGCCTTTTGTTAGACTAATTATTTTGCTTTCTAGCTTTTCAACGCCAGTGGTGTTATGGAGAGTCGTGCCGCAACTAGATTGGGAGAAAATGTCAAGCTATTGACTTTTGTGAGCATATTCTTCCTGCCACTTTCGTTTTGTATGGTAAGCCGATTCTTATTCCAGCATTTGTCTCTATCAACCCGAGTATATAATTGGTCAGGAGGCTGATACGCCTCAAGTCAGTTTGGAGTATCAACGATGAGATTTTCAGTCTCGATCACTGCAAATTATTGCCACAGTGGTCGGGCTGTCAACATACCTCATAGTTTTCAATCTTGACAGCCTCATGAATTTCTCACGAGCACTGCATCGAAGATTTTTTATCTTTGCAATCTCTATGATGAAAACCGAGGCTTCAGATACTACCAGGGGGAAAAGAGCCTCCATTTTTGAAAAGTTCTCGGTTCAGAGGGAGATCGAGCATAAGCCGTCGGATTGGAGATTGGTACAATACTTGCTATACCGAGCACTTGGTACGGTAGGTATCATAGGAAAATCCACGGTTCTGTTTAAGCATATCAAACAAAGACTATCCCGTGCCACAATAGCATCCATGAAAGAGGCTCGAAATCCAATCTGGAGGGGCCGAGCTCAACGTTTCGAAGATGCTTGGGCTGAAAAGAGTATGGACGAGCCATCTAATTGGCGTATGTGTCAATACATTCTGATTAAAGGGACTGGATTTTCCCTGATCCCTGCCTGTTTATACAGCAGTTCTGGGGATCAGACTATTCCCCAACCAAATCAGGGTCAGACTATCACCGGAGACCTCGAGAACCAACAAAATTAGTAGCGGTATAATGCTGCCCAGGTTTCAACGACGCCAACCTCTCGACCAGTAATGCGCATGCTTACCCGCGGAACGGCGTATACAAGTATCCTTCCTCTCCTCTCCTCGACTAAAGAGGGGAAAGGAGAGCTTCAGCTAGGCAGGTGAGGAGAAAATCGATGATAACATTGTGAGAGACTTTTTTTTTTGAGAAGATAAAATTAAAATCAACAAGATTCTATTCGAATTCATTTGAGATCAATTTTCTGAAACCTTCTTTCCAAATCAAGGCGAGAAGAAGTCGACTTTTTTAGAGCATTGCGCAGATTAGGAGATATAGGAAAATTCCAATGAGATAGTAGGGAGTTTTAGGGCCTAGGAGAGGAGGAGAGATTGCATACGGCGCCGCTGAGTGTATCATACAGATGAATGTTTGTGGAGGATCTTTCGTGATGACAATTGTGAGGTATGGTTCCGCAGATACTTTCCCTAGAATTGCAGAACTACAAAAACTGCGAGATCGGTAGAAACTATCGATTTTGGCGGGCTGAAAAGGCGATTTAAGACAAATGATCAGTGACAAAAAGATGATGTTACGTTCATTCTGTTTGGTTCAGCACCCAATCGAGCTCCAAGTGGTAAAGTACCTAAATATCAAATCAACTTAGTTTAACACCTTCAGCTCACGCTTTCTGGATCATGAAAATAAGAGTAATGAAAAGGTTCATTCATATTTTATCATCTCCTGACCTCCACTATCAGCTTGTCCCTTCATCAAAGGCCTGAAAGCCAGAAAAGTTTTAGAACACACTGGGTACGTATCTGGGTGTATCCAATACATTTTCTCATGCCCCTCGTATTATCGCATCCACCCTCATTTCCGCAGTTTCCATACTCTGTCCCATGCCCCTTTTCATTATATCCCTTCACTGCCCATGCCTCATTTTCTCCGAACTACAACTGAACCCACAAAAAGAAAACGCCGCAACAATGCTCTTTTCTTCACGGACCGTCCTATGAAAGTAACGAAATCCATTCCCAACGCCCATCCATTTTATCTACATCAGTATTCTCCAAACGGTTTCCTTCATGACTGCCTACTATTGTTGTAGGTATCTTTTTGATGTCTTCAACGAACCAATCTCGATAGAATTCATGCTGAAACTCTTCTGTAGCTTCTGGTACTCGAGTATATACCGAATTCAAGTGAGTATCTAGTGACCAAAAGCAAATCCAAAGGACCTCTTAATTCGTAAATCCCATCAACTTTGTGATTTCATCCAATAACTCTGTCAAATCGTCATCGCTGATTTTGTCTTGTAAACTGGGTATCAAAGTCTTCGCTTCATCGGCCGTGTCGCAACATAATGAGCCTTTACATCTCATGTTAGCATTGCTTCTCCCAATAATACCCTAGTTATTCATCTTCCCCAAATTGCCTTCTCCGTTCACTCTCATCTCCCCTTTCAACCTTCAAGAAACTCAAGCATAACAAAGGAAAAACCACAAGTCACCTACCCAACTGCGCCCTCTCGAATTTCGCCAATTCCCCCCTACTTCCCAACAATCTCTCTACAGCCTCCACGTTTTCCTTTCTCTTGAATCTCGCAAAATGATCCAGGTATTCTTGCGTCTTGCTCAATATCTCAGTCTCATTAACGTTCTTGCGATCGCCACGTCGCTTTGCGACAAGCGCGTTGATAACGAGTGCGGCTTCAGAATGAGTAAGTGCATCTACATCTTGGAATTCTCCCAGCTTCAGAACGGTGGATGCTTCTTCGTCACCTGCTGGAGGGGCGCGAGAGCGAGATGTGGGGGCAGGTGTTGCCATTGTTTCGAAGGGAGAGGTAGGTTCGAGAAAGGTTGAAGGATGCCGTCTGTGGGAAGTCGAATTCAATAACTTCGACTGTTCTTCAGACTGATTGTGTTGTCTCGAGTTTAAATATGTAATCAAAGAAAACTATTCTTTCCTTGGAATGCGTGTCCGACTTGTTTGAATCAAGTTTGTGCAAAACCTCGACGTGTTTTGCTGTAAAAGTGATTTTGTTGACTTGAAAGGAAGAAAGAAAGTTAAGTTGCGGCCGATCTATCAATAAACATGTGCTGGTCGGCAAATCCTCGAAATCCGGGGAAGGCTGCTTACTTAGCCGTTTTGGGACGAGGCTACAGACAACTGTATATTGATGCATCTCGAACTTTATATTGTGGATGTTCAAAGAATGCGCCGAGTTTGATATTCAATTTTGGATTGTTGAATTGTGTAGGCAAAATTAAAGGACGATTACGAACACGAAGTTTCCAACGAACAATTGATTTCTACAACCCTAACACTCTCAGCTTCCTTCCTAACGATTGCTCTTAACAGTGCATCAAATATCAAAATGCAAGTTCTACTCCCAACTTTCCAACGAAGTCCCGGAATCGCAGTTCTAATATCTAATTCGTAGGGTCGTTTTTGCCCTCACAATAATAAATAAAGCTGGTGGACTTATCTACCAGAAAGATTTCGCAGATGGATTGAACAAATTATCTATAAATGACTATCTAGTGCTTGCTGGAACATTTCACGGGTACATAACTTCTTCCTTTCCCTTCCCTTTTTACTTCCAAATTGGACCCATCTCGAACTTCTTGTTCTTCGAACTCTCACTAACAACTCCCTAGAGTCCATGCTATTTCCACTCGACTAAACCCCATCCCATCCTCTCACCTCGCTTCAACAGGTGCCTCCTCTCTTCCTTCAACATCTCACTCCAAAACACTCTCTACCCTCTCCTCACTCTCGTCTACTCCCACATCCGATGACCGACCAGATCCACCCTCCGGCATCGAGGTGCTCGAAACGACTTTGTTCCGACTCCAATGTTTCCAGACTCTCACTGGCACGAAGTTTCTCCTATTTACTGAACCTGGCATGCCAAATGTTGATAGCATATTGAGGAAGATATACGAACTGTATGCGGATTATGTGATGAAGAACCCATTTTATCAGTTAGAGATGCCGGTTAGGTGTGAGAGGTTTGAGAGAGGCGTGGAGAGGTGGGTCAGGGGTGTTAACATGAGGTAATTTAGAAGGGGATTCTGGACAGATGGATCGATGGATTCACCTGGAGAAACAACGGACTTGGGGAAAAGCGAGGTGGTATCGTGGGCTCAGAGGATATATTCCCACTGATCAAAGAAGCGGGGAATATCCCTGGATTTGATACTGAATACAGCAGTATCTGATCACATCTCTCACGTTAGAACTAAGGCAAAGGGAAATGTGGACATAATTCCGGGCATAGAAGGAACTTATTGGGACTTGAGCATTATAATGAAGATACGTGCCGATATTTCACAGGCCAAACTTCATACGGTGTCAAGGAGTCAAGGAGTATAGAAACTAGAAGTAATTTGTTGACAAAAGAGCCAAATACCATTGTATATGATATCTATTGGTACATACCAAACGCCAGTTTGCCATGCAGCCCCAACCATTCATTCAATTAGCAATCCGTTCATCATGTCCCCCGTCCTGTACTTCAACTCCTCATCTAAGCCGTATCCATTTTATCATCGTCTTTCTTGTCCCCACTCCCACTAGCTTCTCCATCCTTATTCAATAGAGGTGCGGATGCCTCATCCTCTTCCTTAATCTCTCCTAATGCAGACTGCTCCGCTGCTTCCTTCTCTAGGCGATCCTTCTCGTTTTTCTCAACCCGAGCTTTCTCGTCCTCCATACTCATTCTCAATGCCAATGCCAACTCTGGGTCTACGCTTGGGTCGATACCAAATTCAAATGCGCCAGCATCACCACTTGTTTCAGCTCCACCCATTCCAACTCCTCCAGTAGCTCCATCCCCATTTAGAATTGGTGAGGTCATTAACTGATCACTGAGAAGCTGGGGTCCTGGTGGAATAATGGCCAGATGTGATCCATCGCCTCCCTTGACATTCTCATTGAAGGCCGTCAATTTTTTGGTGACATCATCATCAAGTTCTCCGAATACGACGAAATCGATTGAAACGTTGTTTTTCTTCATCTTTTTGGCGAGCTTGACAAGGGATTTTTCATCTTCTGCGATTGGAGAGCAAGTAAAAACGATTATACGTTGACGTTGGGATTTGTTTTGTCGATGTTTGAGTGCCAACTATGAGGATACCTACATCAGCATTTACTCCAACTAGCATGCCAGGACAACAGGTAGGATTATAAAAGAGATGATAACATACACCGGCGATTTGAATCCCAGTAGCTAAGTGACTAGATCCACGAATCTTCGTCTTAGTACGATGTAATCCATCCAAGATCTTTCCATGATCAGTTGTTAAGGTAACAAGAACCTCTGGCCCTTTACCTCCCATAGACATTAAACCGACTGAAGATTCTGGATTGGCTTGAGTAATGGTAGAAAAAATCCAAGAAACGGCATCGGATTGCGCTTCATAACGTGTTGGTGTATAATCTCCATTTCGACTGCTTTCACTGTTATCCACCACAACCATCACTGCTTCGAGAACCATCTTGTCAAATTAGCTGCCGTTTGGCTAATGTGCGAAATCTTTGTTTTGGAAGTTGTATTTGAGTAGTGGAGCCGGATATGTGGTAGAGGACGATCGTAAGTGGTAAGTATGAATTAATCTCTTGATGGCGATAAAGAAGTTGATGTTTGTTAAGGTTGCAGGTTGCTCAAGGTAGCTATGGTTTGCGCGTTAATGCTAAAGTACAGCAAGCATCGCTAGCTTCGGAGCGGTGCCAACCCCTGTAACTTCTTCAGAATTGGGGGAGCAAGAAAGTTTAGCCACACACCTGTGGCGCTTAGCAGGCGACTTCGATAATGAACGGATAACAATCTACAAAGTGATGATGATGTTTATTCACAATCAGCATCACAACACTCTACAGTCTACACTCACCATACAACATCGCACAGCTTCAATTTTATTCACACAAAACAACGATTCAGAAGTGATCGAACCGCAATTGGTCGTACGGATAATAACAGAAATTCATAAAGTTTCACACATAATAGCCCACGCGAAATGGCGATCACAACAGGCCAAAAGCAAGCTCTGATGGAGAATTTGCAGCTGGAAAGTGAGGAACTCATGTCCAAAACGCGTCAAATTGTGTACTGATTTTGCATTTGAATAGTTACTGAACGTGCTAGAAAGCTCAGAGCACAATATAATGTTCAAGCTCAAGGATTAAAGACGCGTATTGAAATTCGCGTCAATCGCATACCTATTTCAATGCGCAAAAAGAACATTGGTGATTTGTTTGAGAAGCACAATACTACTGGCGCACAAGCAGCGCGTTCGGAAGTGGGACCACCAGTTCCAGCAAAGAACACTCCAAAAAACACACAAAAGAAGATTCCAGTGGAGGAGTCAGAAAGTGGTCCAAGTACTCAAGTCACAGCACCATCTCGTACGACTAAAAGGAATAGGTATGTTTTTCCCGCAATAGTATGGAATATATACTAACAATTCAAAGTGACGAGGCAAGTCTGGACAAAGAAAATAATATTGACAACCCTAAGAAACGTCAAAAGGCTGCTCCTATTCTGCCTGAACGTACGACTTCTCGTGTCAATATGGACCCAAAGCAAATACTTTCACCTAGATCCGCTAACTCCCGAACATTACCTGCCTCGCCAACAAAACCCGCACCACCCGTCAAATCTACTACAGATTCTCGTCCGCCTACAAGAGCAGGACGAAAAGTCGCACCACATACGAATCCAGCTGGAGCTGCTACTAATCGAGCAAGATCCAATACCGCAACTTCGGGTCCAAAGACCACGCGAGGAAGAAATGTGAGCAATACGAGTACTGAAACTGTTGTTAAAAAGGCACCTGCTGCAAGACTCAAGAAGGCGGCACCTGCACCTGCATCTGCGCAACCCGTACAGCCAGCCAGCACTGCTGTTGGAAGAGTGTTGAGAAAGAGAGCCTGAGGCCATTTCAACAGCGGCAATCTCATACATTGTTACACCAAATTCGACTTGTCTTGTGTTCATGAAGCATTGACTCAATTGAAAAGACTCCTACTCTGGAGCGGGGAACTTCCTCTATGGTGTTTGATTAAGAATGTCATGGGCTGTGACCCCTTTTTAATCAACGCCATAGGGCATATAGAACCTTGATATTGTGACTTGTGGTTTTGAACATCTGGATTTTGATCTGATGCTACAACTGGATTTAATGGTTGATAGGGAAATGAAAAATATGATCGCTTGCATCGGAAATGGATAATGATGGTTTTTAATGTATCTTTAGCGATTGGAGTAAGGGGGGTTTTTGAATTCTAGAGGCTTCTCTGGGTATGCATTAGAAGGCAAAAGATTATTGCATGAGCTATTTGGAATAACAGGAAGAAAAGGATCATTGGCGTTTGATTTTCTGATACCAATAAAAAGTATTTTATTGAATGCGCCTAATGTTACATAGAAAATTGGGATTGTCAACGTTCGTAATGTATGCTCTCTTGGTTGATGTCTACACAAGACGTCTGTTTTGTCTATTAGATGATATCTTTTTGTATGATCATGAACCTTCAAGAATGCACATAGATCCATTCTTAATTCAAGCGCAGGGAGCGAAGAGGTTTTGTAGGCTTGCCCCCATGAAAGACACTTGGATTTCTCGATTGATGACTTCCCGCTAGTTCTCCCGGTGCGGCTAAAGTGTGAGCAAATTATCTGACGGTTAGAATTGAAATCAAGGAGTTCCTTCTGTAAAAGTTCACATGAAAACAAGATCTTTGATCAGCGTGAATATTCACACCCGCTTGTGATAGGAGACAAGCCAAGACACGGACTAAAGCGGCCGCTAGCTACCGTCGGAAAAACTACCCCACCATTACGGTTCTTGAGCTCATCCATCTTTAACTCATATCAAGAGTTTCCCCCTCCAAACACATACAAAAATCATCATTGTAACCAAGAATATTTCAAGACAAATTACACATAGATTTATAAGAAAATATGGCAGATGTAGAAGAATCCACTGTGCCTGCAGAAATTCAATCAAGAAATGTTGTTTATTGTGGAGGTAAGTTTACAAATGAATGAACGACCCCGCTATCTTGATTTGATGAAGGCTAATAGCAGAGATTAGTTTGTTCGTTACCACCTGAGGTAGGTACTACTCTTGCATCTCATGGGGCTTGGGGCTTAATTTGAATAAAGGGATGAGGATACCGAGGACAAGATCATTAACAAATAGCAATTAGTATTGCGAATACGGTGGCACAGTAAAGAAATGTCAAGAATGGCTCGAGAAGAAATATCCTACTATGTACGAGCGATTATGGTCTGAAGGTATAGCTAACTTCCTCTCTTGCTCCTCACATGCTGCATGCTAAAGTTTAACTCCCCTCCTTCTAGATGCCCTCGCAGCAGCAACCTCAACCCTCAGTGTCGATGCCCAAAAACGCGCCGCCAAAGACGCCACCAAAAAAGCCGCCAAAGCCGAAGCCCTCGAAGCCAAACAAAACGAAACTCTCGCGTCCTCCAAAGTCCGCATCAAGCGTGTGGAGCGCAATAAACGTAAATACGTAACTGAAGTTCAGGGACTCGAAGCCTTTGGACTCGAGCTCAAAAAGGTTGCGAAGGAATTCGGATCTAGGTTCGCGACGGGAAGTAGTGTGACGAAGGTCGCAAGCGGAGGACAGGAAATTACGGTTCAGGGCGATGTGAGTGAAGATGTGAGGGAGTTTTTGATGAAGAATTATAAGAATATTCCGAAGAAAAATATTGTGCTTGAGGAGCCGAAGAAGAAGAAGGCGGAACCGGTGGAGGTTTAAAAGGGGGTGGGCGTTGAAGGAAACGAGCGGGTGGGAGCGTGGACTGGGTACGATTGACCAGCTTGGGATTTCGAGAAATACATATACCATTGTGAAATTCGTTTTATGGCATTGAAATATGCACAATCATGCGCTACACTACACAATGTGGGATTTTACAGGAAGGGAGGGAAGGAATCGATATTTCTCACTGAATATTAGAAATAACCAACAATACGAATTTCGACTCGCTACCTTGAAAATATATCTCCGATAATATTCAAGACAGTGAGACATGAAATAAATGTTCCAACTTGAGTGGAACAATGGCACCCCAACGTCAAAAAAGGAATGTACACATATCTACAAGAACGAGAGACAATTGCTTACACAAGTACTTGCTTCTCGTGGATATCACATACTCAATCTCATGCTTAACCTAGGTAGGTACCTAGACTACTGCCATGCCACTCGTGATCATATTCTACTCCTCGGGTTCAGCAAGGCGAAAGTTTAGACAAACGAATGAATAAAAGCATGAATAAAAGCATCCGATCCATGTAATACACTTGAAACCCACATCAAATCTTGCCCTGCAACTAAATCATCATTTCAATTTCAGGTAGCCAGGATCTAGGCAATGTTACCTGTCCATGGATGTGTATCTAATAAGGTATAATCACGTTGAACATACACTCGTTTCTCTCATTGTTTTGTACAAGTCGTCTCGTCTCAACCTCACAGAATTTGTATTTAAATCAAGTATTGATCCTCAACTATTTATTAATCTTATATCTTTTTATCTCTTATGTTCTCTTAATCACTCTTTACCCCCCGTCTTTCATTCTGTTCTGCCGTCTCGCTTATTCCCCTTTAAAATTCACAGCTTTATTACAATCTCACCATAATTCAAGCAACCCCCTCGTCTCTTCAAGGAGCAGCAAAAAAGAACAGAAAAAGCCAGATAATCCATCATATCCCATAGCAACCCAGCCCTTCCATTCCTCCCATTGCCCCACTACCCTACCCATATTTTTCATAACGCCAATCCTGAATCAATACACGGATATCATTACCCCCCATGCATACCATATATTATCGTCGAATCCTAGCCAGCTCAATTCGTTTAACCCGTCTCACTGTTAAATGTTGAAGTGGGCCTCTTAATTTGAAGCCAAAACCCCTGGGACCAGCCAGCCCATAGAGAACACGATGAAGAAAACTCCCCCTGATTTACGCCATGCTTTGTCCAAGCCAATATTTAGGCAGCCGAAGTCTGAGAAGATTGTTTTTATGTATAAAAAGGCCGTGATATGGAAAAAAGACACCCGAAAATTGAAAACTGCTCGAAATATCGCACGGTATTAGAGTCTGCTTTGAGACCGAACTCACTCCATGCTACTTTGGACCGACCTCCGAAGCTTTCGATTATAATTCTTCTTATCATCCACTGATCCCCAGAAGAGTTTGGAAGCTTCCACATTCACCAATGTTCGCGGATCATATGGTGGTGAAACTTCCTCTAAAGCTCCAATGATAGACTCGATATGAGACTTTGCATCATCAGGGCGTTTGGGAGTATAGCAAGGTGTTCCATCAAGTCCAATCCGGTGATGAAATAAAGGTGTCTCAAATTTTGCCCTTGGTTGCTCTTCTGGAAATCTTGGGCTGAAGTAGAGCTTAATGTTGAATAGGCCGCCGTCTAGATTGGTCATAGGGCGACCGAAATAGGTAATGTTCCATACGAAAGGATTCTTATTATCTAATTCAATGTCCAGGGTTACGGACTTGTCCCTCTTGTATGCTTCAACCACTTGTTCGAATTGACGTTGAAGATTTGCTGCCACACCACTTTCCTTCTTCTGTGACAACAATCCTTCGGTAGCCCAATGAGCTGTCTCGGCATCCAAAGTAGTTCGAATGAATCTCAACCGTCTCTCGAGCTCAGTGTAGTCGAACTTTCCCTCCATAGCATTTCCACTACCCTCAAAGGGCATTCGAGCAAAAGGTTGAAGATCCTTAACCTCTTTTCTTGCTTTTTCTATAGCCGTCAAATACGAATCATAATACCACAAGAATCTACGCTTGCAAAAATCTTTGAAGGGTTCGAATGCAACGGCAGAATCATCAAGTACATCTCGATCCAAGTCGCTGTCGCTATCCTCGCTTGGTGGTGTGTATGGTGGAGTTGTTCCTGCTGCGGAGATGTTCAAGTATTCCTCAAGACGTTGAATGACTGAAATTCGTAGAGTTTCATGGCGAATCTACAGCCTTATCAGTACCAGCACCAGTATAAAGAGTCTTGATGATTCAAGCATACCTTTGCAGCATAATCCTTTTGGTTCTTCCTGTCATGGTCATCATTTGCCGATTCGAAACCAGGTTCATTCTCGTAAGGATTGCTCGACATTAAACTCTGAATTGAGATTAAAATTGACTCAAGTCCTTGTGCCGATGACCACTCTTCTCCTCTTTCGCCTCGCCATGTACTATTGTATAATTTAGTTTCGGAGATCCAGAGAAATTGTATGAAGGTTGTTAGTTACCCTAGAATTGATCTAAAAGCAAGTCAGTAAATGTTGTTAGTATCATGGCATAAAGAGTATCTTACAAACAAACTTTGCCTGTCGAATAGATATTGGGATTGAAACGACATCTTCCTCCATTTGTAGTCGTCGCAATAACACTAGGTGCTTTTGTGGGATAATCTACATGACCTTTTTCAGCTTCGAATTAATGTGCGGCCCTTTCGCAAAATCGTACCTTTTCCAAATCTAACACCAAACTAGAGAAATGTCAGTATTCCATTTGCAGAAAGAAACATATTACGAATTGGAAGACCAACCTCGAAGAAACCGAATTCGTAAGGTGTATCTGGTGGGCCGATTATAATTGCTTTAATGCTTCGAACATCGATGTCCCGACAAGCAACTGCGAGAGCTGTAGAATTACATAGTTAGTAGAATTTCAAGGAGATAATAGTAAGTTTCTGAAGAAATGATATTGACTTACATAGATCTGGACCTCTCTGAATATCTGCCAACTCCTAAACCATCCAAAAAGTGTTGTCAGCCTTGCGCTTTCATTACCACTTTTGGCGCATATCGTGATATCATCACATGGATTTTGGCTTGATGGATTTACCTTCGCAATACGAATAACGGAGTGATTCGCCATGATATTTGAAGTAAATTCTTCCACTATCCCTTGACGAGATAGTATATTATTATTTCTGATTATGTTCTTGAATTAATTACTGGAATATTGAAAGTATTGAAGAAATTATGATAGAATGGTGAAATTGAAGGAAGGATTATGAAGTAATTTGGGCGGGGTTTCTGTTGGAAAGTGCTTTGGAGATTATGAAGGGAAGAGGTAACTAAATAAGCGGTGATGTTTGGCAGAATTCTATTTTTGCTCTAGTCAAATTATGAGGGGATGGGGAAATAGTGGGATGGATACCTAGGTAGGCTCGTAGGCTTCCATGAGTGATGAGGCTGATTCTTTCCCTCGTGATAAGCAGATGGGAAGTTTTCTTTTCTCTTATAATTATGATTATAATATAACTATAATTATCTAATAGAAGAAAAGAGAAGAGAAACTCCAAACAGTTTATGATCGCTCATATTTACCTACTAGCGTTTCTTATATTACTATGACTTCCTTATTATTTTTCTGAATAATACCAAGTAAGCGTCAAACTTATAACTTATTATTACGTATGAATACACAATAAAATCATTCTGGAGCATTCATGAAGTGTCAGAATTGATATCTACCTGGTAGGCAAATGCTCTTTTGGAAACGAGGAATCGCAACATCCTTCATTGCAACAATGTCTCTTCTTTCTGGGGTCTTCTAGGTTGCCAGCTGCCTATCAAGTATACTACTCATCATGAGGGAAGCTATCACCTCGAGAAAATCACGGAGTGGCCTATTGTCTTATGCCACACAACTTATCACATGCTAGTGGAATTGAAGGAACCATCCAAACAACAATCACTGTTACTGGGACGATATATTCAGGTAGTGTTGATCTATGGTGATAATAGTAAATGATTTGTTATGAAGACACTTTCTTGACTGGGCCAAGCAGAGCATATAGAGGATATCATGAGAAAGTGCTATCATCCATGAGAGAGGACATCAAGAGGCTTCTCAAACATTTGCCATGTGTTCTGAGCCTTTCCATATTATTCAAATGAAAACCTCCCAGATTTCCTAGAACTTCAAAGAGTAAGACGGGTAGTAAAAGTAAAAATAAAATATATTGCTTTCATCGTCATGATATAATTCTCATGCTTTGGGTATATTAAAGCCAACTTTCCGAAACCTTTCGGACCTTTCCTATCATACAAGGTATTTAAGACTATCCAGTGCCGCACTAGAATATATACAAAGTCTCCTTGGAAAACTGCGGTCGACGACAGACTTTGAGTAAGTAGTGTATAGCCATCGACATCGTATCTGTGTGCCGGCACATACTGCGGCAGATTTGGCCTCGTGAGCCTCAGTTTTCTCAGCAACACCCACCACTGCTGGCTTTCTGGGGTGCCAATTTAACATTTGTTTTCGAACCTCCATACCCAGGACCCTTCACTCCAGATCTCCTGTCATTCAAGTCATACTTTCCAGCTTCGATGTTCATATATATCCTTTCTGCCACTCTTGCAAATGCATTTTCAACACCTTCACCACTCTTCGCACTTGTTTCGACATACTCTAATACGCCATTCCGCTTTGCCCAAGCTTCTGCCTCTTCCACGGTGACCTCTCGTTTGTTCTCCTCGCCTGTGGCCAAATCACTCTTGTTTCCTACCAACACAACAACTATATCCGGTTCAGCAATTTGTCGCAAATCATGTAGCCAGTCCGTAACATGTTCAAATGTTGGTCGCCTCGAGATGTCAAATACGAGCAATGCGCCCGAAGCTCCACGGAAATAACTCCGCGTAACACTTTTATAAGTTTCTTGTCCTGCCGTATCCCATAAACTGAGCTTCATGTGTTTCTGTGGTACATCTGATTCTGTGGCTGAAGCTTTAGATGCTGGCTCTTCCTCTAGAGTGTTTGATTTTGGTTTGAATCCTTCTGAATTCGGTGGACCAACTGGAATAATTCGCGATCCAAATTCAACTCCAATGGTAACATCATGGTGCGGAGAAAAACGCCCTTCGCAAAGTCGAATTGTGAGAGATGATTTTCCAGTTCCACTATCGCCAATGCAGACGAGCTTTGCAATATAATCCCATGATGTTGTAGACATTACTTTTGGGGGTTTCGAGACGGGAAATTCTATCGGCTTTTCGTTGACGTTGGACGAGGAGGGGTGGTAGACTGGTGTTGGGAGGGCAGAAGCCGCTCGAACTTTACCTAAGCTTGCGATTTGTGATTTTAAAAAAGACTGATTGATACCAAGAACAATCGATGAAATGAACAATTCAAGTAAAGGATATTGATCTTGAGAGTATTGATGGATTGTAAGGGATTGTGAGGGACTGTAAAAACCGAATTGGAGAATGATTCGATAACAATGAGGTTTATGAATAAATAAAAATGATAGCTAGAATGTCTAGCTGGGTATGATAAAGTTGTAAGTTGTCAGAGTTGTTTGTTGTATGGTAGTACAATCTCGTGGGCAGTTGAGAGTTGAGAGTTGAGAGTTGAGAGTCGAGGGTCGAGGGTCGAGACAATGATAAGTTTGGAGTGTTCACGAATCATTGATTGATCCACAATACAAACATGCAAAGCAAATACTGGTAGCTATCTACTCCATTCCCAGTTGGTACCTACCTCTAGGCCAGTCATAAAGTGGCTTTCGGGAATGCAAGCGGAGGGAAAATCATTATCCTCTACCGGTAGCGCCCAGCCGTTATATTTTAGGATTGGAGAAGTCGCCGTGGTTGGGGGCGGTGAACAAAGGATTCTTGTGATGTTTTGGTATCTATCGCTCCGAGTGATCACAAATATCAGGTAAATAATGAATCAATGAATACATACGAGTAGATTAATTCCATTCTTGTATCATTCATTCTCCTTTCTTCTTTCTCTCTGCTCCCTTCTCCCTTCTCCCTTCTCTTCACGTCATACATCCATCTATCACAGATACCAAGGAATTCATCATCTACCAAACCCAAAGATTTACACTCTCGCATAAACCGATATCCTATCCTTTCCCATCCTATCCTTTCCCATCCTATCCTATCCTTATCTTGAGGGCGACTTCACTCTACCGATTCATTCTCTCTAGATCCTCATGCGGTATGGTACACCTGCCTCGTGATTTTAAATGATTCACGACTGAGGCCTCCCGGCACTCCGCTATCATAAGTCTTGACTCGCCCCCAGCAACCCCAGCAACGCAAGCAAGTGACTGATATCTCACAATATTATCCTTCACGGGGCTTCCATTATTGTTTAACACGTCTTGCCCATACCAATACCGTCTACAGTATTCACTTCCAATATCTATCTACTTGGAATAATCACAAGCTTTATATCATCCATCGGTTACAAGATCCCCTACCAACCCCAGACTGCAACTGATCTACTGTACTGCAGCCTGCGAGTCCCGTTTCAAGCTCTCACAAAAGACCCACAAGACTGGGCAGTACTGTAGATAGAGAGTCCTTATCAACAACCTCGACTTCTCAACTGCATCGCAGACAAAACATTCCAACATACAACTTCATTCTTGAGGGTTAAAGATGTTTTCAGAATGTAAGTAACCTTGCTCACTTTGTCCTATTTACCTTGTGCATTCTTTTAACCATGATATCATTCAGATGCTTCGCGCTTCCTAGCTCAGTCACAGTCTCGATTCTCCAATTTCGTCCAACAGGATAACGAAATTCCAACTCGAAGTCCAAATGAACGTTATCAACGGTCGCAGCCTTTACGAAGTTCAAGACATCAAAGAGGACTAGGAAACCCTTATCAGTCATCACATCTCCCAAACTTTGGATTTACATCTCGATATTCCCAAGCTCCGCCTGATGCCCCGTTATTTCACAGCGCTTTGAATGATTTTCAGGAAGAAGATGAGGAGGAGGAACGAGAGAGGGAAACTGCAGATTTCTTTGCGCTTCAACGATCACGGAGGGTTTTTGCACCTACGAGAGAATTGGAAGAAAGTGAGGAAACAGAGCGCGACGGGAGTGATATAGCTCTGGGGAATAGTAAAGATGATGGAACCGCAGGTGATCATCGGGAACGTCCACGAGGAATAAAAAGTAGTTGGAAAGGCGGTATCCAAAGTACCAGAGAGCGAGGCCACACACCAGAAACAGTTGGAGAAGAACACGATGACGAAAGTAGGCGACCAAGCAGTCAGGGAAGCAGTAGTAAAGGAAAGGGAAGAATGGTCGATATTGGACTAGAATCTACGATTGCCGACAGCTTACCGCCAAGTGAACCGGATTATGATATGGGTGATGAAAATCCACCAGCATTTCAACAATTCAAATCTGGGCCAAAATCTGGCACAACTCGATTTACAGATGAATCTATCAGAGGCAATGAGAGGGATATCGAGTCACATCAATCGCCTGGTCCTCGATTCCCCATACGACCGAATGAAGTGGAGGTTGTTCCGGTAGCAATTCCTACAACTCCAGACGAACTGGAAGGGCCAAAGCATGATATGTTTTGGGGGTCATTATTTTTGATATGCTTGGCTTCACTTTTCGCAACTTTCTTTCTGATATTCCTCCATACATCAACGCCTGACGGAGTGCTCGGAGACACGATATATACCACTCTCCATTCTTCATTCCATCTATTCGCAGTCGATACCCTTGCATCAATCATCGTATCATTTATCTGGCTTGCTTTACTGCGATCTTTCGTTCGTCCATTAGTATTCCTGATTGTTCTCGCGGTACCAGTCATACTGATTTCGTTCTCACTGTATCCTATGGTGTCTAGTATGAAAGGGTCAACAGAACGAACTGGTGTACAAGATAGGGCTATGAGATGGATGTCTTTTATACCTGGAGCTCTTGCTTTGCTTTGGTTGTACACTATTTATAAAGGACGTCAATCGTTGACCAAGGCAATCAGCATTCTAGAGTTTGCGTCAAGGATTCTCGCTTCGAATCCTGGTCTGCTCGCATTGGGATTTGCTACGCTGGGGTCGGTTATAGTATGGACCTGGATATGGTTAGGAATGTTCACGAGGGTATTCTTGGGTGGCCATCTCTCAAAGTCAGGACTGAGTTTCATTATTGATGCAACGACCTGGTGGCTTGGTGTATATTTCGTAATGATGTACATTTGGACTCTTTCCGTGATTGGGGGTATCCAGCGAACTACCACTGCTGCAACAGTTTCTCAGTGGTATTATCACCGTAATGCACAGACAGGAGCTTCGTCTCGAGAGGTTGTTGCGGCAGCATTCTACCACTCGACCAATACGATATTTGGTACCATATGCCTATCATCATTAATAGCTCTTTTGATTAAACTTCCTCTCCTCGTGTTTCCACGACGATTGGTAGCGGCTATTTCGATAATTGCGTACTCTTTTGTACCAGCACCGGTGACAGCATTGCTCAATCCTCTCACCCTCACCTATGCTGCTATCCACTCACAACCTCTTCAAACTTCAGCAAGAGGTCTAAGTCAAATGACATTCCTCACACCTCAAGCTCCTACAACCACGTTGACCCCACGATCTTTCTCTTCCCGTACTCACGCCACAACCCCTCTACTCCCTTACCGTCTAGCCAAACTGCTTCTTCACGCAACTCGTATCATTATGTCCATGGCTCTTGGATTTGGTGGCTGGGTAGCAACTGCTCGTCAATTGTCTATCAGTATGCCCGAAGGTCCTGGTCTCAAGGGAAGTGCATACGCATATGTCGTGGGGCTTGTTGCTGGATTTATTGGTTGGGGTGTACTTGGGGCTATGGAGGGGGTACTTAGTGGAGTTGTGGATGCGACGGTTGTCTGTTGGGGAAGTGAGAAAGGAATGGCTAATGGTGGAGCATATTGCTTGGAGGCAGGCTATTTGTTTGGTGATGATAGGGAGTAGTAATAATCAAGGAGTGTAGTAGGGAAATAGAGGCAGGACGATGGATTTGTATTGATTTTAGTTAATTGGGGGTGTATGGAGCTTGGAACATGGCACAAGGTACATATTTGGATGGGTGTATGGAGCATAGGTCATTATATGACCAGATGGCATGACATGACTTAGCATGACATAGCGTTTCTTTTTAGCATGATGGAATTGATTAATGAAGAGAATTTAATGATTATATTATATATACATATGTATCATGCAAACGGAACCAGACCTCAGTGTTCTTGAATGGGTTGAACCATAAGCAATAGGCAGAGCTCGCGAAACTCTCCTCTAACCATCTCAAGATAATCTCAACCCTCAAATTCCTATTCCTTTTTCCTTCCTCTTCTTCTCCCTTTTCCTCCTCTTCCCCTCCCTCCGATATCGCCATCAGACCCCATTCATTCACCACACATCAACATCGTACAAACAACCATCCCGTTACACAACTCCAGAAAGTCACATCGGCCGTTTCTTTTGTTTTAACCGCCACGTTCATGCCATAGCATAGCATAGCATAGCACAACATAGCACAACATAAGTACCTATCTATTTTCGATATATTTCCGAGGACGAGAAAAGAGATCTAAATCGCCGACTGATTTTCTTTCTTGTATACGCGTGGGTGTTTGGGATATGTGTTTGTGTGGTTTGATTAGTTGGTTGGTAGGTTGGTTGGTTGGTTTTTATATGAGCGTTTGTGGGTATGTATGTATGTATGGTTTCCTCGAGGTGGAGTAATGATGAGAGGGGAGATTGGTGGATGGGATATTGCGGAATATAATGATGGAGTGTGGATGGATGAGCTGTATTCTGATAGATAGGAGGGAAGGAAGGATGAAAGAAGAAAACATACGTACGAAACTGGATAATCTGTCGACAGAGAGAATATTACTACAGATGTGACTTACCTGCAATATCGATACCTACCATGAATTAATATGATATGATATGATACAAAAATCCAATCGCTTAAAAGGGAGGGAACTTGAGTGTTGAATCCATACATATATGCATGCATGATGTGTTGAGAACTTCAATATTCATTCCGATAGGAGTCGAGACTCAAAATTGCATTTTCGGATTGCGTCTCACGTACCGGGGAAATGGATGGGGGTGTGGATCTTTTGTCGGAAGCTGAGTGCGTAGTTGTTTGTTTGTTTGTACGTGTCTCGTGTTGAATATCCTAATCTGTATTTCCCTTCGCAATGCTCAATATATAGGGACATCTCGTCTCACTTCTGCTCTTTGTGTTTTATGCAGATATATCATCATCGCCAAAGTTCCAGATTGTGATACGCCCTTCCTATAATTGCATGGCAGGAGATATATATACACATACTTCTTCATCGGGAATGTCATCTTCTCATTTACTACCTGCGTCATATATATACATATAACACCTACCTCATCTAATCGAACATAATACAACTCATCATGGCCTTCACAACACGCTCCTTCTCCTTCATCTCCCTCTCCCATTCATCCTCATCTCTATCTCCCTACTCACCACTCGCATCCTCCAAATCTCGGTCCAAACAACCCAAATATCCTCGAAAAAATAGATCTAAATCTAAATCTAGGCGCAAAGGCCCCAATGAACAAGAACAAGAACAAGAACAAGAACGAGAACTTCTCACTGAGGCATTTCGAGGGGAAAAAGATGAAGAGTGTCCATGTCCTAGCTGTATGTATCCTGATGCATGTAGCGGGGAAAGTGAACCCTCTTCGTCCTCGTCATCATCCTCGTCTTCATTCGGCAATCACAATATCGATGCAGAGGAAAGTTTCAATATTGCAGAAGTAGAGAATGGGGGTAAATTCCTCGAAAGGCGGAAAGGGAGACGAGAAGGGGGGCGCGAGTTGAAGATGAAGTGGGGATTGGCTTGGTTGAGGGGGAGGGTGACGCGGGGGAGAGGTTACGGATATTGAGACGGATATAAATATGAATATGGGAAAATAAATCACTATGCTGGAGCTGTTTGAGATGAGATGAGATGAGATAGAGATTGGGCGGGGAAGTAAAATCAATTGATGGCGGTAGAAGATAACAAGAGGACTGAGCAATGATAGCGAAGCCAGCGTTGGTACGGAAATGCGAATGTTTGAGGGGAGTATTCGAATGCGAGAATAAAAGGGGACAGATGAACGCTAGGACTTGTTCGTCTGGTGCTGGTGTTGTTGGGTATCTAATGTAAGATGCTAGGTCCCCGGGTATTCCATGATAATATGTCACAAAAGCAGGTGAGACAGGAGGTTTATAAATAGATATAATCATGCATGTATAAATAGATCATAGACCAATCATGTCTTGATCATATCAACCCGTCTATCTCTCACTTCTACCGTGGGTATGAAAGATCCTATATCCTAACTATCGATAATCATTCCCATAAGTGACTTCGCATAATCGAGTCTGTTCGTCTCTATGATAGTGTGTACAATACACTACTCAACGCTCACTAACTCCTGTTTATCTTGATGAACACTCGCTCACCTATCTCACATGATATACGCATCACCATGCAGAGCAGTAAATAAGTAAGTGATGGGGTAAAGATTTAATTCATCTTTCACATCTGAACAAGTGGTGGACATTTATACATGGTATCTATAAATTTATTCAATCTAATCCCAAAAAGCTAATCTAATCTAATCATCTAACAATATGATATTTATCCCGAATCCGGGATTCAAATGTAATCTATATGGTATCTTTCGCAAAAAACCCAGTTCCCTTATATACTATCCATAACCAATCCGATCCGTTACTTCCTTTGATGCATTTTATTTATCCTTTCCCTGACATGTGTATGTATATTTGAATTCTACTCCTCATCTACGCAGCGAGTAGATCACCCCCTTTTCCCCATTTACTCTCCTCTTCCATATCCGCCTCTGGAGTCTTAACTCCATATGCATCTAACAATTTGATACATCCCTTGTGTCCCCCGTTCCACGCATCCCCAGCGGGACTTATATCCCTATCGTCTTTTGCATCGGGGGCGGCACCGTGGTTGAGGAGAATCTTGGCGATGTTCTCATGACCCCTCGCGCACGCATCATGGAGTGGAGTCTTTCCCTCCTCATCTCTGAGGATGGGATCCGCGCCGCGCTGCAGAAGGAATTTTGTCGATTTTGGGAGATTCTTACGGATGGTCCACACGAGCGGGGTGGTGAAGTGATGATCTGGACAATCGATATCGGCGCCATGGGCAAGGAGTAATTTCGACATGTCGAGGTTGTTATAGGAGATGGCAAGACCGAGCGGTGTGCCTTCGCGAGGTCCATTTTGGTAATCGGTGTTTCCACCTTTGTGGTTGGGGTCGGCGCCTTTCTGGAGGAGGATCTTGGCAACTGAGGTGTTTCCACAATGCACGGCCCAGTGGAGAGCAGTGAGACCGAAGGAATCTTCAACGTCGATGTAGGTGCTGCTGTTCTTGAGAAGGATCTCGGCAACCCACCAGGTATTGCATACAGCGGAGATGTGAAGGGCGGAGAAATGAACATTTTGGATGGCGGAGAAGTTGGTCATGTGGCGGTGCTTTTTGAAGTAGAGAAGCCAGGTACGGCGGAGATCGCAGTTGCGACGGAAGAAATGACGGTCGAGAGCGTAGGATCTCATCATGCGGGATCCGGCGATGTTGCTGTGGTTGATCCAGTAGATGAGAGGATATTGAAGACTATCTTCCGAGGAAGGTTGATCTTGCAATGAAGACAGTGGAACATCTTCGAGACTTTCGAGGTAGTATTTCCAATCTCTGGTTGTGTATTTGAGAGCTCTGAAAGCTGCCTTTTCGTGTTCAAACTCGAGATCCGAGGAGAAGATACCGGCCGTTTCGTGGTTGAGAAGATATTCCTTTGCGGAACGGTGGACAAAGTATGGGTGATCGCGGTGTAATGATAAAAATGATCCACATAGTTCAACAGCATCCAAAACAATGTCTTCATCGTCCATGGCTGCTGCGGGGAAAGCTGCCATGACAGCAAGCTCGCGAAGACTGAGAGGTCTGAAAGCGATACCCACTGCACGGAAGACTGAAAAGGCCTTTTGCTGATCTTCTTCACCCAATTTCAAAACTCCCTCGAGAATTCTGGCATATAATGCATCAAGTCCAGAGGGGAATTTTCCCAGTACAAGCTTGACATTGATGAATGAAACGTTCTTCTTCAAGAGTTCCTTGCAAGCAAGAGAGATGAAAAGGAAGTTTCCTTCAGCTTTCGCCCTCAATTTATCAGTGACAAATTGTTTCAATGGTGCATCAAATCTCTTCTTGGTAGCCAAGATATCAACCTTGTGAGTGATGAATGTATCAACGGCTTTGGTCATCTCAGTGGCGGACTCTTCCAAGTCTACGACCCAGGATAACTTCAAGTACTCCTCGATCTTTGTTTCATTTCGACTAGTAAAGATCCACTTGACATTGCAAAGTCCGTCGGCGTTAGACGCAATGTATGTACTAGCGAGCTTGAGGAAAACTTCCAAAGATTCCTCAGTGCATTCATCGAGACCATCGATGATCAGGTAAAGGTTTCGTGTGGTCGAAGCTTCGAGTACTCGGGTTAAAGCAGTCCAAACTCCCTCGATGGTGGAAAACATTTGAGGTCCATGACGTTTGAAGTCTTCCAACAACACATTTCGAGAACTTTGTTTCAGAACTTGATGAAGAACGGTCTTGAGTGCATGTAATGTTGAGTTTCTTTGATCTGTGTTGTTGTCGCAGAAAAAGTAGGCCATTTGGTCGCAAGGGTTTTGAGCGACCTGTTTGGAGAGTGTGTCGACAAGATACATAGAAAGCATGGTTTTACCTTTTCCTGCTTGTCCATGAACCCACAGCAAGTCAGATTGATCACTCTCAATCATAGACTTGTAACTTTTGTTGTTGAGGATCCAGTCGCATGATTTACTCAAGAGACGATCCGTACGAGCCTCGATTTCTCTTCTTCCAATGAGCGGATTGATGACAGTGAGTGCATTCAAAACCTCATTGCTGGCTGCTACATCTTGTGGTGTTGCCTTGTTAAACCCTCGAACCTTTCTGTGCTGAGTGGTAACGATATCGTTGATTTGACGGGTAAGTTGTCCCTTCTCCATCTCACGGGTGCTAATCATAGTCGACAACAGACCGGATACTGCGTCTTCGTGAATCGAAAGTTCTTTTCTGAACTGTGATACATCCCACTTCCTGCAAGCTAACCAATCGATCTCTTTGATGATTCTGGAGAACTCTTCGTGAGACCACAAAGATCCCTTGGTGGTGATACCGTTTAACCTGCATCCTTGATGCACAAATCTTTCTATACAGTGTTGGCATGCACTGATAACTTGCATCATCAAACCACGTTGAGCCCCAAATGATGGATCACTCAAAAATCTCTCGATGCCGTCGAGACGCTTGTGAAGGTTGGATAGAACTTGTGCAACATCCCCAAAGACTGGGTTTGCCTTTTTCGAATCGTCGATTGCTGTGAATGCGTTTCTAAGGATTCCAACTCCATGAATGACCTCGCCGAAACTGAAACCGAATGGAATGGCCATGATTGCTATATCTGTTGTAGAGGGAGGTATCTGAGGAGGTTTTCGCTACCGGTGCTGTAAAACAAGTTTTAAAGTTTGGTATTATATATATTTAAAAAGTTAAGAGTAGAGAATGTAAAAGATAGATCAAGTTGGTGCCAGAGATTGACAGAATGGACGTCCGTGAAGCTTAAAGAAGCCTCTTGAATAATCGTGATATAATGATTTCTTGTAAGGTGTCATTCGGGCCGTGGTGTCATTCGGGCCGTGGTGGCGTACTTTGAATGGACCTTTCGAGGTTGATTGTGATATGAACTGATCACAATTGATATGATCACTCCTTTCTTAAGTGAAAAGGCGGAAAAGATAAACTTGACTGATATAGAGATAAAGGAAGGAGGGATAGGTCTGATATATATAAATGATGAATGGAGATAGCATTGCCGTGCTGTGTCTTGATTACATTACTCTTTTAAGATAGGACCCACCGAGTGTTTTGAATCGTAGGAATGTACTCCGTATATTTTCAATGCATTAGTGTCCAACGGATTAGAATGAAATTGGGAAAACCAACGAGTAAATCCACATGTTACCCTACCGACCACTCGAGTTATGAAGCGCGACGACCGAAGATAAGTCATTGACAATAAGCAGAATCCACTCTGTACAACAAATTTTTCTTCAAAAAAGGTCGGAAATAATAACCAGTAGGGTTACCTGACACAACGAACCAGGTTTACCGATGCCATCTTATCAATTTACTCCACTATTGTTGATATCCTAATGGATTAGTCTGATACCAGCCTTTACTAGAGAATTAGGGGTCCGCTTATCTTCCGGCTTCTCTTCGCACTACTTTTCAAAATCACCATATCATTCGCTCAAATTCCAAGCAAAGCACAAAATGAAGGGGTAAAAATGCACATAGGGACAGGATATCAATGGACAGACAACGGGACCGTCAAAACAACTCAACAAAGATGGAAAGTTCACATGTTTATCTCTTTACATGTATATGATTACTTGATTTGTCTCTCTTGCGGTATCAAAAAAACCCAAAAAAATCCAGGAAATTGTAGATTAGATTGAAGATCATGGGAAAATCAAGATTCAAAGGGTTCAAAAAAAGAAGATTTACACTTCCAACGCCTTTTTTGAAATTCTTTGCATATTTTACTTGCATCGGCATACTTGTAAAAGGAAAGTTAATTATCAATAAAGTAACTGTTTGAAGGAATAACACATGGGTACAATGCATATTACCTAGGTAAGTTTTCACATTATAAAGCATATCTACGTCATTGTATCCATAATATGGCGAATTTGGTTCTTTTTCGCTACGCAATATGATCCTTCCGTGAGACCCTCAGAAAGAGGAAACTAAGAGGTTCCTCTTTTTCGTGCGATGTATTGATTCGGCTCAGCCCAGTTAAATGTCTCGTGAAATAATGCGTGCGGAGGCACCTCGTAGGGAGTAAAAATCGGTGGGAAGTCAGCTCAGGTCAGCTCAGGTCAGACCGCTCAAATTCCGCCTTTATCAACTAAATTCTAATTCCTAACGTGATTTGACCCACCCAAAACTGAATGATATGATTTCTCCCCAAAAATATTTGATACGCATTGGTGTACAATGAATAGTGTGCACTGCCTGTAACTACTAACTAGCCACGTGCTAGCTACTAACTACTCAAACAAATTCGAAATACGAAACCAATCAGATTACTAAATCTTGCATTCACGGTAATTTTTCGCAAATTAAACTCATTTTCATCTTTTCAGCATGAGTTTAGACCCGGTCAAACAGTAGGCACTTAAAATATTCCTGCAGTAGTTGCCGAGCAAAGATAGGAGACCTAGGGATGGGATGAATGAATCGTATGAAACCAATGAACCGCCTTTCCGACCCGATAACCAATCGTTCGGGAAACCGCTTCAATCTTTCTCCACTAGAAGAAAGATACAACTCAGAGGTTTAATGCTCAATGCTTAAAAAGATAGGGTCCGTAGAATGTACAAGATTGTGTTCTGATTGCATGCATGCATATGAAGTATTAATATTGGGACCTTATAAATGAGTTGCGGTGACGCTTGGCTCAATATTCATATTCTGATGGCTTCATCAAAAATTCTGCATGGTAGGTAAAGTTAAGTAAAGACTCTCATCATCATCAGTCCTCAACGTCAACACCCACTATGCTTGCAAGATTTGCTAGATTGTGAGTTGGACTTGACCATGATGGAGATCATAACAATGGAGGAGGAAGATGGATACTCATTATCCTTTGAGCCAATCAATAATCAAACTGGTCGACATTTCATCAGATAATCTCCAATTAATAGCTCGTATCAATCCCGATGTCATTCTTTCTTGAATTTTGACGCAATTGTCAATATACGCTCATGCCACATGGCAGATTTTCAGTCTGTGTTATCACGTCGAAGGTTCCAACTTCCAAGTTAAGGAATGCGGTATTTGTTTTTGAGAATTGCGGCACATATGACTCTATGAGATACATTGTTGACATGTGCCGCTGTCACATCACGGAAGCTTGTGAGAAGGGTCATGAGGGGTTCGATGTTCATACGTTCTTCACTTCTAAGCCCGTAGCTTCATACCAGTGTGAGCCGATCGATCGAAGAGATCGAAGGTATCGATTATTGTTCGTTGAACTTGAAACGCGCTGTTAGGTAGGCAGAGTTGATCTCGGAGATTCCCAGCAACCTTATAGGGAAGATTCAAGGAAGAGGCAGGTTACTTATTCACTCATGATCCACTCCGAAATCACGACTCATGGCATTTCGACAGTCAGCAGATTTATAGGCATGTCGACGGTCTTTCAAATCCAACGTGAAACAACCATTTGTTTGTTAGTTGCCGCCGCCCCAATGTTGACTTGAGTGAGGAATGTCAAGCTGATGACTATGTGAGTAATGTCGAGTACCGGTACACATGGACGTTTATTGTATCTTGGATAGGCATTTGTGGCAAGCAAAAAGCAGGAACGATCAGAATTTGGACCGTGTTTGAGAGGCTGAAATAGGGAGGGACAATCAAATTAATTTAGTCCCTTGCACTTGGATTCCAAACTGGAGGGGTAAATACAGAAAAAAGAAATATATTGAATATTGGTCACGTGAGGGGGTTTTACCAATCTTGTGATTTCTCGTTGGTATTTTCTATCTATCTATGCTTAAGCTTGAATTTTCTCTGAACTCTCTCTCCCTTTCCATACTCAATACTTTTGCGAGTTGAAATATATCACCAATTCAAGTATTGATGGTATTGCACTGCACTGCACCACTTCTTTCTATCTCATCATCGATACCATCCCCCCACCTCATTTCTATTTCGGTGTCTTGAAGTTAAAATCCACCTACGAAGTAGGTACTTGCTAGGTATCTCTTGGAATTTGAGGGTCTCCTTAGTACGATCGAACTACTTTCTGAAAATTGTCTGTATCGAGTAGTTGTACTCCGAGCAAGTCATCTACGATCAAGTTGACTACATTGCACAGTCTACCTAGGTATTTGCAGCCGCATTACAAGCACGGTTTTTCTCTAGACTTGTTCCCACTCTCGAGCCACTCTCCCACTGTACAGTGTACACAAATACTTGAGTATGAACGTGTTGCGGATTACGGATTACGCCTTATCCGCGCACGCATACAATGCTGGACTGGAGACTGGGCAATGAAGATAGCGTCGGCGAATTCATAAACTTTCGGCGCCTACCGTTAGCACTGCAAACCCTGATGCATCTATCGTACATGGTAACATGGTAGGTACATACTCGCGCTCCGAGCTAATCAAAATCGGATCAATAAAAATCAAGATCATAGGCTACTATGATTATTATACGATGAACTGCAGTCTGCAGTGAACTTCCTGGGTGCGATCAAATTACGATGAACGCCTCCTATGTCATTTTTAATAAAAAAATTGATGAAGAACCTTCCGTCAAAGTTTCGTAAACGCGATTCGATATTGCAACGATAATTTGGCGCCATCCATTCGCTGTGAGTCGGCGACTATTTCATATTCCTCGGGCGTTTAGCGATTGCGTGCATGTAAGTAGGGTAGGTGTTCTCTAAGAGGTTCCTCAATTTTTCTATTTTCTCTCCTACTTCATACAGAGTCTCTGCTTTGGGTGTCTCACTCTCATGCAAATAATGTGTTCTACCCAGCAATTTTGTACGACAGCGTCGAACCAACAATACTCGAGACATTACCACGTGTCCAATGTCGTTGAAGACAATCCCGTTTGAACGGTGGGATATTTCCGAGTTATTGGCCTTATGTACGGCTCAGCCTCCTGATCACCATGATTCGCATCAGTTTGTGGGTCTGTTTTTCAAACAGATCTCGTAGAGGGCTGACAGAGGGAGAAGCAGAGGGACGGAGAGGTAGAGAGAGGTGACGATGTGACGATGTGACTTCTATGTGAGGATTGTATTTAGAAGGGAAAGATTTCAAGATCTCAATTCTGCAACGAAGCATGACGGTATGTTATCTCTTTCTACACCTTTAAGCTTTTCGCCATTGGAAATTACTCGCAGAGGTCTGTGATGATCTTCGATCAAGCAATCAATCAATCAATATTGTAGTTCGTCGCCACGAAAGTTTAATACCGAGGGTACACCTACCACATCACACAGCCTTATCTCACGCCTTCCAAGCTATATCGAAAACAATCAAGACGACAATACTATTGGAAGAATTGAAATTGGAATTGAAGGAAGTGTTGTTGGCCTTGAAATCACTACACACCAACACTCAATCTACCGCGAGACAACCCTCCATTCAACGGTACGCCAGTTCAAATCGATAGTGTATTTTCTCAAGTTTATCGATAATCTGAATCTCCAACGAACTCTCTTTTTAAACCCCGAGGCAAAACATGCATTGATGGAGAATTGATAAACAATGATGTTGTCATAGAATCCCCAGAGAAGACGGAAGAATGAATTTGGAAATTGGAGATTAGACATTGGATCAATTCATGGAACTATCTACATTCATGA